CCTGTTCACTCTGAACCCTACTGATGGCCCCATGGCCAACACACAGTAACCAGTACTCACAGGCAGACTCAGTTTTGCCTGTTCTCTTGGACTGGTACCAGATGGTCATGCAGTCTTCCTGCAGCTTGAAGTATCGCTGCTTCTTCCAGCTCCTCGACTTGACTTTGCGCATCAGCGTCCCTTGCTGCATCTGCTCCAGTGTTTCTGTGAGCTGGATGCCTGGTGGCAGCATGGACTGCATCACTGAGGGTGGGGGAATCCAGGCACCTTGCTCCCTCTCATCTCTAGGACCCCACACAGTCCCTTGATGTAGGATGGAGGAGGGAAGGAGCCCACATAAACTCCCTTCACCACAGGGGGGGCAGAAGGCAATTCCCCATTGACCCTCCCCATCCACCCCTCAGCAAGCCAACCCCAAACGCCAGTGAGCACAGTGTGACAGGGATGCTCCAGAGCGCAGCAACCCACAGGCCAGATTTGCTCTGGCTTCGATCCGGGTGTCGGGGTGCCCTGCCCTGCACCTCCCTCCGCCGGGGCACTCACGGGCGTTGCACGGCAGCGATGCCATGGCTCTGCCTCCTCCACGCTGGCGGCCGCTGGGGAGGGAAGGGAAAGAGCTGCTGAAGGGAGCGGGGCCAGACCTTCCCCCACTGCACCCAGGTCCCGGCGGGTGGGCTCCCGGCTGCCCATGCAAGGTGCGTGTGCCCCTGCGCCTGTCTCTGCTGGGTCACTGCCTTCCTGAAGTGTCGGGTTCAGCCGCCGTGCTCATCAAACATTAATCTGTGTTACCGGGAAGCCAGAGCTCGAAAGGTGTCAGAGGAGAACAGAAAAACCGGTGAGCGTGTGCACGAGTCCTGGTGTTTCCAGTCCCTGCTCCCAGGGGACAGGCAGCAACAGAAGCTGGGAAACACTGCACTGGGGGTGCCCAGGAGCATCTCCCCCCGACCTGGGATATAGCCCCGAGCCAGCACATTTGGAAGCAAGACTGTGGGAGCAAGGACGGGGATGCAGAGCACCCTCAGCTCCCCCGGCCCCTTCTCCCTGAGGAGCACCTGCACCACGGGGCTGTGAATGCAGCGGCAGCGTACAGGGAGTGCGCTGCGAAGAGTGGGACTATAAATACAACTGGACTGACAATAAGGCTTTGATTAGGCCGTTAAGACTTTAATTAGACTGACAAATCGCTGTGCCTGTCACCCGGCTGCTGGAGCTGGGCCCATGCTGCAGCCAGCGAGATGGGATTTGGGTGCAGAAAGGGACCAGGGGTACTTGGGTGAAGGCTCTGAGCTGGGCACAGGGGTGGCAGCCGTGTCCCAGGCCCCTGACTCAGCACCGACACTGGTGGTGTGGGGCTGGGAATAGCCGGTGCCGTCAGTGTGCAGGCAGCTGCCAAGCCCAGCTGCCAGACCCTTGTGAGCTCCAGGGCCAGACAGCAGCCATGCCTTGCTCAGTGTGGGGACGGCAGGGCTGATCCCAGCACAGGGCTGGCCATGGCTGTGGCCCCACTCGGGGGACACACCAGGCACAGAGCTGGCAGTGGCTGTTTGGCTGCCCCAAGGGGATACGGGGATTGCTTGTCCACACTCTTGGGGACCTCAGGTGTTGCTGGATACACAGAGTGGCTGGGGTGCCAACCCCACTGCCTCCCAGCAGTGCTCTCAGTGCCTGAGCTTCAAGCTCCCAGTACAAGACCTTTATGCAGAGCTCAGACCGAAGGAATGAGCTGCAGTGCCTGCATCCCCCACATCCAATGTAACAGGGGTACCTGTCAAATTGGACCAGAGTCTGGGGTGCTCGCACCCACAAATAGGGGGCTGGCACCATGCTCCTCTTGTGCCCTGCAGAGTGGGTGCCCTGATGCCTGCTGGTTCGCATAGCCCCAGCAGTGCCCCTCACCACCCAGGGCACTTTCAGCCCCCGGCACCCAATGGCCTGTGAGGACGCAGGGGACAACTTTGGTCCCCCATCTGCCTGCCCCCTCCTGCCTCCTGGCAGCACTCAGCACAGCCACTTTGCAGGATCACAGCTCCAGGTGCCCACTTGCCCCGTGGCTGCTGTGCTGCAGCAGGTGACGGGATGGAGATGTGGGTGTTTTGGAGAAGCAGGGGTAGAGAGAGAGGCATCGAAGGTAAAGGAGCAGGGAGAGACGCTGGTCTGGGGCAGAGATGGGCTTGGTGCCACCAACTGGTCCGTCCTCTCTGCACCCTACCACGCATCTGTGCACAGTGGCAGTATGCAAGTGAGCTGCTTGCAGCCCCAGGCCCATACCCACACTAAGATTTTAGAGCTGAACTGATCTCCCCCCTGATTGCCACTCCTGACTCCCGGCACAGCCCAAAAGCTGCCAGCCCTGCCCTAGGCACGCAGTAAGGAAGAGACTCTCTCCCAGCACAGGGAAGATGCCGGGAGCAAGGATGCACGGACGGACACGGCTGCTGGGCTCCGTGCCTCCAGCCCGGAGCAGCCCGGCCCCACACAGCCTGCCTCGCCCTAGTCTGAGTTATGCTGTCGAGGCGAGCGGGACGGGAGCCAGGGGATGGAGAAACCCAACCCGAGAGTTTCCCGCAGGGCAGCTGCCTCCTGCCAGGGACCCAGGGCCAGCCCCAGCACCCCAGCACACACCGACCCACCGCAGCTTTCCTCCTGGGGGTGACAGTCCCCAAGAGGAGCTGGAGGGGCAGCGGGTGCGAGGGCTCCCCTCCGCTCCAGTGCACAGTGCCCCGGCGGAGTTTAACGCCACCATGGGGGAAGCCGTGCCGGAGTAAGGAGGGATCCCACTCTGGGCACCCGCCGCCTTCTTGCTGCGCTGCTGTGCGCAGTGACTGCCCATGAACCGGCGCTTTGCTCAGCCCCACTGCCCCGCTCAACCTTCCCACCCGGCCCAGCGGCACCCGGGCACCCAGCCTGACCCATGAACTGGAACCAGCCGTTGGCTGGGGGGTCGGAGGGGCTAGGGGAAGGGGTCGGGATGGGGCAGCAAAACACCTCGGAGGGTGCTGGGGTGCAAGTGACAACTAAAGGCAAAGGAGACGAACCCGCCGGCGCTTCTCTCTGCACCCCGCGCAGCGCCACCCGAGCCGGGGGTCCCAGCCCTCCTCGCCGCTCCTCTCCCCCCGCAGGACCCCGCTCCCGGCGCGGCGCGCAGCCCCGTACCCGCTCTCCAGTGCCGCTCCGCTCCGCCGGTGCTCCACCGCCCGCGGCCGCACGGGGCCGGGGCTGCCCGCCCCTCGGCAGCAGCAGCAGGGCGGCGAACCCGCCCCCGGCCCCCCACCTCCCGGGCGCCCCGGGCCCCCACACTCTGGCCCCGCAGCCGCCGCCTCTCAAGGTCGCCTCGGATTAAGGTCACGCCGCGCCCTAGGCAAACTGGTGGGCGGGGGGGGGGAGGCGGTGGTGGGAGCACCCTATACTGTCCCCCTCCTGGGGCTGAGCCCCCATCGCCACCCTCCAGCACAGCTTGTCCCACCCCAGACCCACCTGCATCCCGACCTCCGCATCCACGGGGAAAAGCAAGCCTTCCCAGGACATGATGGTTGATAGACTTCAGGGCCGTGCCTCTCCAACTGGGAGATGCAAGACCCGAAGAGCAGGGAACGGTTTGAGCATCCTGGGGCACCCAGGCTGGGGATACAAGCACACTGAGGCAGGCTGAGCTAGGTGCACAGGCTGCAGGACAAGGACCAAACCTCAGGTAGCCAATGCTTTAATGGACCTGGATGGGCCCCAGGAGAGTGTGGCAGCACTTGTACCCACACTGCAAATCAAGGAGCAGCTCATCCTCCCCAGAACCCCTCCTCATTACCTGCTCCAGCAGAGATGGAGTGCTACAGGAATGCAGCCAGCTCCTGCCAGGAAAGGCCAAGCACTCTCCTCGGCTCACATCCCCGAGCTGGCACAGCCCCCTCCTTTCCCCCGCCTGCAATAAATCCCCCCCTTCACCGCTTGCCCTCCCCAAGAGGCCAGACCAGGAGCAATTTGTGCTAGCTGGGGTTTTATTATTTATTAATCCGAATTTAGAAAAGAAACAAAACCAAACCCCCAAACCACAGAACAGAAGCATTTTCACACCCTGTCAAGGTCAGGGTAGATGGAAGGGAAAAAAGGCGAGGATTATAAAATGAGACCCCGGGGGCAAGGAAGAGGCCACGCTCTGCCCTTGTTATGTAAGGCTGTGAGGAGAGGAGGGAGGGAGGGAGGGAAAGGAGATGGGATTTAAGACAGTGTTGGCACACCACCACAGATGATCAGCAAAATGGGCTACTGGCAAGGGGGGAGAAATCAAGTAGCTGCCCAGGCTTGCCTGCAGCCAAAACAGGCTCCGCCGCAGCAAACCCCGGGAGCTCTTTGGCTGCTTCTGAGAGCCCTACCACAGCGGAACCAAGCCCTCGGCGCAGGGAGGGCAGATACACAGCTGCTGGTCCAGTTCAATTGCGGCAGGGCCAAGACAGAAGACAGGGCAGGTCTGAAAGCTGAAATGGATGCTCCTGGCTAGCAGAGGAGCTGCAGGAGGGGGGAAAGGGAGGGGACCAGGACTGACAGGCACCTGGCACGGAAGCTGCATACCTGGAGCCTGCAGGACGTTGCTCCCTGTGTGTGGCAGGGGCTCACCGGCTGACTAGCCACAAGGCAGGTTCCCTACACTGGGCTCCGTTTCACAAGCCAGACAGCAGCACAGCTGGGCAAGAGCTAGGTAGGAGGCCAGCAGACATCAGCCCCTGGCTGCTGGTTAGCTGCAGGAGTGTACTATTTACAGCACAAGCACCACAGTCATGCTGTCTTCTTCCCTAGAGCCCTGGGCAGCGAGCTTATGACGTGCAAGTAATCCACCCCTCCTCCTGGGGCGAGCAACTGTGGTGCCCTGACTCCAGCCGCTGCCTCCACGCCAAAGGAAAGGAAGAAGCTCACTGTACCAGCTGGGTGCAGAGCCAGGAGCAAGGATGTGCTGACAGGGAAGAAAGCTGTTCCTGGGCTACCTGCAGCCGAGTAGGAGTCTTAAGAGGGAATAGGACAACTGGATCGGCTTTTATTCAGCTCACTCATCTAAACAGATGTGTAAACAAGAAGTGACAAGACCTGGAGGGACGTGGCGCGGACCCCTATGTCACACACACCACTTGGGTGGAGACTGAGCGAGCTGGAAGTAGCCATCTGCGCTACCCCCTGCCTGGCAGTGGGGGGAGAGATGCCAGCCAAGCCTCCAAGGGAGGCGGGGATCCTTACAGATGGGTTGGAATTGATTTGTTTCTTGGTTTCTGAAGCTGTAGCATCAGCGTTTGCTGGTGTTGTGATCCCCGGAAGCGTGCTGCGCCACTACAGAGCAGCCCTTTGGCTGGGTGGGGTGATCTGACAGGCCAGCAGCTGGCTGGCATGCCTGCTTTGTTGCAGAAGAGGTCACCTGTGCCTGGTTCTTGGTAAACCTGAGCTGTTTCTTCCTTGGTCCCCCACCTCCCCCAGCAGTCATTGCGGAGGAAGCGGGATGCCCCGCGGGTCAGTGACTTGACCCTCCTGCAGGTTCTTGACGAGCTGAGCCAGCCAGCGTTTGGTGGTGGTGTCATCCTTCAGGACCTGGGCAAAGGTGGTGTCCTTCAGTTGGTCAGGAAGGCACTGCCTGAGAGCTTCACGTGCCCTACATCAAGAGACAAGAAACGGGGCCCAACAAATAAACTCACAGGGGCAAGAGGGGAACAAACCCCACTGGGGACACCATGCTCCTTTGCCTGAGGGTCTCCCTGGCAGGGCCAGCTGAGGAAAGCACCAAGCAGCACCACCATCACAGCACGTGGTGCTCAGCCAGCCAGCACAGCTCCCACCCTGCACGCTGACCCCACTGAGCCAACCCCTGTGTCCTGACATCCATCAGTTAAGGGCCATGTGATGCCAGGAGAGGCCAAGACAACAAATACATAGCCAGTGGCTCTGGGCATGAAACTAACCTGTATTCCCTCAACTGAATTTGAACTACTGGCTACTACTGCTAACAGCCCCCACAATGCAGAAGAGGGAGAGCACAGTGCACCTTCCATCCCAGTCCCTCCCTCGTATCTCATTCAAGCTATATTTGAGCTCAGGCAGTCGTAACCTGCACAGCTTGAACTTGCACAAGCCCCAGACACTGTTTCTTCCATGTACCATAAAAGCTCCTGAGACTAGCAATAACCCAAACCCAAATAAACAAAAAAACCCACCCATTTTTCACACCGAGCTAAGGGCTGACATAAGGACAGATGGGAACCTGGACTCTCCCTGAGTGGGCACTATGGAGAAGAACCACACTTCCCAGGAGAAGACCCTGCCCAAACTCCTAAAATGTTTACCTGGGGTTATCAGAAAGGCGAAGGTAACAGCGGACAACATGTTTCAGTAGCCGTGCTGATGGCTCCTTGGACAGCTGCAGGACCATTTTACCCTGTTTGACAGAGGCCAGTGCCACCAGTTAAAAGTCTTTTTACAAACAGCTTCACAATCGGCAGAGAATGGGGAAGACCATTAAATCACTCACTCTGGTTTCCCCAGCATCACAGCCTGTTACCTCTCAGCTTGGTATCTCGTATGGAACCCAGTGCTCTGCTTGCTGAGATGCCTTTGAGTGGAGCAGCTGGCCACAGCTTGGAACAGTTTCTCCCAGCATCTCAGGGAAAGCTTGTCTCTTTGCTTTTCACTTCCCCAGGACTGCTTAGTGGTCCAACGATCTGCTACATTAAAGGGAACCTGGGGCTTCCCCCTTGTGGAGGAAGGTAAAAGTAACCCAGACGCTTAAATAAGCCCAGGCTGAGTCACTCGGTTAGGTGTGTTCCCAAGCTCTGCCACACTCCCTCTTCTCATCTGTGCTACCTTCATTTCAACACCCATTTAAAACATTACCAGCAGCCTGGGAAGTCATGCCCAAGGACTGGGCTCACATTCACCATGTACAGTAAGATCCACATCTGATCTTACGCACCCAACAGTTGTACTCTCAATTTCTGCTACATCCCCCATTAATGCATTAGTAGGAAGCAAGACCAGAGCAGATGTCCCCAGCCCAGTGACCATGTCTCACATCATCTAGGTCTCTGCACATGGTTGCACCTTTGAACATACCCAGCCTAGAGAACACTGCTGATGCCTTCATATGCCTGCTTTGAAGGCCTTTAACAATCTGCTTCCACATATTTAGGAGTCAATCAGATATGCCCAGTGAGGTTGGGGGGGGCCCAAAACCACCTTGGCTGACATTAACAATGTCTCTCACTAGCCAAGTTCACCTGTATTCGGATATTTAGGCAGTGGGCAATTCGCAGGTCCCCGTCGTCTGCCCTTTTGCAAGTTTCCTGCTCTCAGCAATTCCTCAGGATACCAATATTTCTTTTAAATAAAGAACAAGTCAAAGAGTTCCTCACACAGCTCCTGGGTGGGAAATGCTAACTTCATCTTCTAAAAGCATCTAATACTTGTGTAACATCTTACCCTATTATCACCAGACAAGGATGTAACTCATCACCCTCATGAGACAGGAGTACACTATCCTGATTTTTTAAATAGAGAATAGAAATGTTTATGAACATTTTAATCTTTCTCCAGAGCACTATGGAATATTAATGATGCCAGTACTTCACCCAATGGTGGGATTATCCCACAGCGAGGACTTCTTCCATGCTAACACAGCTTTATGTGCTCACATCCTTCTGTCTCTGCGCCATTCCCAGCCATGGATTCTTCCTCGGCCTTCCCTACCCCAGGGTTTCTAATTTCATCCTTCACTTTGCCCCCGAGTCAGACATACTTTCATCAAAGCAATCCTTTTCTTGAAAGCAAAAATCATATCCCACTGGATATTATGGACATCTACTCCCAATCATTCATGTTTTGCTGTTTGGATTAGGAGGAATTTACAATTGGGAAACAGACCAATAAATACTTCAAATGAAAGCATTAACATTTAGGCACAGAACCAGCACTGCAAAGCGCTTAACTTAATGCTGCATTTTCTTCTCCTGAGACTGATATTTAAAAAGCAAACAACCAACAAATCAAACACAAAAGCAGGACAATAGCTATTCCAGGGCAGACATGTATTCCCCTTGGCAAGCTCAAGATAATAAAGCTCAAGCTGGGGCTATTACTCCTGGATGAACGAGTACCCAAGCTTCTCCTTCACAGGGGACAGGGAACGGGCAAAAATAGCCTGTTCTCTCAGCTTTCCAAGACAAGAATTAGAATCATAAGCAGCAGCTAGTAAGATTCAAGTTAAAAGAGAAAAAAAAAAGGAGGTTGGCCTTCCAGGCAGCAAACAGGAAACCCATGAAACAACTCGGGAAAGGACACAGGGGAAGCAAAAAGTTTCAATCAGTTCAAGGGGAGGATAGGACAAACACTGGGGGTTACTGCATAGAAAACCCACAACTGGCCCCAGAAATTCGAAGGTAAAAATAGCTGCAGCTGCAGGACTGTTACAAGGGCAAGTATCATATATGTTAACCTGCTTTTACTCTTTCACTCAACCTGCTGCTTTGCTGTAGGAGACAGAGATGAGAAATGGATTTATGGTCTGAGCTGTGTGGTCATTCTTACATAAATAATTCACATCCAACCAACAACCCTGAAAACTCCTTTTCTTCTCTGGAGATGTTTACTCAGTTTATCTTGGGGACTTGGTATATTACAACTAATGCGTTCTCTTGGCACACAAGCCAGAGATACACAAAGGAAACACGCAGAAGCAGAGAGCTACAGTGTCACAAGCCATAAGCCCAAGACCCCCTTGCCTCCCTCATCTTCTGCTCCAGCCAGAGAGCAGTGAAGCAGCTGGGGAAGAAGCTGGCTGCTAGAGCATCTTCTTCTTCTTCTTCTTCTTCTTTTTTTTTAATACAAACCCGAATATTTTAAAACCAAATAATCTTACCAGTATCATGGCAACATGGGAAAACCGCTCATAAGTCTGACAGATATATGCCAGCCCTGTGTCATCCAGCAGGATTTTCTGAAGAATAAACGTAGCAACCTAGAATGGGGAGAAAGCAGAAAAGAAAGCATACAAACAACTCACCTACCCTGAAAAGGACACTCTTTGTGTTGTGCTCTTTTCAAGGCAGGCCCAGAGCTGAAAGGCCTTTCAGCAGGCAGCAAATGCTTTACTCAGTGAAAGTTTAAAGCCAAAGAAAATGCAGGACACTACACAATGTTTGACATCTCTGGCTAAAGAAGAGATGGATACAAAGCAGCATGTACAAGACAACTGGATGTAGGTTGCATAAATCAGCAGCTACTACCAGGCTGCTCAGGACAGCCTTGGGATTACAGCCACACTACTCTGGTCACAGAGCAAGAAGCAGAAGGATCTGTCCCTTGGCCCTGCAAGCTGATTTCAGTTCTCATCTTAAGCATTACTGATTCATCATGAGACACATGCCTTCCTGGAAGAACCTCAGGCAGCTATGTCTGCAGGCTTCATCAGAGAAGCACACACAGGCTATAACCTTTGGCCAGCCTACTTGGGTCATCGGAGCAGCCTAACCACAGATCTGAACTCATGAGGAAAAGCAGCCCTGTATCAGAGGAGACAACAACCTGGCCCAGTGCAGTGAATATTCCCATAACTGCCACTACCAGCTGCCACCCAACCTCTGCACTGTACATCTACAGCATTTGCTCTCTCAGGCCAAGGGAAGTTGGTCCAGTCACCCCTAACAGTTACTCCTCAGAGCTGCAAAGGAGGGAATGAGTGTTGAAAGCTGCCAAATGTTTCCCAGCCAAACTACTGAGCTCAGGAACTCCAGTTTAGTTTGGTCATTTTGGTTTGTTTTTTTGAAGAGGTAAAAACCACACCCAGAGTTGCCCCAACATTTGCAAGAGGACACAAGCCAACTCTACAGGTTACTGGCTGCGTGGTCAGTCAGAGATAAACAAGAAGTCTTAACACAAAAAGAGTAGGTACCGTTTTGGAGAGTTCACTGCCAGATTCCATAATGCGTAAGCACAGGGGGATAATTTCTGTTGTCAATAAGAAATTTATCACTTCTTGTTCATCAGTTTTCACCAAGGCCCCTGGAGAGAAAAACAAACCCCAAAAATCAATAAATGAGAGATCGTTTCAAAAAAAATCTCACGTTTCAAAGGCAGCCTGTGCTGTGTCCTCCCCAGGAATAAGTAAACCTGAATAGCAGGCTGAGCAACTGTCAGCCTAAATGTGTTGTAGCACATGGCCAGAGAAGAAATCACTTTGGCACCATAAAAATAGGCTTGAGTTTAGGGGTTGTCTGTTTGTCAGAAAGCATCCTTGGCTGTCCCCCAGTGGTGACACAAATACAAGAGGATCATGCCACCCACAGCAATCTCTGGGAAGAAGAAATGGATTTTAAGACCCTCTTACTTTATGAACTGAGAGATAAATGTTAAAAGGAAAGAAAGGAAAAAACCCAACAACAACATAATAAGGGGAAGACAGGCCAAATACACTCAAATCAATCACCAACAAATACCCAAAGAAAGCCCACTCTGCGCCCTCCCATTCCAGTCTCCAGCTAACTGGGCTGAAAGCACAAGAAGCCTGCCGGTGCTTGTATTCACAGGGAACATATTTCTGGCAATGCATCCACACCAGTGTTTCCCCACTAGTGAGAAGCCCAGTTTCTACACAGAAAGAGGAACCTTTCTGTGTCTCCACAACTGATGAGAAAGGAGCAGGTCTTTCTGTTAACACTACATGACTCGGAGGATCCCAACAGGGACAGACCTGTGCAGATCTCCATACCCGCAGCATGAACTGCATCCAACCTGTTAAGAAACTAGTGCTCCAGCACTAGTCTGGCTGCTTACCAATCACTCCAAGGCTTGTGAGCCGCAGGTACTCAAATGGACGTGTCTTGCTCACTGTGTGTAGAAAGGGGTACAGGAACAGAGGGATATGAGCTGCCAGAAAAGCTGACCTGTTAGAAAGGGGGAACACCCAACATGAGACACAAGGAAAACAAAGTGAGCTAACAATCCAGCATTGCCATGCAGAGCCTCAGACTATTCCTGACAAACACTGTTGCTGCTGTTGTAACAGGCTGTTCTCTGATGGAAAGGTATGAAGTAAATTCTGCACTGGGTGCAGCACAAAACCTAACATCTAAACTGTCAATTACATGCAACACTGCTTCCAGCTGACCAGGAAAAGAGCACATCCTGTCATTTTTATTACCTCCTCCTGCCACCCAGACCCTCTGCTTTGTATATTTACTGTTGCATTTCTCCTTACTGGCTCCCATGAGCAGAGACAGTCAGCCACAATGCATGCACAAAGCCTTTACATGGCAGAGATCCAGACTAGCTGATACCTAGGTACTAACACAGTTTAAATGTGCACAGCCATCTTTCCCCAAGAGTCCTCATACTGCCTTCTGACTATGGGCAAAACCTGGAGCTTGCTCTGCTACCAGAGGCAGCCTTTCTTTCACAATCATCCAACTTTCTTCCTCTGTTTTCATTTTTCAAACTTTAAATGTAAAGGTGTGTGGTGTAAAACTACCCTACTTTTTTGGATATCATCTCATGGAAGGCTGCTATTCAAAACTACTTTGCAGCAGCTGAAAACCAACTTCAGCTATGCAGCACTTTCTTCTCAGCAGGAACAGAAGCATGAGGCCATGGATCTCTGAACCAGTATCATTTTTTCCCTGCTGACACCGGCTGGACACATATTGAGAAAACCTGAATTTACGCACTGGCTGAGGACTCCAGACATGGCTCTGCTATTGCTCCCTTACTACACATGGTCTCTTGGAAAGACAGTCCTGCTCATTCAACACTCTGGACAGATGGTCTAAGTAACTGTAAGCTGCTGTTCTAAGTAACTGTAAGCTTATTAAAACAAGGATCTTGCAAACAGCACTCAGCACAAAGGCACTCTTATCTCTGGTTGAGCTCCCAGGATCTGCCACAACCCAACATCTTAGGAATTTCAGGATTATCCAGGGAATGCAATGCATTTAGGACCAGCATAAAGCTGTCATCCTGATAATTTGTTCAAACAAGTGAAAGTAGGAGACAACTATCTATCTTATAGCTCTGTCCCCTGTCCTCCTTCTCCTGGTAAAAAAGAAGAAAGGAGCTGATGTGCTTTTGGAGTCAGACAGACAGGCTGATCTGTCAGCATCAACACCTCAGAGAACTCATGCACTTGGAAACATTTACCTTGTTTCAGGATGTGATGCAACACACTGCAGCAGAGCTAAAGCATTGCAGACTCTGTTGGACTGATGAGCTGTCAGAGTCGGAGGGTTGATTGATGGATAAATATTTACAATTTCCTAAAAATTAACAGATGAAGAAAAGTTACAGCAGAAAAACATCAGAAACCTGCACCAAAGCACTTGCCCAGCAACGAGCTATGATGACATGAGATAATAGTCTGCTTTTACCACGCACCACTTTGAAGTTACATGGCAGCTACCACGCTCCCCAGGCAAGGGCAGAGCTGGGTCAGAGTCAATTTGACAAGGAGTCACAGGAATGCCATCAAACCTTAATTTCAGCAGAATAGGGTTCATTTGATTTCCTGGCTCTTTATGAGTGTAGGAACTGCTTTGTTTTGAACTTCCAGATCGAAGAGGAATATTGCTCCTGTGCCTAGAGGCAGAGCACACCCACTCTATTCATATTATAGCTGTTGATACTCTTCTAACTCAATGCAGGAGAAGCAGCTGATTGTGAGAAATCCAATTCAGAAATCTGCCTGCTTCCAACTATAGCTCCCTTCTAATTTTCTTCACTTGTTTCAGGGGCACTCCAAGAGCAGTTTGACATTGCCAATGCTGCACTCTTTTTCTTTCCTTCTTTGAAAGAAATTACTAGATTGGCACTGAGAGACAGCCAGTCATCAGCTGCAGAGCAGTCTGCCCAAAGACAAGCTGAGCCATTCGGTTTCATACGGAATGCAGGTACATTCCCTTGCAAGGATCTCTGGGACAGTGAGCTGCATTCCCCTGCTGCCCTTCCAGCAAGCTCCCTGCAAGTGCAACCTTCTGACCAGGAATTGCTCAGGCTCATGCAGAAAAAAACAATTCAGAGATCTTAGTAAGACTGTTGTGGTTCTACTATGACATGGTATGAAAATGAGCAGAACATGGTCCACGGGAAGCTCATACACCCAAGAACTTGCCTGTTCCCCTTCCAACTATTTAAGCTGTCTAACTAGAAATCATGCAGTCTCTACACACATTGTCTCACTAGTGATGATTAATGGCAAATGGGCTTCTTGCATCTGCTCCCTCACCACATGATCCAACATATATCATTCTCCCAGCAATGGCAACAAGGGACCCCACAAGTGCCTCACCTATGGACGCACAAGCTCTGCAATGTGCCAGTGCTGCACCAGGGAATAAAGACACCATCAATCTTACCCACCTGAAGGAGCGCTGCGATGGTGCCAAAGGAGTGCCACAGCATCGGGGCAAGGTCAGGCACAGACTCACGCTTCTTGCTCAGCTCCAGCAGTGCATTCTCCCGCGTCTCAGGGCTGGAAAGCTCATTGATCCACTGGTAGATCTTCTCACGGTCAACCTGAGCCAGCGCCGTTGGCACAGGCTGGAAAGGAGACAAGAAAACGTCAGTCCAAACATTTTACCCAAATCTCAGCTGAACTCTTCTCACAACCTGGCAGATAAACAAAGAAGGGCTCAAAACTCTCTTGACTGGGGGAGGGAGGAACTAAAGCTGCATTAAGATGCTCTAGATATAGATCCATTCCTTCAATTAGTCTTATTATTTCTCCTATTGGAAACAAAGGTTTTACTTTCTGGACTGGCTCATTGTGACAGTCTCTCTTAATCTACTTGTCAGGTAGTACCTCATAACTTCAGCAATTTAAGAGTCATGCTGCTGCCTGTCTGTGCCAACAGAGCTATTGGGGAGGTCACACATACTTCACATACCTCAGCCAGCTATCATTTGCTTCACCTGCATTTAACACACACTCATTTCATGTTTCAAGTGCACACTTACACAAATTCAAAGTAAGGCAGATGCTACTTTTTCTCTCAAAAAGCATCCATGGCATTAGAAATTGTCAATGGGATTCACCCAACCTATGTGAGAAAAACATTCATACAAACACTATAAAAACCATCACTTCTCCAACATCAGCAGGACACCGCTCACAGCCAGAGACACCTGCTGCCAGAGGTGTCTCATATTCATCCCATATATCTTTTTTACATGCATGGAGGTAAGAGGGATTTTTCCAAAGCTGATTCCGTGCAAAAATTCCTGTTCGAGATATACCCAGAAGGGCAGACCTGTATTCACAGTGAAGGCACATTATCTACTACTTGAGTGAAAGTAGTAGAAAGTAGGAGGGCCAGGAGACCTCCTTGGATGGATAAGGAGCTCCTGAGGAAAATTCAATTGAAAAGAGTTTTATAGAAAGTGGAAGCAAGGGCAGGCGGCCTGGGAAGAGTACAGGGATGTTGTCTGGGAAGCTAGGGACCAGGTTAGGAAAGCTAAGGCCCAGTTAGAATTAAACTTGGCTAGGGATATTAAGGATAACAGGAAGGGATTCTACAGGCACACAGCAAATAAAAAACAGATTAGGGAGAACGCAGGCCCCCTCAGGAAGCTCTCGGGTGAACTAGCTACACAGGATTTGGAGAAGGCTGAGGTTCTGAATGACTTCTTTGCCTCGGTCTTCTCTAGCAAAGGCTCTGACCGCACCACCCAAGTCTTGGAAGGCAGATGCAGGGACTGTGAGAATGAAGACCTTGGGCCCACTGTAGGAGAGGAACTGGTTCAAGACCATCTTAAAAATCTGAATGTGCACAAGTCCATGGGTCCTGATGAAATCCATCCGCGGGTCCTGAAGGAGCTGGCGAATGAAGTTGCTAAGCCGCTGGCCATCATATTTGAAAAATCATGGCAGTCAGGTGAAGTTCCCGACAACTGGAAAAAGGGAAATATAACCCCCATTTTCAAGAAGGGGAAAATGGATGACCCAGGGAATTACAGACCAGTCAGTCTCACCTCTGTGCCTGGCAAGATCTTGGAGCAGATTCTCCTGGAAGGCATGCTAAGGCACATGGAAAACAACAAAGTGCTTGGTGACAGCCAGCATGGCTTCAACTAAGGGGAAATCCTGCCTGACCAATTTGGTGGCCTTTTATGATGGGGCTACAGAACTGATGGACAGGGGTAGAGCAGTTGACGTCGTCTACCTGGACTTGTGCAAAGCATTCAACACTGTCCCACACGACATCCTTGTCTCTAAATTGGAGAGACGTCAATTTGATGAATGGACCACTCGGTGGATAAAGAACTGGCTGGATGGCTGCACACAAAGAGTTGTGGTCAATGGCTCAATGTCCGGCTGGAGACCAGTAACGAGTGGCGTCCCTGAGGGGTTGGTGTTGGGACCGGCCTTGTTCAACATCTTCGTTGCTGACACAGACAGTGGGATTGAGTGCACCCTCAGCAAGTTTGCCGATGACACCAAGCTGTGTGGTTCGGTTGATAATGCTGGAGGGAAGGAATGCCATCCAGAGGGACCTTGACACGCTTGTGAGGTGGGCTGATGCCAACCTCATGAAGTTTAACCATGCCAAGTGCAAGGTCCTACACCTGGGTCGGGGCAATCCCAGGCACAGCTACAGGTTGGGCAGAGAAGAGATTCAGAGCAGCCCAGTGGAGAAGGACTTGGAGGTGCTGGTCGATGACAAAATGAACATGAGCTGTCAGTGTGTGCTTGCAGCCCAGAAAGCCAACCGTATCCTGGGCTGCATCAAAAGGAGCGTGACCAGCAGCTCCAAGGAGGTGATCTTTACTCTGCTCTTATGAGACCTCACCTGGAGTATTGTGTGCAGTTCTGGTGTCCTCAACATAAAAAGGACATGGATCTGTTGGAACAAGTCCAGAGGAGGGCCATGAGGATGATCAGGGGACTGGAGCACCTCCCATATGAAGATAGACTGAGAAAGTTGGGGCTGTTCAGCCTGGAGAAGAGAATCTGCGTGGAGACCTCATAGCAGCCTTCCAGTATCTGAAGGGGACATATAGGATGCTGGGGATGGACCCTTCATTAGGGACCATAGTGATAGGACACGGGGTAATGGGTTAAAACTTAAACAGGGGAAGTTTAGATTGGATATAAGGAGGAAATTCTTTCCTGTTAGACTGGTGAGGCACTGGAATGGGTTGCCCAAGGAGGTTGTGAATGCTCCATCCCTGGCAGTGGTCAAGTCCAGGTTGGACGAGGCCTTGGGTGATATGGTTTAGAGCGAGGTGTCCCTGTCCATGTCAGGGGGGTTGAAACTTGATCTTAAGGTCCTTTCCAACCCTAACCATTCTATGATTCTGTGAAATAAAGGATTTCTCTTCTGCCTTTCTTGAGCACCAGGGAAGGAACAGCACCAAGGCCAACAAGCTTTCAAGCCAAAAAAATGAGGGAGGGCTGGGAAAGAAAGGAAAAGAAACAGGGACTGTGGGATTGTAGCTTGGTTTCTGTGGAAAGGCACAAGGCTTTCAGTGAAATTTGCCTCATGGCTCTGCTGGCACAACAAGCACTCAAGGTGCAAACAAATGCTCAGCAGGCTTCCTAAGTAAACAGCTTGGTGATTGAGGTACAAAAATTAGAGGAAGACAAACATCAGCACTAGAAAACCTCCTGTGCAAATACTTCCAAAAGCCAGCTTAAAATCTATTTAAACATTCTGCTGTGGTATTTACTACTCAAGTAAAGTGCTGCCCTGTCTGTACACTGCTGATCCCAAGCTTGCTAGCACACAGCCAGCTCAGCATCCCCACAGCTGTGTACAGCAGCCATGTCTGGGAAAGGCAAATGGACAGCTTCTGGTTTTATATCAAACCCAGGCTGAAACTCTAATTGTGCTGTCCACAACACATGTGAGCAGTGCCTGACCACACTGACAGCAACACTACTATTAAGCAGCTCATCACCCAGGCACTGAATACAAAGGAGTTCAGGAACTGGAAGTGGCTGGAACCAAACCTGAAGCCATATGGCAGAGGCAGGCGCACAGAGCTGCAGGAGGGGTGAAGGAAGAGACCTTAACTTTTGGCAGACACCTCCAGAGCTTTTTCTTTCGCTTTCTGCAAAGGTTTTCCTCCTCCATTAATCCATATACTGCATCCATAGTCATATCCAAAGAGAGGCTTCCCCAGCTGTGGGACTTCTCTCTCCTCTACCTACTTCCACCCCATTAACTTAAATGTTTATACATAAGTGAAGGCACTGTTACCAATTCCTACACTCAAGGTCTCAAATACCTTTATAGCTCTTCATCTTTCCTCTTATTCTCTTTTTCCTCTTGTCTACTCATTTTTATTTGTATTTTTTCCCAGGACCTCACACTAAATTAATAATCCTGACAAACACGCTGCAGTTACAGCTGGGAGTGCAATTCAATGCCAACGCTGACACTGTAGCTCAGAAAGAGAGGGAGAATGAACAGAGCTCATTTGTTTTCATTTCGGATGGTAGTGACAAGCAGTGCAGCAATAATAATGTTGTTATAATTGTGTTATCTAAAGCTTCCATCTATTTTTCTAGACTCACTGAAGTTTCAGTTCCTGTAAGCTTAAATACATCGACCCTTTAAAAGCACAATCATGTGCTTATGTTCCCCTAAAGAGCACTAAGTAGATTTTCCACACAATTAAGTTTATGATGTCCAATATCTGCCTTAGCCAGAACCAGCTGTCTTTCACAGGTTCTACAGCTGTTAATCTCAGTTTAAATTGAACAACTTTTTTTTTTCCTGATTTGCTACTTTATTGCTGTTCCCCTTTCTCCTTCTGAAACCCAAAATTCAGGAGAGCCCCAAGGTTTACATACAAATCCTGCAAGCTCCGAGACAGAACCCTGCCAAGCAGATTCTGGTTTGCATTCAGGCAAAGCAAAAGTTCCCAAGAGTGTCTCAACACAGCACAAACTGGCCACCTCTGCATCGCGAAAGGCCCTCCTCAGGAGAAACAGCATGACCTCCAACAGCCAAGCCCAACTGCACCTCCAACAACTACAGAATGAACTGGATTTAGGCAACTGGCTCTCTTTTCCTAATTGAGCAGTTGCTGTGAGGCACACTGGTAAAAGTACAGGTCAAACAAAGCAGTATTTTGATAGGTCACCAACTCAAAACCACCAAAATGAACTTTGAACTCCAATAGCTGTGAATTAGCTGATTTGAGTTGGGCTTTCAAACTCTTACTACTAGTTACAGCTGCATTTATTGCTTTGAGCCTGTTTCCAAGCCTCTAGCGTATTACAGTCTTCTGCGTTGGAATTGAAGTGTCAGCTCTGCCACCAGCTTCACTAATGCTCTGGCTTACACAGCTTTAGCATGACAGAAATCACTCAAAAGAATTCCTGAGCCAATTCATGACTCTCCTAAGAGGCAATGTTATTCACCACAGCTCATAAGCACATTTCCAGAGCCAAAGACCCTTCCCTGTCACTTTTAGTCTAAGCCTACCAACCAACTGCCGTAGGAAACATTTCAATACAGAACTACCACGTGGCATGAATTATGTATAAATTAAATATACATTCAGAGGAGTCCAAATTAAATTTGATTTCTATTTCTGAAATTAGTTGTTAAAATGGTCTTAACAAAGAAATATCCTTTTATAGAGATGACTAGGACACAGGATTAATGGGAGATACAAGAGTGAGTCACACATTTTGATAAGTGCTTAGGAACTGTATGACTATGGAAATGTAAATGCTGATTGAGAGAGCTCACTGTGATCTCACACACCTCACTATGCTCTGGAAATTGTCACTTTAAATCAGAAGTATTTGCTAGCTTTCAAGTCACAAGCACCCAAACAAAGTGGGAAGGCTTAAAAAGTCCTCTCAAGTCCTGCTTGCAAGTACTTCACTCAGTACTGTTTGCTTGTCAGTCCATGCAGAACCTCCGGCTAAATTAACCTGAAAAGAGCTCTAACTGCTGGTTTTACAACACATCTCCCAAACCCAATATGCACCGGAGATTCAATCAACCCTTGCAATTCTTACACACACAACGAACAAGCACGTGGAAAAGTGAAAATAAAACGGGAAATAAGATGCAATAACCACATCGTTTAAACTCAGCTTCCATTTCTGAGCCCAGCCAGGCCAAGGTGACTGTCAGCACAGCAAAGTATGGGGGAAAAAGGGGAGTAGGAACGAGCAGCCTCTACCTTCCCTCCCCTTACTGCTTCCCTGAGGAACTTCTCGCTATCTCCTCTTTTCACCCACAGACAAAGCGAAACAGCTCCCAAAGGACAGAGCAGCGGCTCGGGAAGGGCAGAGAGCGTCCAAGCACAAGGGGGGACAGCCATAAACCCCGACGTGACACAGACGCGGCGGGAGGAGCACAGCTGGGACACCTGCCAGAGATGCCCTCCTGGCTCCTGACCGAGCTCCCTCATCCCCATGAGCAAGCAGCACAGCAAGGCACAACCGGCTCAGGAAGGCGCGGAGGAGCCCCGGAACAGCGGCTGCAGCACAAACGCACGCGCACTCAGCGCCTCCCGCTACAGCAGGGAACCATCGCCCCGGCCGACCGCGCACCGGGCCCTGACACTCCACCGCCCAGCCTCGCCTCACCGCGGCCGTAGCCAAGCTGTGCATGGTGGGTGCGCTGCCGATGTGCCGCCGGGCCCGGCTCAGGAGGCCACCGCCATAGGCCCAGGCCCACCACGACCCCTCACCCCGCCGCAACGGACGCTGGGACGGGGCGAACGAGGAACGCTGCGCGCATGCGCCAGAGCACCACCAGGGCGACGCGGTGCGATGCCGGCGGGAGAAACCCAAGGGGGCCTCTCCAGCGCATGCGCAGTGGGCAGCCGGGTCGGCTGGCGCGGGGTGCGCCGGGAAGGGCGTCACCGCCGTGGTGACGTGAGCAGGCGCGCGCGAGCGTGCGTCGCGCGGCGTTTTGGCGCTGCTGGCCAGTTCCCGCCATTCGCCGCCGTTTTCCCCCTACCCCTTCCCCCCCCACGGCCCGGACCCAGCGGCGTCGGGACGCAGGTACCGGGGCTCGGTCCCTCTCCTTCCCGTTCCCCCTTCACCCCCCCGCAGCGGCAGCGAGCCTTTCCCCCCTCCCTTCGCGGCGCGGCCCGGGTGGCCATGGAGCGGCGGGGCGGGACGGGAGGCGCTGCCCTCGCCACCACCCCGTGCCCGTGCGGCGGGGCTCTGACCGAGGGCAGCGGGGCCGGGGTGGGAGCGGCGGCGGCGCCTGAACTCGGGATGCTGGGGAGGGGTGGGGGACGGACCCTCGGCGGTGGCGCGCAGGGGCCGCTTCATTCAGTTATTCCTATCTGACTTTAAAACGCGCCTGCCGTGCTGATCGGGAGCGGGGGCTGCTCCTCGGAACGCGCGGTGGAGTGCCGCGGAGGGCGGCAGCACAGGAGGGCTCCAGGGACCCTCGACCGGGCCCACCCTCATGTCACGACAGAAACGAGCGCGCTTTCTCTCTCGGGCTTCCCCGAAACTTTCGTTTCCGTCTCTTACAGACTCTCTCGGTCACTTTTTTCCTTTCCTTAAGTTCTGTTGAAGTTGCTTCAAGGGTTCGTAAGGGTTTCTGTGTCGGGATTGGGTCTGTTTGCTTTCTACCAGTGGTAAATCGGCGCGTTGCTGCCCAGGTGGGGAGGGAATTGATTAATCCAAGTTTCCTTTGCTTCTAACTCCCCTTCGCTGTGTTTACAAACACCAGCAAAACAGTTCTCCCGAACTTCAACAGAAACTTAAGCCATGCTTACATCTTCCTTCAGAGGTTATCTGGCATGCTTAGTTATAAACTTCTCCTTCTGAATAGGTCTTTAAGGTGGAGTAGCTCACTCCTGTTAGCTCTTTTCCGTGAGAAAGCATGGCTCTGCTAAAGGTGCACGGACCTGTCCGGATGCGCAGCATGCAGACTGGGATTACAAAATGGAAAGAAGGGAGCTTTGAAATTGTGGAGAAGGACAACAAAGTGAGTCTGGTGGTTCACTACAATGTTGGAGGGAGTCCAAAGACGTTTCAGGTACACCAGATATTAAGGCTTTTGTTTGAGCAGTGCATGGATTGTTCTCCTTTGTGAACAGCTGTCCTCTTCAAGGCTATTAAGTGTCACGAAAGCTTCCTTCTGTCACTGTTTCTTGTTCCTCATTTCCTGAACACTAATCCCTTTGTATAACTCTCCTGTAAATTATTCACGTGTATTGTTAAAGGATCTGCCAAGGTCGGCATCCAGATGCCACTGAGTGGGAAGAACCAAAAAGCAGGGAAAAGTTACCAAAGTACATATGTAGCCTTGTGGCTCATGTAACCTTTCTGTTACCAATTTAGTTGAAGAATGTAGAGGTGCAGATCCTGGACACTTTGTATTGGCAGTTTTCCCGCTTGAAGAGTAATGGTGCTAGCACACTTGTAGCCTTCTAATAGTTTAAACAAGACAGCTCCACATCAGTTTTTACAGTTTTAGGTTTTAAATGTTCCAGGCAGTGGGGTTCCCTCACTGGGGGGCTGATGAGGATCACTGTTAAAGATTTTTATGCAATATTCAGCCTAAATTGCCTTATTTTTTCTTTCATTCTGTCCTTGGTTTCAGCTCAGTCTTCCTTTATCTGAAGTGTCCCAAATCAAAAGAATGTAAAGGAGTGTTTTTCTTAAGAAGTTTCTATCTGATATAAAAATATTTGGAGGATATAAAAGCAGTTAGAAAGAAAAAAAATCCAGTCTTATTTATCGACTTTGTAACAGCCTAAACTAATCCAAGTGTTGGCTTCTGCTTTTTCGTGCTGCAGTTCTTCCTGAGTGGTGTTCCCCAGACCATTCCCTGAGCTTTTTGTTTCTGTGTGTGGACTCGCTAAAAGAAAAGTTCACTTTATTTTTGAAAGATCAGCTTTTGCCATCTTTGTGTGCTAAAATGTCATAGCAAAGAACATGAGTTGCCTTCAGATCAAGGGGTGAGAAAATCATTAGCTGTGGATAGTTCCTTCCTCTGTTAATGTGGCCTTCAGTCATTTGCCTTCTGAGACACGATGCTGTGACTGCGTGTTTGATTTAATCCAGTGTTTGACCGTGTTGCTTCTGAGAAGAGTCTCAGAGGTCTCTTACCTTTATGGGGTGCTTGTTCTCTTGCACTTCTTTCTGTCTGAATGAACATTAATGTGGTGTGACAGTGACTTGAAGGGTGATTCCATGAGGAGGATAAGCCTACAGAACAGCTAACCATGGCCTGAAGGGACAGGCTTCACTTCCAGTCTCTTGCATCTGGTGGCTCTGCCACTCATCAGGTCTCCCTGTGAGCTCAGTGGAGGGTTTTCAAGTGAATTTATTCAGGGAAAGAACCAAGTATGAGATCTGGTGTAGGGGGTCATATGGTGCTATGCAGCTAGGCCTGCAGTGGAGGAGGAGGAAATGCCACATCTTTAGACCAAATATTTTTGTTTGGATGGTGGTTATTTTTCAGCAGGTTCTGTTTCTGGTCCTGTTCATCTTGAAGCAACACAGACAGTGACACAAGAGTGTTGGTGAGATGAGCAGCAGGCAGGGAGAGCTGCCTGCCTTTTGTGCTTCAGGCTTGTGCTTGAGTGCGGTTTGGGTGAGCCAACCCCAGTCTCACAGCGCTCTTGCTTGTGCTGCCTCAGGCATCGTAAGTCCCTGATAGTTTTGCTTTAAAAGCAGCATTCCCTTTCTTTGAGAAGTTGCTCTGGGAAAACTGTAGGTGATTTCTCCACCTGTTTTCACTTCTCTGTGATACAACATTTGGATGGATCCAGGGTTAAATTTCTTTCACCTGACTGGTGTGTCATCAGATTTCTTATGTCAAATGATATGTTTTACTGATGTTTTAAAGCTCTGACTAAGTTGTCCTAGATGCTAGATATGTATTAAGAGAAATATTTACTCCCTCCTTCCAAGACTTTGTGACACTGACAGGGTCATAACAGGCGGGTGGAGAGTATGGATGGAACCCTGTCATTATAGCATTTTGAGTTGAAAAAGGTTGTTTTGCACTGAGATGGTAAAGTAAGTTTATCCTTTTGCACCAAGCTTAATGTTTTAAGAGAGGGGGAAAAATTTGGAGTCACCTTTTCAATTCTTATGTCTTTGAAAATATTTTTTAGCTTATAGTTAAAAAAAAAAAAGAAAACAAAACCCCAAATACCGAAACCTCCCAAAATCAAGCAAACAAAACCCCAGCAGCAAAACAAGGATTGCGCACTAAGTATTTCATAAATTTAATTTTCCCAGTAAAACAACCCTGAGTTTCCAATTGAGCTGCTTTTCCAGCCTCTGATAAAGAGCTGTTGTGTCTAGATTGACTTTCCAAGAAGTTAGAGATCTGCACTGAAGAAAAATCTCACTGGGGGACATGGAGTGCCATGTCTTCTATATACCTGAACAAATTTAACTAAAAGTTAGGAATAATTTTTATTTTTAAACTTGTGTATAGTTTGAAGGCAGCAAGGCAGGTTCTAGAGCAATGTATAGTGAAACTTCAGTGTTAGGGTGTAATTACTGTTCATGTCTATTAATTCCTCATTGTAGTTTAGCTCAGTGATGTGGCGGTATGCAGGTCAGGCCAAATTAGGAGGCAGCTTCAATCTGATGGGCAGTGTTTTACTCTGTCTTGTGTCGTGCCTAATGACCTTGGCCGTGGTTTCTGATTGTGTGTGAAGCATTGAGTACAGCAATACCCTGGTGTGGACATCACTGTATAGCTAGCGCCTGATCTTAGGCAAGGCTAAAATGAAGAATTAAGCAAAAAGGGAGGAGGTAATTGAAAATGAGAGTGTGTTTAGGTGTGTATTGTCAAACTTCCATGCAGTCTGCAGATGTGAGGGATTCTTTTGCTTCCTCTGCTTTAGGAGTTACCCTCAACCTCCTCAGATAGTGGAGCCTTTACTGAACAGCCAGTTCTTACAGGTGGCCTAGCATGTAGTAACAATTAAGTAGTGGTATAATAAAGTAGCAGTGGCATTATTAGGGAGCACAGATTCTTATTAAAATTATTTTGTGCTTGACCATAACCCTGAAAGTTTTGACACCACTTAATTGTTACAACGTTGCATGTAGACTAAGCACGCTTCTTATTAACTTACTCCTTCAGCAAATTTTTTTATGCTATGTCAAATCTGCTAATTATAAACTGAGTAGAGTTTGTAGCTAACATTTAAAACATCTTGAATTATATTTCACATTTTATGTGGAAGTTTCAGACAGGTAAATGGGACTGTGTGAAACTCTTATTCTTTTCATTCAAAAATGTCACTCAATAGCAAAGCAAATTTCAGAAAGTTTATTATTATAGGGACTGTTGATCTGTAGGGATGCTATCATCTTCCAAGACCACCAGTTGCATCAGTTCTGTGAGGCTTCATGTTTGCTTGAAATTGAGCAATGAGAAGTATTTCTGTGCAAATGCCTCTCTGTTTGAAGTGGTTTGTTTGAATTTTTAAGTCTTTGGGCTTTTTAAAAATGGATTTATGTTTATAGTCACCTTCTTATTTTCAGCTAAGCCATAACATTAAAACTGTGACACTACGCCCAAATGGTAGAAAGCTGTGCTGCCTAATGCTAACACTAAAGGATACCAGCTTCTTGACAATTGATAAGGTACCATTTAAAGATGCAAATGAAATGCGGATGTATTTGGATGCAGTTCATCAAGACAGGTTTCATACAGGTAAGTACAATTGTTGTAAATCAAGTTAGTAACAGTTTGGAAAGGGGTCAGTGCTGTGTTTCCTTTTCATGTATCTTTAGCCATTTCGTCCTTGTGTTACTGACTTTCTTTGCATTCGTGTAAGTGCTTCTTTCTGGCCCTGAACCCCAATTTTTTGTTACATACCTTTCTTATCATATACCTCTTACCGTGCTGAACAATAAGCAGAGATTAACATGCAGGTATTGCTTATGTTGTAGTCGATATTGCAAATACTTAGTATTTCAAACACTCTTGTCTATCACACATGCAGAGTCTTTCCTTTTTATTTTACCTCTTATTTTATTTTGTTCTATTTAAGGATAGGATCCTTACTGCCAACTGAGTAAATGACCAATATAAGGTATACCCATAAACATGTGCTTACATCTGTGCCCTCAGATTATTGTACTGTCTCTTGGCAGGAAATCTAGCATGTCCCTTCCAAAATTGGCTCCAGCTAAATAGCATCTTACAAATAAGAATGTCAATTGGTTAAATGACAGACAAATAAAATGTTGTGTACTTTTCCTGTCAGTTGGAAAACCCTCACAGGGATCTGGCAGCTTTGGAGGTGTGCTGGGCAGCAGGACCACACAGAAGGAAGTTAATAGGCAATTCTCTTACATAGAGAACCAGGTTTGTTTAATTGTTCAAATTTTTCCTCTCCTCTAATTTTGTTTCATTCATTTCCTTCTCTCATTCTCTTAATGTATGCTATAATAGCACTGTAAATACATATGTTGCATCCAGAGTCTTTGTAATCTAGAGGGCTTGGAATAGATATATACAAGGTGCTTGGCAATACTGTGTCTTGCTCATGGGGAGTCATATATTCAGTATAAACAAGAAAGGTCAGTGTCTGGCTGTGGAAGACGGAAGGTGTTCTTCATGCTGAGCTATCAGTCAGGCAGTGAAGCAGCAAAAGTAGAGGGGAAAATAGGTGATTAAGACTTCTCACATAGTTGTGAATATCTCTGTTCATACTGAATACCTTGCATAGCAGCTGAACATGTTACAGTCAGCATAGGTCTTACTGAGTTTAGCAGACTTCAGCCAAATATATATATATACATATGCATATATATATATATATATAAGCCGCTGACCTGCTTTAGCATCAGAATAAAGTCACTGAATTTGTAGCATTCTACTCAGCGTTTTTTTCCCCCCTTAAGTGTTTTTCCTTCAAAATGTTGTTATTCTTCCTTTTCTTCCTGCATAATGCAGATTTCATGATGTATCTACCAGCTTTAATTTACTTTGTGTCTGTGAATATACCTGTATTACCACCCTGAGGGAGGATATTTTTTATTTTGTCCCAAAACAAATTTTGCATGTTGCTTAAAGGCAACCTCACAGCAAAAACTCCAGGGCACTGTGTATGTTGGTAAGATTAGATGTGTTTAGATTTCAAGTCTAAAATTGATCAACATTCCTAAGTCAGCTTGGCTCTTTCCATTGTGTTACATGTGGCACTTGCTTGCCTAAGGCTGTTAGGGCATTGTTGTAATTGTGTGGGTTTTAATATCCACTCCCCAGGTTTGATCTGGGGATAGAAGTCATGCCTTGAGATTTTTAATGTCAAAGCAGGTGAAGGAGATATTTAAAAACTGAAGTTTAACTTAGTGTTGGAAAATGATAAGGGAAATTGGTGACTGCAGTAGAGTTTCATGTTTATGCCTTCTGTCCATATAATCAAAGTTTTACCTATGTCTAATTGGTGTTAAACTCTCCTGATGGATTACAAGTAACATTTTTCTGGGTTTGGATGCTATACTGTAGCAAGTAAAGCAGTGATGTAAATGTTAGCTGGAACAAGCTTCCAAGGGAAGTGGTAGAATTGCCATCCCTGGGAGTGTTCAGAAACAGTGTAGATGAGGACCTTAGTGACATGGTTTAGTGGTGGACTTGGCAGTTCTGGGGTAGAGGTTGGTCTTGATGATCTTAAAGGTCTTTTCCAACTGAATTGATTCTGTGTTTCTATGTTTTTCACTGTTTCTGTTCTACCCCTGCCCCCTCCACTTGGGTTTTGTAGACTCCTTCCAAAAGAGTGGCTGTGGAAAGTAAGGAGGAAAACGCATTGCGCAAGGTGCTGGGTACCCCACCGAGAGTGTCCGTTAAGAATCCCTCTGGAACTGGAACACCTAGCAACAGGGTGAACATCTCAGCATCTCCTGCACCCACAGTCCCCCACAGAACGGGCTTGTTGGAGAATCGGTAGGAGCATTATCCTCTTACTATGATATATGATACTTCAGCTCTTTGTAGAGCTGCGGGTGGAAGTTGGTATACCTAGAATTAAGAAGGAGTATGTTTCTTCCTCTGGTTTTGCTGTTATTTATAACAGGATGTTAATATGTGCTTTTCTAGCATCTGGCTGGTACTGGCACTAGAGCTTTATGAGCAGCTTAAGAGTTGGACAGACCAAGTTGTTTTCTGTATGCTATGTTATAAAAGTGGAGTTTGTGGAAGATAGGTGCAAAATGCATGGAAAGCACTGAGTTCTGTTCAGTTGGAAGAGGGACACTTACTAGCCTTTCTGAAAGAATGACCACTTCAAAAATTTTCTCTTATCAGTGAAAAGAGGAAAAGAGCACAACCTCCTGGCTCAGAAATGAGTGAAGATTATCCCAAAGAGAATGATTCTTCAACGTAAGTAACCGTGGTTTCTAGTTCTTGATTTTATATTCTTCATTCATTTTGCAAAGGCAATTTTTTCTGAAGGGAATGCTTGGGTATTTCCAGTCTCAGCAACTTGGCACAAGCCAACCACTAGTGAACTTGTGAAGACACTGGGTGCTTGAAATGGGGTTTACGTTCAGGATTAATGAGGGAAATAGAACCTGCTCCTGCAGTTGACTTGCAGGAACTGGCATGTGCAAGTTCTGTTATCTTTCTTCTCTCAGTCTAGTCAGGGTTATCATAGGTGCTGTGCATGTATGGCAGTAGTTACCATCTTTATTGAACTCCTTTTTCAAAAGAAGTTAAAAAAAAATTGAACCCTTTTCAAAACAAAATTCATAAAGGAAAAATTGCCATTTGGAGAACAAGCTCCCTCTGGCTGAAATCACATTTGAGGATAACTAAGAAGGCTTGTTTAAACAAATCGGTTAAACTGATCTGCAAGTAAAGTTCGACCCTTCCATAGGCAAGTATTAAAGGTGATAGGAGAGAAATGCTTTAAACAAATTGTAAGTATCAAGCAGGAATACCCTGTATCTTTTATAGCTGCACTGACTTTCACTCTTGTTCTTCTGTAGGAATAATAAAGCCTTGAGTGATCCAGCATGGAAGTACTTGAACAGTAGCAGAGAGAAACAGTTAAATCTGAAGCAGGCAGAGGAAAATAGGACATCAGGTAAAAAAATAAAAAGTAAAGCCAAATGATACCTGGCTTTGACCAGTTTGATTGAGAGTTGCTGCAGGGGTGGTTATCCTAGTCTGCTTTCCCTGTGCCATTAACTTTCTTGTTTTCTGTAGAGCTAGATACGAGATGCAAACAACTTGCCTTTGTTTTTGAAGCCTGTCTTACTCTAGTGTGACCCTGACTTTTATACTTGGGTGCTGATGCCAGCCCATGTGCCAGCTTGTTTAAAAATTCAACAAGCAGCTTCAAACTTTGCTCCAAGCTGCCCTTCCCCTGGGCAGGGGATTCCTGTAAACGCCTCAGGATTCCCTTTTTGGTTGCTTTTTTGTCTATTTTTAAAGCTCTCCTTTGCTGGTAATGCCCATATGAATTGTAGGCTGGGTTTTTTTGTGCTCAAAATGTGTACTGATTGCTGTTACTTCCCTGTCTCTTCCCTTAGAGAACTTAGAGGGGGAAGTATTTAGGGCTAGGATTTTCATGCTGTTTGTGCCAAAGTTCTGTTGGGTACTGGTGTGTGACAACGTTTTATAGACAATACAGAAATATTGACAGTATGTATATAAGCTAGTAAGTGGCACCGTTCATTTCTGCTCGTAGATACTGAGCCTCTTTCCCCATAAAGGGGAATTCATTCAAGATACTGTTCTTATGAGAAATGTTGCCGAATTCATTCTTCTTCTAGTGCAGCTGTGGTGGCACAAGTATGTTGTTAGAGGAGCCAGTAAGGTGAATGTTTATATCTGAAAAGTTGTGTTGCTCTTTAGGGTCAAAAGTAGAATTTATGCGTATATACCTGCAATGTCAGGCAGCAGGGTTGTGAACTTACTTCGTGTATCTGCATTTTTGAAAGTTGCATGCTTCAAACCACTTCAAGCTGAGATAGAAGCAGATTCTTATTAAACTAAATTACAGTGTGATTCATTGTAGTAGGTAAGGTTTTGACTCTTGAGAACTTTTAATGTGGCACTGTCTGAGACATTAGGGTCTCACGATCCGACACAGTGATATCAGGACAATGAAACAATCATAGGTTGCCTCAAGCATGTACTAATTTACTGTGGAATTTGGAGTGGGAAGAGAAACTGTTTCCACTTCTGCATATTTACCTTGAGTTTTGAGAACCTGGTATTGGAAATCATTAGTGAGTTTTCTGTTACATGTATCTTGTGTATGGGAACAAGAGGTTGATGTTATCTTTGAGATACTTTAGACCATTCAATGACTCTTCAATGTTTCATATTGCAGTTTGGATTTGATTGAGATTATGGTACTAAATTCAAGTAAAACTCCAGCATGTCTTTAATTACGTATGATTAATACTGACCAAGTATTTTCACTAAATAATTTTAAATTAGTAACATAAATAGCTGAGTTGCCTGGAACAAAATGACCTGCCTCTCTGTCTTTCAAGGTATTTTACCGCTGCAGTCATCATCCTTTTATAGTAGTCGGTCTTCATCAAAAGAGTACTCCAGTGGCAGTTCCACCCTGGACAGGTAGGACTGATTCACTAGCATGAACTCTCAATGACAGTTCTTTCCTAGGAATTAGGATCTTTAGTTTCCTGAGTGTTTACCACATGGTATATAGCTTATATGCATAAAACGTGTGTGTGTATATGTGCATACACACACTTTTATTTTTCACTCATCTTCAAACTCCAGTTACTGCTTGCACTAGATAGACTTCCTAAAATCACCCAAGTCTGTTGTACTTATTGTGAATGATTGGTCCTGATGTATTTAAGCTCTAGTTAGTTCAAATTCTATATAAACTCTGGAACTTCAGACTGAATCTTTGCTTCATTTTCCCAAGTAGCTAAATGGCATGAAACTATATAATATTCAGTATTATATATGATACTGAATCCTGCTGAGGTTGGAATTCTTCTGTATTAGACACTGCAATCAAACTGTTAGTCTCTTACCTAGATAGATGAGATACAAGATCAGGGAAGAAAAGCAGCATTGTCCACGCCTTACACACAAGGGACTGAGTGACTAGGTTGCAGGAGGCTGAAAAACAGGACTCTGGCCCAGATGTGAATTTTAAGTATATCTTAGGAGAGGTGATCTCATGCTGCATGATCATTCTTTGTCTCATCATACAGTGTGGAGAATTCTTATCTTAACTGTTACCTTAAAGACAAAGGTTATCTTGAAGGCCGGGTTGGATGAGGCTTTGAGCCGCCTGGTTTAGAGGAAGGTGTCCCTGGCCATGGTAGGGAGTTTGGAACTAGATGATCTTTAAGGTCTTTTCTAACCCAAACCATTCTGCAGTTCTGTGATAAAAGACTTGGTTAGGCTGCATGCACACCTGTGGATGTAAGAAAATTTAACCAAACAAAATATTAAGGTGCTCAGGAAAAGTTCCCTCTTTCTCACACATCTTTTGCATTATGATTCATACCAGTTACCTTGTGTGGCCTTACCACCCCTTGTTTTCTATAGTGATACAATTCCAGTGTCATGGACTATAGCTATTTAAGGAAGAGTATTGGAAATCTTACACTTCTTATCTTTTTTATGCTTTTAGGTCTAGTGTATCCAGCCAGAACCCTTCAGCCAAAAGAAGCCTAGGATTTCTTTCTCAGCCTGCCCCTCTTTCTGTTAAAAAAATGAGATCTAATCAAGATTACACAGGGTGGAACAAACCCCGAGTGCCCCTTTCCACCCATCCTCAACAGCAACTACAAGGGTAACTCTAATTTTCATTATTTAACATGCACACTTTGATCATCAGAACATCTGCATTCTTGTTAGAGTTATTTAACAGGAAAAAAAAAAAAAAGACATTAATGGTCACTGAGACAGGGAATACTTTTCCTTGCTTGGAGAATAGGTGTTCTTAAATTCACTTCCTGAGAATTTAAGAGATACAATAATTTCAGTTAATTCATGCTTCTCTCCTACACTTCCATGATTAATTTCTCTGTCTTGTGCATATATACATTGTTTTTTAAATTTTGATTGCAGAAACTCATGGGTTCTTTCCTGCTAAATGCCACCTCCCATGAGTTTTCAGTTTAGTCTGAAGAGCAGACTCCAATGAGAAACACTGGGGTGGATGTCATATGTGTTGACAGTGTTGTGTTTAGCATTGGCATGTTTGTACATTGACGTAGGTACCATATTCAGTCTTTTTTCTCTTTCAGCTTCTCAAACTTGGGAAACACCTGCTATATGAATGCCATTCTACAGTCCTTGTTTTCAATTCAGTCTTTTGCTAATGATTTGCTCAAGCAGGGTATCCCATGGAAAAAAATTCCGCTGAATGCTCTTATCAGGTAAAATTCACTTTTCCAGGAAGGATATTTTCTTTCATTACTAAGAAATTAATTTTGTAATACTGAAGCACCTTTGTAGAGGGTAATTTTCACGTGTAGATAATAAATCCTAGAGCTGCCTGTGTTTTGGAGTTTTAATTTAGAAATAGGAAGTAGGTGCTTGAAAATTGCAGTGCTGAGTTACAGGCAGGCTTTTCTATCTTCTATATTTCTGGTGGCAAAGTGAAAAAAACAGAAACTACTCTGACCACGCAAATTGAATGTAACGATTTTGTGTTGGTTATTTTGGTGCCATGTGATTTCTTGTCTCCTATCAGTACAAATGTTTTCAAAAAGCACTGTGTTTTGGGTTTTTTTCCCCCTTGTAAAAACTATAGCAGAAATAAGTTGTAGAACTTTATAAAGCTCTTCTCTGCCTTAAAAGCTTGTGATTACTTTTTTTTGTTAGAGTCCTAGTCCAGTGACAGTCTCAAATGAGATTTCAAAATACTTGAAATGGAAAAAGTTAATTGTATATGATAAATTCTCATACAGAACCACTTAGCCACTTACCACAGGACAAAAGCTTTTAGAGACACTTAAAATGAGGTATTGTGAGTTTTGTTTCTCTGAAGTCCTGGAAAGCCAATCAGTGTTTCATTGCATTGACTTCTGCAGACGTTTTGCCCATCTGCTTGCTAAAAAGGATGTCTGCAGCCCTGAGGTTAAGAAGGAGCTGCTCAAGAAGGTGAAAAGTGCCATTTCAGCTACTGCAGAGAGATTTTCTGGGTACATGCAAAACGTAAGTACCATATTGACTAGAAACAGTTACGTGTGATTTGTTCAGTGTTTGGACTGCATTGAACGCCTGTCAGGCTTCAGCTCTATTTGACAGTGACTTGAGCTTTTGACTGAATGACAACAACTGCCTGCTGTGTTTTAGAGCAGAACTGCCTTGGTATTGCTGAGTGCAATGAGCTAAAATACAATTTCCCCAGTCTGTGCATGTGTTGAGAGAAAGATACTGAATGGACTTGTGCAGAATCACATGATGAGTTTACCCTGTTTCTAGGATGCACATGAGTTCTTGAGCCAGTGCCTGGATCAGCTGAAGGAAGACATGGAAAAGTTAAACAAAACTTGGAAGAGCGAGCCAGTCCCTAATGAGGAGAACTCACCAGGACGGGCTTCTGATGACCTCTCAGCCACCAAAGTTTATACATGTCCAGTTATCAGTAACTTAGAGTTTGAGGTTCAACATTCTATCATTTGCAAAATGTAAGTATGCTTGAGAGCTTTTGTCATACTTGCCTTAAATGACGCTTAAGTGTTCCTGTCTTACATGACTTCATCGTCAGGTTAGAACTACAACTAAGAACTATTTGATTTCCAATATTTAGAAAATATGCTATGGTCTAAGAATGCTGTAAACCTCACACCGTGCTGTCTGCTGCTACAGACCTTCTTTGAACAGTCTCATACCATCTGATTATTCGTTACATATCCAGTGGAAAGCCTCTGTGCTTTGTTTGTTGTGTACTGGTTATATGAGAATAGAGAGAAAAGGGAGTTTTAGCCAAGTAATGTTATCTCTTAAATGATGGGAAGCCATGATTTTAATTTGCTCTTTCCAAGGGCTTCCAGGCAGTGGCATTTCCTTCTATCTCTGTAGAACTGCAGAAAAAGATGTGGACCACTGTGAGCCAGTAGAATCAACTCTTTTCTGACCTAGCTGATTCTATGATTCTGTGTCCGCGCATTTGTTGTGTATGACCTGTGCAGCAGATTGCCGCTCGGGATGCTTGCATGCCACAGTTTTCATGAACACAAATGTCTGGGGATATTACTTTGTGTGTACTGCATTAGTTCCCTAAAATAATTATAAGTAAATTGTGTGCAGCTAATAATTATAATTAGTTAAGACGTACTATTATAGGGTTCTTTTTTCGTTGGTTGGGTTTTTTCTTCCAAAGCACACCATGAGAAAATGGAGAGGTTTTCTGTGGGGTTTTTGTGGTTTGGGTTTTGGTTTGGTTTGTTGTTTTTTTGGGGGGAAGGGGGAGTTTGCTATTGTTTTATTGTTTGGTTTGTGGTTTTTTGTTTTTAAGGATGGACTCTACTATTTTCTTTCTAAAAACAGTTTAAAAGTATTTCTAGGCTTCCCCTTCTGTGCTAGGCTCACTTCTTTTCTCCTAAGAATGCTGAATGAAGAAGACAAGTTCAGCTGCATAGCAGTCACTTTGATTTCCTGATCACTTGCCTCTCCAAAGCACTCTGTGGTTTTTTTGTTCTCACCCTTAAACAAATGTTTCTTTCAACTTCTAAAGCATCAAAGTGAAATCACAAAATTCAACTTTGTCATAAGCAAGCAGTTCAATTTTAAGTAAAAATAGATTGATCAAGTTACTTTAGCCTAAAAATGTAAGTTGCCGTTAATTTCAAATATATTTTCCATTGGGCTTACAATAAACATGTTTCTTTTCCATTAGGCTTACAATAAACATGTTTCTTTTCTAGGTGTGGTGAAACAGTCACTAAACGTGAACAGTTTAATGACCTCTCCATTGACCTTCCTCGAAGAAAGAAGTTGCTTCCTTCACGGTCGATCCAGGATTCCCTTGACCTCTTTTTTCGGGTACATAGTTTTGGAGGGGTTGTTTTATTCAGTGTGAAGTATGTGTAGGTTATGTGCCACATGGAAATTTTTATTGTATAGCTGATTATTAGTTTCTGTGACAGTGATTTCAGGCACGTAAAACAATCAGCTTTGCACTTTTTTGAGGTTTGTACATTAACAATACACAGTGGTTGTATTGTAAAATGCTGTACAGACATTAACCGATCCTTACAATACTGCTGTGAAATAGGTATACTTCCCCATTTTGTAATGGAAGAATTGAGGCATAAACGAATACAAAGGAGAGAAAGGGAGGCTGTCAGGCTGAGATACTTGCTGAGAGGAATTGCTGCTTCCTCTCCTGGGTGAGGGTGCTTCAACAGCTTATGTACTGGCTTAAATTAGTGTGGAAGAAAAAGGTCATGCAGATACAATTATAGCTGTAGTATATGGATGCTCATCTTGTAAGTAGAGCTTCAAGGTGAGGTTTCTGAAAGCTAAAAATGAGCCTTACCTCTGAATTAGTGACGTGTTTTGGCATATCTTGAGGCAGACCTGTGGTTTTTCTCCATTTACAGATAGCGTTTTTAGCAGAATAATAGATGTGCTTATTCGCCTAAAAGCTTGTGGAGGTCGTATGATTATTTTTTTTTTAAAGTTAATTATAGTGGTCATTTGGCTTCACTTAAAGAAAATGGCTGCAGAAATGTTTGATGGCTAAGTCACGTAATTTCAACACAGTGATGCTTCCCATTATGCTGCCTGTTCAAAAGCGTGCAGCACATCCGTGACAAGTTTAGATGAGGGTATCTTTTCAGGAACAAAGGTGAGGTTTTGAACAAGGGAGAGAAAACTTCATGTCAAATTGCCTTTCACCAAAGGTTATTATGACAAAAAAAATACCCCTGTATATGGGAGAGAAAATTGTAAACTTACAGACCTGTCCTCTCTCTTTGGAAGCTAATTTGTCTCGACTGTGGCTGATTCACTAGCTTGCAATAGACTTAAAGGAAAAATTCCACTTATGTTAGTGGATGTTGTCAGCATCTATGCTCTGCTCCTCGTCCTCTTATCAGATGCCCTCTTGTTAGGTCATGTTGAAGGCCATTTTAATTTTGAGTGTGACGGCTATTTTGAAGAGCTTCCATGACAGCCAGAAGTGATGTGCTTTCTGCTGAGATCCGTTTGATGTGTCTTTTGTTCCACTAGTCATTTTTCTGTTCTCTTAAACAGGCAGAGGAGATTGAGTATTCCTGTGAGAAGTGCAATGGAAAGTCTGCTGTTGTCACACACAAGTTCAACAGGCTTCCCAGGTAAATGTTGGTATCTGTTCCTCTCTTTCCTGGAAGCACGTGTTAACAAAAGTGCAAACAGAAGTGCTCTGAAGAGCAAAGCTGGGAAAATGTGTAGGATGGCATGTACAGTGGTCAGCATGTGAGAAAGATGCATAGTCTTCATACTGTTCTTCAGTTTTCCTCTGAAGAAGCTCCTAGGCACCCTCTTTAACGCATCTTTCTTCCTCCCTACCACTACACAGGGCTGAGTTTTCCCCTTTCTCTTTTCTTGAGGTTTCTGGGGGGTGAGGGAAGCAGAAACTATAAATACATCCTGGAAGTTAAATATTTTCTGCTCAGCTGATCTGGTGGGCAGGACTGAGTTGGAGGCATTTAGTGCCAGAAGGTATAGAGAGAGTTTTGCTTTGATCAGTTAATTCTTACCATGCTGATACCTGTTTTCTCTCTCAGCAAGGATAGCCCTTTAAGGAAGAAGCAAACACTTAGAGGGCTAATGGCACACTCAATAGTCTCTGACTTTGTGGTTGGGTTTAGCTCATTATTTAGGGTGGAAGCACATGGAGGTAAGGATCATGTTCTCATGGGATGTAAAGCATTGAGTCTTTTGGATAACTTTATCTGGCCTATGTCCCACGTGTACACATGCTGAACCCTGTAACTCAGTAGTTAGCATGAGCTTTGCTTAAATAGTGTATTTATGAAAGCACTGCAAAACCCTTGTCAAAGCTTTTGAACATTAGCACAACAGAAGTGATGGTACAGCTAAATGAACTATATAGACAGTACATTACATGAGTTATGCCATGTGTGGCATAAGGGAAAGGGTTCAATGTAAGGAGGCCTTTTCAGGCTCTTTATGCTGTGTGATAAAAATCTCTTAAAATGAAAGTGTCATGACAGATAAACTGAGTGCACATCTTGCACTATTGATGAGGCGTAGTTCCTCATCAATTTTGGGTAGCTATGTGATCTCTCCATTGCAGTTTTAAATATCTGGGAGTAATATACCAGCATTCTGTCCTATAATTGTAACATTTTTATTGTTTCTTACCTCTCACTGCATAGCAGAAATAATGAGTTTGGCAAAAGCTGCTTGTTTGTGCCTGCCCGAAGAGCAAGGTGATGCAGACCAAAGCAGAAAGCCTTTTCAGTCGACAGAGTCTGCACTCTGCACCTTGCACAAAGTTGAGTGATCCACAGGAGAGTAATCACCTGTCTCTTGCCACGTAAGAGATGGGTAGTGCTTCCCTACCACCCCAAAGTAATGATCTGTTTTAGACTCAGATGAATGCGTTTTGTAAACAGGGCTACTTGGCTTTTGAATGGGATTTCTCTCTTTTGTCTTGAGACTAACTCTTGTTCTGTATCTCTCCTAGAGTCCTGATTCTTCATCTGAAACGATACAGCTTCAATGTAGCATTGTCCCTCAATCATAAAGTTGGGCAGCAGGTGGTTATTCCAAGATACTTGACCCTGCTTTCACACTGTACGGAGAACACTAGGCTGCCGCTGACACTGGGATGGAGCGTTCATTCTGCAGTGTAAGTGGTTGATCTGTGGCCTGTTAACCACACCTGCCCCAACGCAGGCAGTTGTCAGATCTCCAGAAAATGGCTGGGCAAGGAAACTTGCAAAATTATGCGGCTTCAGATGTATGCTGCTAGTTTGGAATGGTGCTGTCATGCGTGGAAAGGGAGCATAACAGAAGCAGTAGGGAGAGCTGGTGAGGCATTATCTAGGGAACATTTGGTATGATAATGTTCTTTACTGTCCTTGAAAATAACCTTCCTTTTGAAGAGAGCTTCTGTTAGTAATTTCTAAAATGTATGCCTCTTGGTCCAAAATAATCTAGATTATCTTCCCCTTCACAACACAGTTAACTCTGCTTAGGACCTATAACATCCTACCTTTCTCTGCTGATTTCCACTTGCACCTCCTGTGCTATCATTCTTCTTTTGTCTTTCCTATGCCACTGTAGTATCGGAGCACTTCACATGCTGAAAATACTCCCTCCTTTTCCCTGTGACAGTTATTTCTGTGCAGCTGCTTGTCGTATGACAGAGAGATTAAATGTGCCAGTTGTCACATAGGAAGTATGTGGCAGAATAAGGATCAAGAAGCCCTTAGGTCTCTTGTCCTTGCCTAGTGACATAACCACAGCGGCTGTAGCAATGTGTTCAGTCAGCAGTGTGGCGTGTGTTCTTGTGCTGAACTTTCAGTGGTGTTTGAGACTTACGCGGATGTTTCACAAGTTTGATTTAACAAGAGAAATCTTAAACCCAACAAGCAGCTTAAGCAAACCAGAGCAGAAAAACTTGAAAACGTGTTTGAAATAGCTTTCCACTGGCTTTTTGTAGTCACTGAAACCATTCTGATTGACTGGAGAGCGAAAGGGTGGAGAGCAGCAGCCCTGTTTTGAGGGGGAAGATTAGAAAAGATTTCTGCATTGGCAGCCATCTGATGGGTAGGTGTGTAGTGATAGTGATGGACCTTGAGGAGCCCGTGAAAGGATTAAAAGCAGCAGGAAGTTTGTCCAGAAGAATCTAGGTAAGGGAGGAGAAACAGAGATGTGGGACATGCCTGAAAACCGGCTGATCCAGATAGCAGTAGCAGACTGTGGTTTGGGAGCAGGAACTCAAGTGTTGGTGGGAATAAAAAATAATGAGTTGTCTTGACATGGGAGCCCAAAGCCTTTAATTTGTGAGCTTGTCCCTAAGGGTGCACCATTAAGAACTGGATCAAGTTTAAAGGATTATATATGGTTTTGAACAACTATTGTATATTTATAGCATGATGGAGTTATTACTCTAAATCTAAGCAATTAGCAAGTACGTAATGGTGCTCTGCTTGTTTCTTTGGTCATGGATTTGCATGCATAGCAGACAAGTAAATACTTATTTTTTTAAGACTCTGACTGCTGCAATAAATACTTTGTGTTTTTCTTAATAGTCCCCGTCCTTTGAAAGCCTCCCAGATGGTGAATTCCTGTACTGTAAGCACTTCCACATCTTGTAGGTGAGTTATAGGTATGAAATGCCTGCGACTTGGTGTTTCGTGGGATAATTTTTAAGGCATTTTAACATTTTGTAATTCTTCTTTAGCCTTTCCCCTTTTCCTATTTATTTTCTTTCTACCTTTTTCTAGTTTAGTAAAATGTTTCAGATACTGTCTTTTTTCCCATCTGTTTTTTATTGGTGTTACATGCTAGCTGAAGTTAATATCCATGGTGCAGTTTGCCTAGTTGAAGTGATCACCTCTGAGAGCTTGTAAGTCAGCAAAGATAACTTGTCAGAAGGCTGAGCATCAGAATGAGAACTGGATTTAGTTGGTACAGGTGCCAGATCTCTTAAATTAGCTTGCATTTTAGTTGCAAGTCACATATGTAAGAAGCAAAGTGGTTTCTAAATCTGTGGTCCGGCTCCTTTCTCTGTTCTGGCTCTATGGAGCCCCAGTGTGTGTTTTGGGAACAGGTGGTTAGTTCCTTAAGTTTATGTGCAAAGATGAGAGGATGATGCTTTTATAAGCAGTTTTGAAAGGCCAGATTTTGATCCAGTGCAAAATGTGATATCACACTGCATAGTTTTGAATAGTCAGAATACTTAAAGACCAGATTTCCTAATTGAGCAGAAATGGTGACTTTTGCCATCAACCTTGTCTTCTGTTCAGGAAAACTGAAAAACTCGTGCAGGTTTGCACTTTTTATATCCTAGCAAAGGTGTGGGAAGGCGCTGTGTCCAGCTAAGTAAACTTCAGAAGTCAAATGGTTTGTGCAGAGTTCTGTGTGTTACCGTGGACTTGACTCAGATGAGTACTGTGAGGGATTATGAGGTTATAAAGTGCAGAATCTTTGGCCTTAGAAGCAAAAGCCACACACTTGGTAACTTTTAACGTTGCAAGTTGCTGTTGCAGGCTTGAAGCTGGTATCTCAGTTACTCTAGTAAAAGAGACCTTTTCTGAAAACCCTGCTCACTATGTTAACAAATTGTCATTGTCAGTTGATGCGGTTTGTTCCCAAAATTGTACTGTCCCACAGTGTGAAAGTTGAGTGTAACACTTCTTTAACAGTTACTTCAAAACAGATTTGTACAATGCTACAGTGCTTTAAAGTTTTATAGCCATGTTTTTAACTTACAGAAAATACGCTTTCAAGTCAAAGAGCTCCTCAGCACTCTCTGTAGACTCTGACAGCGATGATGAGCCATTGAAACGCTCTGTTGCCCATAGCCAAAGGTTGTGTAACGTACAGAGCAAGGATCAGCAACAGCCACAAGAAGAGCCTGAAAAGGTAAGGGGGAAAAGCACACTTTCATATACACAGATCCTGCATGTGCTCATGTCTGGGCTGTGCTTTTCTAAGCACAGACTGTGAGTAAAATTGATACAAGGTAAGGGGGGGGGGGGAGGAGGGTGTCACCTAATTAGCACTGTGAGATGTTGGAAGGGAGTGCTTTGCTAATTGACCTCTCTGTACTGTTGCTTTGGATTCCCACTGGGAACAGAGGTAATTGCATTGCATTGCATTGAGTTTTCAAGTTGGTATACCAGCTGCTTAGCAGTTTTGTCAGTCCTTTGGGTAGCTTTCATTAATACTGAACCAGGCTGAAATATAATGGGATGTAAATGCAGTAAAGCCCTTGATTAAATTAGGTCCAGTACAAGTTGGGCCGAGCAAAATACTCAACTGAGAGAACTTCTCAGACATCCAATCTATGTCCCGTTTCAGGTATGGCTTTTCAAATGCTTTTGGAAACTGAAGCTATCAGCCTTTGGGGGCAGATGTGGAGAAGTGTGTAGAGACCAATTTCATTGGTGTAACGGCACATTTAACTTCAAACTGCCTTTAAGCTCTTCATTATGACTAGTATTAATGTTGCCAAGGTATTTTTTGCCTCTATCAGGGCAGTGCATTAGCAGGTAGATGAGTTGTGTGGGAAAGGAATGATGACCTAGAAGGGAAGTCAAGAAGCTTAGAGGATTATCTTGCAGTACCACTTTCTTCTATTAGTGTTGCAGGCCTAGTGCTTAGGACAAGTGTCCTGCATCTCTGCTTCTCTAAAGTTTTTGACAATGTTAATGGGGTTATTTTAATGAAGCAGAGACTTCTGGTCTTGATTATGGCATTAAAGAACAAGTGTAAAGCTGCCTGAATAGCAGTAGGTAACAAGAGGAGACTATCAGAGCTTTCTGATGGGAAGATCAAATCAGGGGAGGATTCTGATCTACTCAGTATTTAATAAATGATAAAATAGATAATGAGTATTACATTTTCAAAAGACCCAGAGCTGGGGAGGGCTGCCAGTATGTTGAAGCTCAGAACTACTGTTCAAAATGATCTTGACAAACCTGAGAAATGGCATAAAAATAGGGGGGTGGTTCAGGAGGAACAGGCTAAAGGTGCTAATCTTTGCAGGGCTAATTGGCCAGATGGGAACAGCTGGGAAAGCAGTGAGCCCTCAGAAAATGAATGAAAGGTGATGGTCGGTCACAAGGTCAGGCTGGTTGAAAACAGAAGCATATAGACAGAGGCGTAGCCTGCAGGTTGTGTGAAGTAACCCTCCTTGTTTCCTCAGCTGTTGAGCTGGGGTTCTGTATCCAGGTTTGGGCTCCAGGCTGAAAAGAGTTATAGATGAATCAGAGAAGGGCCAAAGGAGGGAAAGATTTTGAGAGAAAGAGCAGGCAAGTGAACTTGGGTCTTCAGTTTAAAGAGAGACCTAAACAAGACTTGTGTTTTCAAGGAAGGGAAAGAAATGGGTATAAATACTTGGGCTGTTTTCCATGCTTGTGATGGATAGAATAAGAACAAGAAGCAATAGCCTAAATTGTAGACAGTAATTTTTAGATTTGATATTAAGGCAAAATTCATGATGCTCAGAATGTTTAGGGATGGAATGGGTTGCTTTTGGAGAAAGCAGAAAACCTGTGTTGTTGAAGGGCTCAGGAGCAGTGTAGGCAACTGCTCTCCTGCATGGCACATCTGTACCTGCCTGCGGGTAGGGAAGGAAACTAGTTTGTCTTTGAAGTCCAAACTGTCCCAAACGGTTCTTCCTCAAGTTTTGTTTGTGAGGAAGTGTAGGTAGTCTCTATCACTGTGAGTGCAGAAATTGTGGGAATAAAACATATTAATTTGAATAGCAAATCAATTATAGGCTTTCCAGCCTGCTGTGGGAAAAGGGCAGTGGTGGTGATGATTCCACGTAAGTGACTTCATTCATTGTGGCCATGCACATTGGCCACTCCTCAACCACAGGCCTGACGAGCCACCTGTTACCATTAACCAGATCCTCTGTGCTTCTCAGTGTTGTCCTGAGAAGACCTGGTCCTGGTCCCTGGAAGTGGCATTACTGCTGCTGCACCATTTCCGTTGGTGTGCTTCTCATAGCAGCTGCGGATGGGGTTGCATTAGAGGCTTGGCAGTCACTTTGTAGGGCTGTATATCCCCTGCAGGGCAGTGCTTGCAGAACAGTGCTGCTGTGTGGGATAACAGCTGGAACAATGGGTGTATGCAATATTGGGTTGTAGGGCCAAATAGCAGTCATCCAGCTGAAGTGGGCAGAACTGTGATTTCTACCTCTGATGAAGTAGTATTTGAAGTACTTTTAATACTTATTTAAAGCAGCCTGTCTTGGAGTCTGAGCTACCTAAAATCTATGCAAATAATTTGTAATTGAAAAGTTGTATTCATATAATGCACAGATGCTGACAAGTCTTTAAAGTTCATCCACTGAAATAGTGGTGGTGGTTGGCAAAGTGCCCAGAACTAGTGTTTGCTGAAAAGCTAAACCAGTTTTGACATTGGTACCCTACAGGTGTAGAGAGAGAAATCAGAAAGCTTAAAAAGCAGGTACTCTGCTTTCCTTATTCAGTGCCTGAATAGATGTGAGGAGAGAGATTTAAATTTGTCACTTCTAATTCTTGGAGGTCAGGATGTCTAGAACAAGCAATTTAGTTTGCCAGTTCCTTTGCTGATCTTGCTTGATAAGCCAGTTTTAATACAAAATGTTTGTTATATGAAACTAGTCTTGTTCGTCAAAATTTTGCCATATTGAAGTAAAAAGCATCAATAAAAATGTATTTTTTATTCATTTTATCAAAGTTTTGAGATCCATCCGTATGCAGTTTGGAACAAGACCTGGACAAATACATTCTCATAGAAACTATTTTTGCCCATTTTTAACATAATAGAAGGGGAAAAAAATCTAAGCATATGCTAAGTAGTGTAATTATGAAAATATGTGTACATGGAAGTTAACCTCCTGATTAACAGTTAATATAAAAATGATTGAAATTACTATATTAGTTGCAAATCAGTATGATGTAGGAGTTAATGAGCATCAAATTTAGGAAGATAACTGAAAAAAAGAAAGATTCAGATTAAGACAAAAGTGGTTTTTCCTTCTTGCAATTTGAAGTCATTCTCTTCTCCCAAGGAAAGAATAATTCCCCCCCACACACACTCCTTTCTCTGGTTAACTGTTTCCTCATTTGATTTGCAGCATCCTGCCTCTCTCCCTCCCCCCTGCCCTGAAGATTTTATATGGCAAGTCTATAGCACCAAACCTGATTTTAATTGCTGTTCATACCAGCCTTGTTTCAGTTCCTGTCCCATCCCTATGTTCAAGTTCCATTATTCTTATGTTGCTGCTTCAGCCTTCGTTAACAGACTTGCAGTTTCACTACTTGTGCCTCATCACTGATTTGCCAGAGGCTTGAGGATTCATCAGAACCTAGAGGTAGAACACATGTGTTGAAGGAAAAGAAGGGAAGGGTTATCTTTTGTATGCTAATCCACAGGGCCTGTAAAAACTTGGTTATAGTTTATGTTTAAATATTCCTTGAAGTGAGCGTAGTTGCAAAGGTTGTCTCTCCATTGAGTCTCGTATAACTGTTTAATGTTGACAGAGCCAAGCTCCCACTCCCTGGGGTTAATAAAATAAAACTAAAGGTGATGCTATATACCTTTTTATTGAAGCACTTAATCATAACTCTTTCTACAGGGTTCAAAGAGAAGTAAAATGGAGGGCGATAAACCTGAGCTGGGTAATGCTGGTTTTGATGGGATGAGCGAAGATGAGCTGCTAGCAGCTGTCTTAGAGATTAGCAAAAGGGAAGCTTCTCTGTCTCTGAGCCATGATGAAGATAAGCCTACAAGCAGCCCAGACACTGGTTTTGGAGATGATGAAATTCAAGAGTTACCAGAAAGCCTGGAATCTATGGAGATGGAGAAACCAAAAGCAACATTAGACTCAGGTAAGGCAAACTACCTACCTTAGTTGGACTATAGTGAGCTAAAGTGGATTACTGATAGCATCAGGTTAGTAATGCATGGCAGCAGAATCTGGCTGTAAGTGCACTGCTGAAGCTACCTGGCTTCCTTAGTTTTGTTACTGTTGAATTCATTGAGCTGTGAAAATGTATTTTTTTGTATGTCTGTCGCCTCTCTGATAAAGGTGTGCTCATCTTCAGAGTTAATTCCCTTTGGGTTTTTTTCTTCTCTCTCCTGAGAGTTTCTGTACCAGACAATTCCATTTACTAAGATTTGGCAGTGTCTGGAACTTAATCTTCCATAATCAGGAAGCATTTTCATTTCTGCAGCAGTTGCAGCCAGGGCAGCACAGCAGCAGTGTTTACATTGCTGGTGTGCAAGATTGTTGTCTGGCGTGCATAAGGCTAGAGTGCTTTCATAAATGCAGTTGTTTTGTCACTAGTTCCTAAGTTACACTTATAGAGAGATAAATTACGTTTATCTCTGTGATTTTTTCCTAATACTTTTCAATGTGAGAGGAGACCCTTGAGCATAAGAGGCTTGGCATGTGAATTATGGCCTTTGACCCAGAAACACAGTTAAGTACAAGAAGAAGCCTGCTTGATCTCAGTGTAGGGAAATTGTCTTCTTTAGTTGGCAGAAGGAAATTTAAGCGTTTATCATTTGCTGTGTGCTGCATGCTTTCAGACAGATCTTAAATTCCACTAGCTTGGAAAAACAGGCCAACAGTATGCTCTCCTCCTCTAAGAGCCAGGAGGTTAATTATTAATAACAACAAGCACTGTTCTCAAAAATCACACTTGTTTCAATGGACAGCTTTCATGTTAGAAGGCAGAGCGTAAAGAAAACTGTAAGTCTGTGGTCAGCCCCATTTGTGCCCTCCTTAATGTACACTAATGTTCCTTACGGCTCTGTGAAAAGAGTTGTGAACATGGCCACATAAATGTAACTCCAGGTTTTCTTTGGAGAGTGTAATGTAATTATTTGAAGACTCTATTGTGACAGTGTGTGACACAGTATTGTGTCACTTTGTGGCAAGTATGTCTTTAATAAAAGTTTCTGTATTTTCTGATTAAGAATGAAGTAAACACTGAATATTACGTTGAGCTTTTTGTATTTGACTGTGTCTGACCAAAGCACTGCTTCAAAGCATTCTGCTTGGCATTCAGATGAGCTATGTGTGTATGCTGAGTTACCAGTTATGGCAGCTGGATGTAACATGCCCTGGGTTCACATTCCTGTTCTATTTAAAGGAAACTTAATTGCAGGAGATCCTTTGCTGTATCACGCAAGATGATTCTAAGCATGCTGGATTTAACCTAGTCCATTTTTTGTTACTGCCAGTAATAATATTTTGTTGTAAACACTGAATAATTTATGGGGCTTTCGAAAAAAGCTAATTTAGATATGGCAGAGGATGGGTTTTTTTTGCTACATGATCCTTAAATAACGGTTTTGTGAGTTGAGCGTTTCTTCTTATGCTGGAAGCATTCAAAGGTCATGTAATAAATTCAGTTGTTTTTCATCTTAAGAAGATTAGACTTGCAGATTATAGTTCTGGCTCTGGTGGTCTTGTGTTTAAGAGCTCACAGATGCTGAGACTGCCTTGTACAATCCTAGCTAATAACTAATGAGCAGATGTTCAAGTCTGCATAGGGCAAAACTATGAAAGCTTCACATGTTGCAGCGTGATAGCTGTGGGAGCAGGTCCTCACTTTCTCAGCTGCGAGCAGATGGGAGGTGTCTTGCACCTGCAGGAGATGTATGCAATGGTCGAATGAATGTTCATGCCAGAAGTTCCGTAAGATACTTCTGCCACAGCATTCACTTTAAAGGTGAACTAAAAAGTTATCATGTTCTTACACTTTTAATGCTGTAGGTGGTGTTCACAAGATTAAGTCTCTTACCTGAAGCAAAAAGTTAAAAATTTAAATAGTGCTTGAGATCCGTGCTTCCCTCTGTCTTACATATGATTTGGCTTTAACTGTAGCTTCATCTGTAGCATTCTGAGGTATAACATGCAATGCAAGTTTTTATAATCCACGGTTCTTTCTAGAGAAATTCAAGTGTCAGCTTCACGGCTGCAGAAACCTAGTGCCTTGTGACATCTTGCTTTAGTTAAAAGTTGCTGTTTCTGAACATAAAAGGATGAGAAGAGAGACAGGTTCAGGGATTCAGGAAATGATCCATTTTACACTTGTTGGAATAAGTGCAAGACTCTGCTTTGGAGCTTTTTCTGTTTGACTTGTGTGCTTCGTTCACGGTTGGTGAACTCTCGCTGTCAATAGATGTCACTGTGCTGCAAGGATTGTGGTGATGTAAAGAGGATTTAGCTGGTAACAGAAGACCCGGGAAAGCATAACTGTACTTTCTCATTCCCCAGGTCCTGCCAATTTCACTGAGATAACTAAAGATTTTGATGAGAATAAGGAAAACAAAACTCCGGAAGGCTCCCAAGGGGAGGTTGACTGGCTGCAGCAGTACGATATGGAGAGAGAGAGGGAAGAACAAGAGCTCCAGCAGGCGCTGGCTCAAAGCCTTCAAGAGCAAGTAAGAAATAAAGTTTGCTTCCTTGACTTCTCTTGCCCATCAATGGAAACCCAATGGCTGAAGGGAAAGCTGGTGTTTGGGCAGTAACTGCAGAGGGGTTTGCCTGCTTCACTTGAGAAAACCAGATGAAAGAAAGGTTCGGGTTTCTTCTAGCTCCAGTGTCAGAGTGATGGCACTGGATACATCTGGGCATGTTTTGTATGTGCATTGGAAACCACATATCACATCACAGACCTGCAGATTTCTCAGAGCTTTCCATGCACATTTATACACTGATGCTTGTAACATTATATAAAAATGATGATAAACTGAACTAAGCTCTTACTGCCTGTCAATGAGAACCAAGCTCACCTTTAGCTTCCCTGACAGTGGCTTCTTGCAACCTGTCATGTCAAGACTTAGTGAAAGTGGAAGGATTCAAACCAGATCCTAAGAACAACCGTGCTAGGTCACGTTAAAGATCTGTCTATCCCAGTGCCTCATTTCTAGTACTAGCCAGTAGAGGATTCTTAGTGAAGAAAGAATATAGGAACAGAGCATTTATATGATTTTTCCTCTGTTAGTAAATTGGAAATAGGATCTCAAGTTATTTCATCTAAAACAAGTCCTTCAAATTAGACTTGAAAAGAATTGGGTTATCGAGTTGTGTACTGACCATCTGTATTCCACTTAAATTTCAAGACCTCTAACTGATTTCCACAAGTTTAACCAAGCTGCTGAGAGTGAAGCAAGTGTTCAGCCAGGTCTTTCTTTAAATAGGTGCCCTTGTTTGCTCTCTATTAATACTAAAGCTGTCACAGTTTTCCTTATGAGATCTAATGTTTCCATGGCTCTCGGATTTTTCTCTCCCATTACTCATTATGAGGTGCTGGTTGGTGTGTTCCATGCCAGATGTAGCTTTGATTCAGCAATGCTGAGTAGTTTAACAAAGATTCCCAAATGCTTTAGAAATAGTAAGATAAAAGGCCTCATGCTAATAATGTAAAACTGCCCTTTGAGTGTTGTTCTGCTACAGTTCTGAAGCGAAAATCTGCTATTCTAATGATTCAGGCATGGAAATGTGGTAGCTGTGGTTATCTTCATTTGAAATACATAGTTAGGGTTCTGTGTTCAGGTGCACTGAAAGCGTTCAAACCCTGAATTAAGGAGCCAGCTCATTAAATATTATTGACTGGCTTGTTGCAGCTCCGATCTTTCCAAGAGTGGTGGGAGGAACAGGGGTGTGATGCTACCCGAAGATTAGAAGAGTTTGTTGACTTGAGGTTTCTTTGCTACTTGTTCATGGTAATATTTTTAATACCTGGCTGTTTAGTGGTGGGGATTTTTGCATCCTGCCTTTGTAAATTACACCTGTTACACACAACCACTGCCTCTGCTTTCTGATGGCTTCAAAATAGTGAAATCTGCCAGGATATAACAACTCTGTCCTCAGCCAGCTTTGGCCAGAAGTAGTCTAAATTTTGTCAAAGTGTGAGGAGCTTTGTGTGTAGGTGACAGCTTTCCTTAGTGAAGGGTTGCAAATTCATTCGGATGCTTTTCAAATTAATGATCCAGGGAAAGCGTTTGGTGTTACTGGAGACTCACTCTGCTGCATACCAAACCTCAGGAGCTTTGACGAGCCTTAATGAAGGTTTGTCCCAGGTTCTGTGGCACAAGAACATTGGACTCTTGCTGGTTGCAAACATTCCTTCACACGGAACCTTTAATTTAGTGTCAGGTTTGTTGTAGAAACCAGAACAGCACAGTTTCAATGGAAAAAGTGCACCACAAGAATTTTAAACAGTGAAGTGTCTCAATGAGCTGAGTTTTGTTCTCTTCCCATTAGGAGGCACGAGAACAAAAAGAGGATGATGACCTTAAACGAGCCACGGAATTAAGTCTACAAGGTGAAGCTTATTTAACTTTCTCCATGATGTTGCTTTTGAGGGCAAATAGATCTGTGTGTATGAGTGCAGCTCCTCAGTGTCTGTAAGACAGCTAAGATTTCATGTTCTTTTGATGTGTGCTTTGTTGTGTTTGGCTTTGCTCAGGTTAGCTTCTCTTGCTCTTGATTGTGAAAGCAAATGCCAGGAAAAACTTAACAGGAAAAATGACATTTCAGTTTCTTGAGTTTTTATTAGATCTATAATATATATAATTGATACAGATTACAAATAAGTAATATATTAAATATATCTAATGTAATACAATAAATGTATTATATGTTTAATATTGATCTAGAGAGAGCAAAATGGACCTTGAAATTTTTCATTCCCAGCAAAAACCAGCATGCTAATGGCTCTAGTCAGAGCATAAGGATTATTTCTTACTTGCATTGATATTGCAGTGCTAATTAGCAAAGCACTGGCCTTGCCCAGGAAAGCGAGTGAGTGCTGTATCTGAAGCAGGCTGGGAGGGGGACAGACCTCACTGCAAGGTATAGCTGTTGGGGATGAAAATAGAAACCCAAAATACACTATCTGCCTTCTCCAAATCCAGGCAGTGTGGTGAGCCTCAGGCACTGTTTAACATTTGTGTGAGGCTGGCATGCAAGTGATTTCATACAATCTGGCAGAGCAGAGCAAAGCAACAGAAAAAATTCCCCTCCAGAGAGGGAGGGGTAATGAATTCTTGTGTTAAGGTTCTTGCAGTTGCTCAGGCACCTTTAAAGACATTTGGTTATTACTGGATCAACCTGTGTCTTCTTCTGAGAAGCAAAGTAAGTTGAATGCTGCCTTAGCTTTCCCCCAGTCTTGAGTGCTGTCCCCCGATGAGCTCTGGCAGACTGAGCGCCCAGTCCCTCTCAGGTCCGCCTTGATTTGTGTCCAGGAAGAATTCAAGGCGAGAAATCCTTTCTCCTCCTGATTTGCAGTTGCTTAACTTAAACATGAGAGTTGCCTTGTGCTCCCCTACTTGTTACTGTCTCATTTGTAAGGCAACAGCAGCAGCAGTTGCTGAAGTTTCCGCTTACAATCTCAAAGTTGTAGCTGCTAGTATTTGTCTTAGGAAGGCTCCCAGTGGTGCTCCAATCAAAGAACCACTAGTTATCCAGGGACCGCTGGTGCAGTGGCGTTTAGCAATAGCTGTGGCAAGTGCTTCATGCAGAGACCTACCAAAGTGGTTACGTTTCTTGGCTGCAGTCTATCTTACAGAGCCAACAGCCCCAAGAAGTGTGGAAACCAGCAGTAAAATATTCTCAGCCAGAGGGATTCATCTATAAACTTCCTGAGAAGATTATACTAATCCAGCGTCTGATGACTTAACAGGGAAAGCAGTGTGGGAATCTCTTTGGCAAAACATCTCCATCATAACCAGCCTGACAGTCTTTTTAAAGGGGAAAACATCCCAAACCCTGAGCAGTGTCCTGTTAATGTCAACTTCTCATCCTCCAAGGACTCCTCAGCTTTCATTTAGCTGGTGAAAGCGTAGCTACTTCTAATGAGCACTGTACCAGGTCTTAAATTAGTGGGGTAGATGCAGAATCTCAGGAAGTTTGGAACAGCATGTACAGGGAGCACTGGTGCCTTCCGGCTCTTTACAGAAAGCTGCCTGCATTTTGCTCAGCCAAGCAAACTGGAAGTTCCTGTGGTGAGCAGCCTTCTTACCATTGAAAAACAAAGAAGAGATGCTTGCTGCCAGCAGTAGCATTTTTATGCCAGTTTAAATTGGAAAATGCACTTTGTTATTGCAACTTATAGTTAAAACTGTAATTCATAGCTGCTTGTTGCAGAAACTTACAGTGCACTGACCAGACTGTACTGCCTTTAATATCGGTTCTGGCTGCAGACGACTGGTGCTCTGGAGTGAACTGGGTGGTTAAGTGCTCTTTTATCACCCAGCTGTCATTGCCATAGTGCCCTTTTGTAAAAGTATGAGGGAGAGGATGCTAAAATGAGTTCTGTAGTCTGAGATACTTTTCTTAACTATTGCTCTGACAAATTGGGGAAGGGAGAGAAAGTTTTTAGTTGGAAATTCCAGTATCCCCTACTTTCCTTGGAAAGGAAGCTTGAAGCATTAGCATTTTGTTTATGTGATTAGATATACCCTGACCTGTTGTGAATTCCTGTGCATGCTATGGCTTCTCATGCAGTATCATTGTTCCATGCTATCTAGAGTTCAACAGCTCTCTCCTGGACAGTGTTGGTTCTGATGAAGACTCTGGGAATGAAGATGTTCTTGACATGGAGTATTCAGAAGCTGAAGCAGAAGAGCTGAAAAGAAACGCTGAGGTGTGATCTATGATTTCAAAAGCTAACTGAGACATACACCCCTTCTTTCTTATCAGTTTAGTGTTGGAGCTAGTTCTACAGAGCAGGTGTAGAGTCTAGAAAGGGTCTCTCCTGTGATGTTCTTTTAATTTTAAGAAACCAAAACAGAACAGCTGCAGAGACCCTCTGAGTTTCTCTAAGATGTGGATAATGGTGAAAAGGAAACAGTAATTTTATACCAGAAATGTCTCAGTGCATGTAAAGCAGTGGGCCTGAAATTTTTACTTACAGAGAGGATTTCAGCCAGCATAGTAGTTTAGTTGCAACGCCATGGGCTTCTAGATCCTGCACCACCAGAACTGAGAAGCTGTGGCAATGTCTTACTCCCATTAGAGGAAACCTAACTGTAACCTAGGCTGTGCTTCTGGCAGCTGGCATGCTCAGACTCCACGCAGCACTGTTGTGAAACTTGCCTGCTTGCCTTGGTGGAAGGAGTACTGTGTAGCATGGAAAAGGTTAAGTAATTAGAGTTTCTTGCCGCTCTTTACCGATCTCCTTACCCTTAAACCAAGAGTTAATACTTTAAGAGTATTGTCAGTGAATCATATCAATAATGTTTCCTGGTCAGAGAGCATTAAATATTGCCAAAAGCCAATTACTGTCATTTAGTTTTATTGGCAGTGAACAGAGCAAGCATGTTTCCTGCATGCAGAAGGGGTGTTGTCTGCTGACATTACAGGTGCAGGATGAGAGAATCTGGGCTACACAGAATCATAGAACGGTTTGGGTTGGAAGGGACCTTAAAGATATCCTGTATTAGCTGTTGAATCTGTGTGCCATTATCAAGGGTATTTCTTTGATACATCAGAAGTGTTCCCTTTTTGCCTTTCTGTGTTTATTTGGTGAATGAATTCTGACATCAGTGGAAGTCGCTCAGGAAGTGGTTGTTTAGAAAACTTTACAGTGCAGACCTCATGTCAGCATCTGTTCTGGGGTCACAGGGGCTCCCTTGCATGTTCATTGGCTTGCTGAAAGGTTAAATAAGATGGGAGGCTTCTTCCCACTTCTGGAAAGACTCCTTGTTTGGTTTGAACCAGGGTGTCTGTTTCCGTAATCTTCGGTTGAGTTGTAGCTTTGGATGCAATAGCCAAAGCTGGTATCTCAGATACAAATAGTCTTGTCCATAAGCTGTGTAGGACAAGAGTGAATGCCCAAAAGCTTTAATTGGACTATTTTCTTTTAGACAGGAGAGCTTCCTCACTCGTACCGTCTCATAAGCATTGTGAGCCACATCGGAAGCACATCATCTTCAGGTAAAAGATGCTGTGTTTTATTCTTCATCAGCTACGTAGCTTAAAAAATCTATAATACAGCATTACCATACCACAGTTACTTGCAGAGAAGAGTTCCAGCAGCAACGCAAGTCTTCTGTCATGGTTTGCTGGTGGGGAGCAGGTTGAGGATGTCATGGTCCCTCACTGCAGCATATGTATGGTGTACTGCTTACAGGGTTTGTGGAGTTGCTTGTGCTTGTTACCAGCTTATTGCCCAGGAAGAATGGAGGGACCAGGATCTTGAGGGTCTTTAGCATTTAAATCTGATGTAGGTTGCTGGACCAGAGTATCCAGCTAACCAGCTTATTGGTTGAACTGCAGCATGAAAAGAAAGGTGCATTCTCTGTTTTAAAGGTCATTATATCAGTGATGTCTATGATATCAAGAAGCAGTCCTGGTTCACCTACAATGACCTGGAAGTGTCTAGAACACTAGAGGCCACCGTTCAGTGTGACAGAGACCGAAGTGGCTACATCTTCTTCTACATGCACAGGTAGGTGTCTTGGGGAATTCTGGTGCTGGAAGAAGAGGAAGTGGGCTTCTATTCTTCCTCCTCATTGTGCTGGGATGAAAAGTGCCTCCATGTATTTGTCAGAAGAAATCATAGAATTATATGCACGAAATGACAAAATTCAAGTGCTCCGAGTACAGAGAAGTGGAATTGTATGTCACTATTACATAGGGTTTTAACAAGATGCATTAAATTGTATTTTAAGAAGGGGATTCATTGTCTCAGCTATGCATTCATTGCACCAGGAATCATAATGGAGCTTGGGTTTTTTCCTTAAGCACTGTGATATTTGTAAAAGCCCTGTCTCTGTTCCTGGTGGTTGTGTGGTTGCAGCCAGTGTCATCTCAGGACACAGGTAAGATGAGGTTTGTAGGTAGAATTGGTACCTTTTCAGGCGCATGAAACTGAAGAAGGGGTTCTATTCCTGAGATTGTCTGCTTCACCTGTCTTTATTGCTTGCTTTAATAAAGGATACTACTTCATCTGCAGGCTGTGTCCTGTGTTGCTTCTGAACCTTTTACCAGCCAGGAGTTATTTTGACTATTGTTACTGTTCTCTGAGGCTTACTACTGACCTTATTCACTGTAAGAAATTAAAAAGTTAAAAAGAAGTGCTGTGGGATTAAAGGAGCCTGGCTTTGAGGTGCCAGATAAAACACCTTTCTCTGCCAGGATCCATGAGCTTGAGGTTGTGGATTAAATCCAGTGGCTGATTTCCTCAGGGCTGTCTTATGTAGCAATCTGTTGTTGTACTTAAGTTTCACTACTGGTCTTTCCCCTCTGTTCTAGGGATATCTTTGATGAGTTGCTAGAAACAGAGAAAAATGCACAGCCACTTAGCATGGAAGTAGGAAGATCAGTTCGTCAGCCTCTGTGAAGAGTAAAACACCTTGTTCCTCCTGAGGAACAAGGGAGGTTCTGAACTTGTGCCAGCCACGCAGGAGTTAACAAACAGCTCAGGGCCAAAACAAGAGGCAAAAGGTAGAAATATGGGACGCTCGCTTTGCTGAACCATCTGTGCAAGTCCTGGGCCTGAACCACGCGTTTAAACCTCGACATCCCAGAGCACTCCTCCTGTGGTGAAGTTTTTATTGTTCCTCAGATAATTTTGTCAGCATGGAGCCTTAAAGAGTTGCATCAAGCCACAAGACTACAGCTGCTCATAAACTGGTTTAAAACAAATAGTGCAAAAAGAGACTCGACCTTAAAAGCCCATTCACTCGTGAGAAGTGAGTGGTGAAGATTTACATATCACTTGGCTTTTCTGGTTTTGTTTTTATTGGGTTTTTTTTAATCCGAGAGCAATTTAAGCAATAGATTTGGTAACCTGGCGTGTGTTGTGTTAGTAATATTCACTGGAAACCCAGATCACTGGGTACGCTCTCGCCACTCGTCTTTGGAATCACTCAAGCTGATGGGTTTGGAAGTGCTCCACTGTTTACCTGTGCTTCCAGGAAACAAACTGTCGGTGCTGTGGAATGTATTGCATACGTTGTGGCAGCTCTGTTGGGTTTGGTTTTTTTTACACCATTCACTGTCATCTTCATTTAGATGTGAGATTATAGATGTGATTTCCTTTGTTTTACAAGTTCTACTATTTGATTTTCTTCCTGAGGTGGTTGTTTTGTATTGGAGAGGTCTCTTCTTTGGGTGTGCAGTATTTAGCACTGAAGTGACCCTGTTTGAGGCTACTCCAGTGTAACTCTGGGGGTAGGTGAACACCTGGAGCAGACTAAGAATAGCAGCAGGAGGTGAGCAACAGCCACTTTGCATCTTCTCGGAGTGAAAGAGTGTTCTAGCCTTACCTTTTCTGTGCAGGCCTGGGGCATTGTGAAACAGGAGTGGTGGGGAAAGGGTCTGCAGGGTAGCACTTGGCACTTGAATTGCTCTTGTCTGAACCATGGTCTTGCCTTGGTCTTGTATCCCAAGAAGAGAAGGTAAGAGGGGTTTTACTGCAGCTATGCCTCTGTTCTCCTTTCTGAGGAGCACAGAGGGCTCAAACTGTGAAACTAAAGCAGGTGGAAAGCTTTCAGAAAGCGTTAACATGGTTATGAAGAAGTGTTGTGTTTTGTTGGATTTTGAGACATGAAGCTCCTTTGACATCTTGTTTCAGCAGGGAAGGGGGAAGCCAAGTGACTTCAGTTTTTCAGCACCTTGGCACTGATTTAGCAGGGGCAGTTTCCTTTTGCTGGCATTTACTCATTTCAGAGATGTTGTTGCTGTTAAGCAGAGTAGTTGCTCTTGGTTTGGCCTCTAGTTCTGATATTTTTGCAGCATGAGTTTTAGAGGTGTAAGACTTCTGTTGTTTTTTGGTTGGTTTTTTTTTTTAAAAAAGGAAACAAAACCAAACACTTTTTTTGCTATTGAGATAATTTCTGGGTTTCTTAAACTATCCTTAGGAGTTTCTCAGGAATAAACCAGCTGAAGCAAAGCAGACAAAACCATCAATTTAGGAGACATCAGGCACCTTTCATGGGCACTTCCACACTTCCTGGCAGGGGGGTGCTACCTTAGTGGCCTCTTCTCACCCCTGTGCGCAGCAGGGACCTACAGCCATCAGTAGTCCTCCCTAAACCAAGGGCTTCTGGGGACCCCAGTGTGTTGAGAAGACTGTGACTGACCTTGCGGTCCCCACGTCGGATGAGCCCAGGGACCTGGTCAGGGTGACGTCTTCCTGGTGTCCAAGCTAGGAGCCAACATTTGGTTGTAACCATGACAGAGTGTTTATCTTGCAAGATGCAGCCCGGGTGGGTGTGTATGTTATTAATTTATTATAAAGCATTATACTTTTCTATTGTGGATACTGATTTGGGTAGAACTGTGGGCTGTGGGAAGAGGCAGAGATGTGGGAGCTGTCCTTTGAACTGATTGCCCCTGCGGATGTGACGGACTGCTCCCGCCAGAGGGCAAACCTGTTTTCCCCAAGCGCATCCTCTGCTAGTGCTGTAAATAACCAGTATTCCTGTAGTGGCAGAAGCCAGCTCTGCTTTTTTTTGGGTGACAAGGTTGTTTTTGCAAGGTGCTGCACTCCCGTTAATTTATAATAAAAGCAAACGTTGCCTGACTTTTCAGTGCAGTAACTTTTGTTTAAACCCAGGTTTTGGTTGGGTCAGGGTGTGAAAGCTGATGCTTGAAACCTGTGTCCTTTGTTTTGTGGAAAGTTCTTGCTTATTATTCTAGCCCTTAAGAGTTTGCAGACACCTAGTAACTTAAGCTTTTTTGTTTGGCATGCAGCAGCTCAGTTGCACCTTCACCCTGGCAGGAGGGTCCATGGAGCCCCCCCCTTGCAGAAGCCAGCTTTCTCTGTGTCCAAGAGCAGTGGAGAGGCAGGCAGGTGTGTGATCCTCAAGGGATGCGCTGCCCAACACCTGAGATGTTCCCACCCCTTATGCTTGTAGCAGCAGGTTCAATAAGGTCACCATCCCTCCTATGTGTGACGCCCATCCTGGGGTTTAGGTAGGTGAAGAAGTTCAGTTGCAGTCTGTTAACACTTGTAGGCTCTTCCCCACATGTACAGGGTTGTGGTTGAACATTTACCCGCTCCTGAATCAGCCTAGTTCAGTCCAAGTGTGATTCAGCATATGAATGCAAGGAACTCCCATCTCGCCATTTCTCTTGCCCCTTCGTTGTTTGCCTCTGGTTAATTTGTTCTTGATTTACTCCCCTACTCCATTCTTGTCAATGAACTGGAGCTCATGGGGGTCCCAGCAGAGCCCTGGCCAGCAGGGCTGCACAAAGAGCCTTTACAAAGCAAGGACTGGCTTCCCAGCCGGGGCAGCAGCCTGACACCAATGCAAGGAGCAGGAGGAGTGGGGCTGTACAGTACTGCCTCCCATTCGCTGCAGCACAGATAACCATCGCCTGTGCATCTTCCTTCCTGTCCTGCATCCCCAGGAAGGGCTGAGGGCCAGCCCAGCGGTTGTTGCTGCAGTCACTCCACATGTGGGGATCGCTGTGCCCCAGGGAGGGTGGGCAGGGCTGGGCATAACTCATCTGCTTTGTTTTCCTTTTAATGAAGCAATTATCCCTGTAAGCACCTGCCAAAGAGAGAAAAAGGGGGTGCAGGACCCCTGGCAGCTGACTCCAGCCTTGCCTGCCCTGGGGTGGCTGCTGCCGGTTCCTGCCTGCACCCCGACTTTCTGGTTCTTTACACTGTTGATGTGGAGCAGCGCTTTTCTCTGTGTTTTAGCAGACCTGTTCCTCTCTATTCTTTACAGTTTTTGCTCTTGGGTTGCCGCCCCTGCCCCCTTTTTAAATGATGTGTAGATAGATTTTTGTGAAATAAACACATCTTTATTAACCCTCTCTTGGTTTGAGATCTTTTTTCCATGCTGCCTCTTCCATACCACAGACAATGGGCATGTCTGCTCCCTGTTTGGAATTGGGGCTTTGCTCACGTGTCCCAGAACATCACCTGTGTGTGTTCAGCACCTTCCCATGCACCAGGAATATGGCCCTGGGGTGAGACCCACCAGTTCCTCTATGGCTTGCTGTGGAGCCTAAGAAGGAGGGAGATGCTCTCCTTCCCTCCCAGGGCAAGGACACACAGGTGCTTCCTGCTGTCTGTCCCTACACACACTCCATGCCATCAGCCTGTCGCCTGTTGCTCTTACCTTTGATCCAGCCCTTATTTACTGAGGTTCACGTGACAGCACAGGGAGGGGCTCCAGCTCTGTGCCAGACCTTTACCCCCGAGGTGCCACTGGGGTGGCGTGGGGCAGCCCTGACTCCCGTGATGGGGACCTGGGCTGTGGGCAGCTTGCGGGTCTCATCAAAGAGCAGGGGGGCAAAGGAAGGACCCAGGGAACAGGAGTCCCTGTGCTGCCTCGGTGCCTGGTTAAGCCCTGTGTGCCCACAAGTGCCACCGCTTTGCCCAGTAAGCCCTGCCGCTGGGCTGAGCCCAGGAGTACACACAGCCCTGCTTGCCATAATCCATTTTATTTGATAGAAACAACAAGCCGGGGCTGTCCCTGTGCCCAGGCTCTGCCCTAGAAGAGTCCTTTGTCCTTCTTGAGCGTCTGTTGTTTCCACAAGGGCAGGCTGCTGAAGGCGGAGCGGCTCATGCCGAAAACAGCCTGGAAATCCTGATCGGAGAGGTGGCACTGGGGGGGGAGAGAGGAGGCTGAGCTGAGGCTGGGGGCTCCCCCCCTTCTCCTCTCCCCCAGCAGCCCCAGCCTCCTCTCACCTCCTTCCTGCTGGGATCCACACCCCGTGGCAGGTCCTCGGCTGCGGTGCTCACCAGCACATCCAGGGGGAAGATCTCCAGCTTTTCGGGGAGCAGGGGGGTGGTGGCGGTGAAGACCTCTTGCCTGGATGTGAGCGCCTGGGTCGGGGGAAAGGGGCGCATCAGGGCGGCCCCAGGACAGAGGCACCAGCTTGGTGACGTGTCCTCTCATCCACGGACGTGTCCTTGCAGCTCTCTGTGTCACCCGGCAAGGGGACGGAGGAGCATTCTGCGCCCCTTCCCACCCCGCTCCCTGTGCCACTTACTGAGGTGAGCTGCCCGAGGCTGCTCTCGTCCCCCAGCTCGGCTTTCAGCTCCTCGTAGGATTTCTTATCCTGGAAGGTGACAAAAGTGCTCAGTCGCTGGGCAAGGACCAGGCAAGCTGCTGTGTGCACCCTGCCAGTGCCAGCTGCAGCCAGACCCACATCTGGGCACATCTGCAAAGGCCCCCCCTCCATGACTCACAGCCCAGTTGAGAGGGTCCCAGGCCAGGAACCAGCCAGTGAAGGTGGGGGGCTCGTAGCCCTGCTTCACCACAATGATGGGGGTGTCGAGGTCGCGCCCGCTGGGGTGGCTCCGCAGGTACTCCTGCACCATCACTGCCGCTGCCTCCTTCTCTGACTCGTTGGCGCCTTTCCCAATCCAGAAGAAAACCTGGAATGAGGACACCGTGTCTGTCACTGGGATGAGACAGGGACCTCTGGGGCCATGCCCAACCCGTGGCTGGGGGTACATGGGATCTGTCCGCAGGGAAGGGCACCGGGAGTCTATCTCAGATAAGCCTGGAGTGAAGGGATGGAAAGCGATTTCCCTTACCAGCAAGGGCTGGCCAGGGACATGGTGGGTTTCAGCCTCCCATCCGACCATCTCCGGCTACTGCAGGTCCTACACCCACCCTGAGGACACTGGGATCAAAGCTGCCCCCCACGCCATGACCCCAGGCTCACCTGATCCCAGGTGTCCAGCACATAAACATCGTTCTCCTCCAGGTCATCCTGGGTGAAGTCTACAATCTCCGTGGCCAAGAAGGTGCCTGTCTTGTTGGAGCACTCAAAGAGGCGGGGGGCCACGGAGGGGTTCTCTTCCTGCAGCCTGGTGGGGGGCATTGTGGTAGTGGTGGGAGGAAAGGGGCTCACCCCACTTGGGAACCGGTGGACCATCCCATCCCCAAGGGTGTGTAGGGACAAGGGACCCGTACCTCTTGCTGTTGGCATACTGGGACTTGCCCCCCAGGGCCAGCCAGAACTCGGGTGGCTCCTGTCCCTCTGCGGTCACCAGCTTCTCTGTCTTGGAGATGATGTCAGCCACTGTCTTGCCCATCTCACGCTCGTCCCCGCTGCAGCCCTGCCAAGCAAGCACAGCCGCTCCGTCACCAGCCCCAGCGCAGGGAGAAGAGGTAGAGACGTGTCCCATGGGGGTGCCAGCACCCCCGCAGTGCCCCGCTGTACCCACCTTCCCATACCAGAGGTAGCAGCAGCCGGGGGTCTTGAGCACAAAGACATCATTGGAGTTGAGGGAGGAGGCGCGGGCGGGCACCTCGAAGGCCTTGGTGTTGAACTCGTTGGTGCCGTGCACATGGAAGAGGCGGGTGGAGGGAGTGGGCTCCGTGCTGCCCGACCGCGAGGTGCCACCCTGGTGAGGAAGAGGAGGTCACCACCGGCGCCAGCAGGTCCCCACTCCCCACCCCGGCACCCCTGCTCACCGCATACACCACCATCTTGCCCTTGAAGATGGCCATCAGGTGGGCCGGCTCCTTGCCCATGGTGACGCGGACCTGCACGGGCTCGTTGTTGTACTTCTGGTCCAGGATGACGGCTTGGTAGGCAGAGGCGGCCAGCTCGTCTGTGCTGGCATGGCGGCCCTGGGCAGGGCAGAGCGGGACTCAGCCCCCTTTTCCCTCTTGGGAACAGGGAACTCTCGCACCAGTCCCATGGAACCATGTGTAGAGCACATCAACAGTCCGGGGAGGTGCCCCTGTCCCTCACCATGGATCAGTGACACGCAGGTCTCACCTGCCAGATGTAGATGATGCGGTTCACCTTGGGGCCCACAAAGTAAGTGTAGAGAATCAGGTAGCAGTCCCCACCATAGAAATGGCCCAGCCACCTCTTCTCCACGGGCACCAGCTCCTGGTTCTCCACACGCCAGACCTGGTGGGAAAGGGACACGGATGCTGGTGCATCTCCCTGCCCTGCAGCCTCTGGGCCCCACAGCATCCCCCAGTGCAGCCCAGGGAGTGCCCTGAGAGGGTCCCACATCCTGCCCTGGCCACCCTACCTCCACCTCCCCGGTTCCATCATCCACCATCTTCTGCTGGGCAGCCATCTGGGGCTTGGCGTGCAGCGTGGTAGCGTCAAACTTCACCTGCTCCACCTTGGCTGTGGGGAAGGTGGGAGGGATGAGCCATACACCACCAGCCACGGGGTCCCCATAGCCCCCCCCTCCCCAATCCAAGAAGACTTACAGCTTCAAAAGGGGACACTCACCCACTTTGCCTGCAGTGTGAGTCTTCCCCAGCCCACTGGTCTGATTGGGGACAGTCCACTTCTGGAAGAGCTGCCTGAAGATGGCTGACTCGGATCCATCATTTTCCGTCTCCACACTGGTGCTGGCTGGGTAGTTCTTGGCTTTGATGAAGCCCTGGGGAGATTCAGACCCTGAGTGTGAGCATGGAGTGCCCGGCACCCTGGGGAGCACCCTGGCTATCCCATAACCAGTCCCAGACACGGCACCCACCAGTGCCCTGCTCATCGCCTGCTGCTTCTCCTCCTTGTTGGCGTTCTTGCCCTTCCACACAAAGATCTTGAGACCTCCTTGATCAAGGATGTAGCAGTCCTTGGAGGGGACACAACAGCACAAATTCAGAGTTTTGGGGCAAATCCCACCAAAGTGGCTTTTGAAGGGTTGACGCTGTCAAGGAAATTGGGCCCCCCTAAGCATGGAACTGGTGACACACCTCATGCAGCAGCATGTCTTGAGTCAGGGGTCGAACCGCCACCTCCTGTATCACCAGGTTCCCACTGGCATTGGAGACACTGGCAGGTGAATGAGAGAGGAGGAGGGGTTAGAAACGGGGCTGGAAAACCTCCTCCCCACCTCATGGTGGCAGTGTCCCCATCCCCTCCTTCTTGCTCTGCCATGGGGGCAACCTGGCTTGCTTCCTGCCCTGCCTGTAGCTCACTCATTGCCATGAGGAGGGACAACGGCGGTGTCAGATGTGACGGGGCCACCCAGGGATGTTGCCATCGCATCCAAAGGTCATGCATGCACGAGTGTCTCCCAGTCAGGTACCATCCCTGTTGGCACCAGGGGCTCCCCTTGCTCCAACAGCATCCAGAGAATCTGTACCCCCCCTGTTATTGGCCTTGACCCCTCTATCTAGGTGTTCATGGGCACAGGAGCTGTGTGATACAGCAGAGATGGGTGCTGGGTCCCTCTGGCACCCTGCAAGATGCCCTCATGGGTGACCAACACCCAGCAACTCACTGGTACAGCTTGAGGGAGGACTTGAGCTTCTGGTCCACTTTGTCATCAGGGATGGCCGCCTTGATGTCCCTCTTCTCACCCAGCACATGCATGAGCACCTGCATGAGCCCCGGTGAGGAGCCCTCGTCTTCCCCATCCACTATTCCCACCTTGGCACGGCCGCCACGCTCCCGGTCACGGATGTCCTTGGCCAGGGTCATCGCCTGCTCCCAGGGGAGGGAGTGTCAGCCCGCACTGGGCAGGGGGGTGGCTTCCTCCTCTGTGCTCCAGGAGGAGCCCTGGGCCCCCCATCCGCACCTTCAGCCGCTCGTTCCGGTTGCTCTCGGGACCGTTCCACTGGATGATGAGCTGCCCCAGGTCCAGCAGGAACACGTCCCCCCGGTTGAAGCTCTTCCAGCTCATTTCCACCTGCCGTGGGAAGGGATTTGAAGGGGGGGTATTAAGCAGCAGGCTCACCCTGGCTCCACAGCCCACACCTGCCCTGGCTCAGTGCTGATGCCTCCAGCCTGTAGTTCCTAATTCAAGAGTGGCTTTTGGGGGTGAAGATGCTCCTGAGGCAAGGCGGTGTGGCCACAGACCCATTCTGTCCCCTGCTGTGTCTGGGGAGGCCCTGGACTGAACCTGACCGCAAACAGTGTCTCCCCATGGCTGAGCATCCCCCCATACTGTAACTCACCTCTCCTGCCACCACGTTCTTCTTGCCCTTCACATGCAGCAGGCGCTGGATGTTGTAGGTGTTTGTCTCCACGTGCTTCATTCCTGAGGCCACGCCACCCTTCTTATAGCTGGAGGGGATGGACACGGCGTCAGCCCTGGGCCCCCCTTCTTCATCCAGTGGGGTTCCCGTCCCACCTCTGTGCACAGGGAGGTGTCCGGGGACCCCCCACCCACCCACAAGTGTGATGAATGAAGCAAGACCAGCTCCAGATCCTCCTCCTGCCTCCCCCACCGCACTGGGACAGGGCTGTCCCCATCCTCACTGGGGATGTCCCCATGGGGGGCATGCAGAGGACCCCTTCCCACCACCACCGGCTGTGGGAGCAGGTCCATGGAGGTGACCAACGTACATGAGTCCCTGTTTGAAGTAGGCTCGGAAGGTCTCGCTCTCGTGGCCCTGGACCTCCCGGTGCTGCACGGCCACCGTGCCCAGGTGATCGTCCATCTGGGTGGTGTAGATGGCGGCCGCACCCTGCTCATCCTGGCTTGACTCCTTGCCCAGCCAGTAGTGGATGTCGTAGCTGAAGCTGCTCCCGCTCTTGCGTGTCTGCAGGACACCAGTCCCCGCTAGAAGAGCCCCCATGTCCCCAGGCTCCCCTGGCCAGGGACACCCCTCCCTGCACCCCAGCATCCCCCCCAGTCCCCCGGGGCTGCCCTACCGACAGCAGGACATAGCAATCCCCCTCGTAGAAGTTGCCGTAGCTTTTGGTGGGCACTGGCACCATCTCCATACTCTGCAGAAGGAAAGGAGATGTCAGCCCAGCTGCGGACACCCCCCCTGCCCTGCACACCCTGCTGCACCCCAGCCCCAAACCTGGGTGGGTTTAACCTGGCACTGAGACCCCAGGCTGAGGCACTGAGCACACAAAACAAGGATCTTCCCTTCCTCACCCCCTCCAAACACCAGTGATGGGTGCTCCCATCCCTACCTCGATTCGCCATATCTGGATGCCTGCCGTCGTCTTGTTGAGCGTCCTGCTGACTCTGCTGCTGAGCTCCACCATGGTGCTGCAGGCAAGGGGACCTGCTGGGGCGTTGGCAACACCCTCGTTAATGACAAGCAGTGTCATTAAGAGCTGGGATGGAGCCAGCCTGCCATGCCACCTGCTGCCCTGCCCCGTCTGCAGCGGCTGGGCCATAAACCGCCATCCAGAGCTGCATGGAGTAAGGGACCCCTCCAGTGCCCCGCTGACAAGCAGGTCTCTTGTTCCCTCAGCACTGCAGTGGATGGCGGCTGTCGTGCTCCATGACGGGGTCTGAAGTGGGGAGGAGCAGGGTCCCCTGAGCACCCTGGTGCCCTGTGCCGGGGCAGGGCTCCCCCACTGATTGACACCCCTGCAGGTACGTTCTGCTCTTCCCCTGGCCCTGCTCAGCCCTGTCCCAGCATGGCTTGGCACGCAATGGCACGGCATCACATGGCCACCTGCACACACACACACACATATGTGCAAGCACACCCTGCCCGCTCCAGTCCCTCAACTCCCAAAACCAGTGCCAGATCCATGCCCACCAGAAGGGCATGTCCCAGCCCCACAGAGGTGCTGAGAACGCCAGGGCTCAGCTCCGGTGCTGCCAAGGTTGCCTTCAGCCGTGTCTCCCATGGCAGTGCTCGGGCAGGGAGAGCCAGCAGTGCCCAGCAGAGGGGCCTCTGCTCCACCAGCCCTGCAAACCTCAACCTGGTCCCACTGTGCTGTCCCTGACAGCACCCACATCCCCCCCTCCCACCCTGCATCCCCCCAGCGCAGCCCCCAAGCCCCATCCCTAGGTCACCACGGTGGCAGGAGCGGTGCTGGCTGTGGGATGCGCTGCCCCCCATGCCCACCCTGCAGCCCCCACCCCAGCCCCTCACCTTCCCCGCAGAGCTGGCACAGGTGAGTGCACCGAGGCAAAGTGCTGGGTGCCACCACCCAGGGGACCTTTGTCCCCTCCTGTCCCAGCCTATGTTCACCATATAAGGGCAGGAACAGCCTGGAGTCAAGGTTCCCATGGCCCTCCAAGGCTTTGTGGCACCTGAAGAGCCCCGTTCCTCATGGTGCGATTGTCCCCCAGGAACTATTGCGGCACAGGGCACCCCATGGCACCCTTCCCATGGGTGTGCTGTGCCCTTGTCTGCTGCCATTCCCAGGCCTGTGTCCCCCTTGGCACCAAGCCCACGGTGATGGGGTTTTGATGCCTGCCACACAACCAAAAGGTTCCCGAAAGTGATAGCAACAGCATGAACCGGGCCATGAGGGTGCATCAGCCACAAACACAGAGGTGCCCTGATGCTACGGGAATGGGCTCTGTCACTGCCCTCCATTCAACAGTCCCCAAAGCCTTCCAGCTGTGAAGCACTGAGCCCATGCCTATTGAGGTGGTTTTTTTGTTCCTGCCCCCCAGAGATATTGCCCAGAGTGATGGCTGATATCACAGGGCAGGGCTGCACTGCTGCCCTCCCCTCCCCACATCCCGCAGTGACAGGGGTTTTGGTGCTACCAGCTCAGAGCCATCAGCAGTGCAGCATCATCTTCCCAAGGCATCCCCTTCCCATCCCACGCACCCTCAGTCCCACCTGGCACATCACTCCCCCGCACACAGGACTGTCCCCAGGCTCTGCCCATTGGCAGCTAGAGGCCAGTTCTCTGCTCACTACCCCATCGGGTGGGGGTCTCTACAGCCTCAGCCTTGGGGATGGGAGGGAGGCACAGGGATGCGGTATGGAGCAAGGCACAGGGTGGGGGCACAGCTAAGCCCTATTCCTTGTCCAATGCCCCCAAGCCCAGCCCCGGTGGGTGGTACCTGATGATGCTCTTGGAGTTGGCAGAGAGAAGACTGTCATCCTGCCCAGCGGATTCCAGCCCCGAAGGTGGTTTTGGGGGATGACCAGGGGGTACATAAACCAGGGGTGGGTGGATTGCAGCAGCAGGCAGGCCCCCAGGCTCATCTTGCTCTTATCTCTTCCCCAGCCCTGCAGGATTGCCTTATCTGGGACACCCTGCTGAGCCAGCAGCCCTGGCCATGAGCGCCAGGAGCATCCCACACCCTGCCCATCACCCTGGTGCCAGGGCTGGGTTGCGGTGAGCCTCAAACCCTGCCTGCATTCCCTCCCCAGGGATCCCTGAAGCGATAGCAATGAGCTGACCCAAGCCATGGAGGCGTCAGCCACAAACAAGGGGCCCTGATGCCACAGGGATGGGCTCTGCTACTGCTGGACCCCTAAACACCCATAACCATTCCACCCAGCTCCCACTCTGTGCACCCCCACCAGTGTCCCCCATGGGACCTTTACCCGGCTGCAGAGCCTCCGGAGGGGTGCAGGATGGGGGGTGACACCCGGGTGGCCACGCTCCGCTCCGTGTCCCAGGGCTGTATCCCGATGGTACAGCACGAGGGGGGACCCCAGAGCTCTCACCCCCTCCCTGGGCCCCCAGCTGGACACGCTGGGCCACTAATGAGCTCAGTAATTAGTGCAGCCATAGGGGAAGATGGAGACCTCGCTAATGAGGGGAGGCACAGGGCCAGCGAGGGTATGGAGGAGGCAGCTAAGACAGCCCCCAGCACCCCGCTGCCTGTATGCTGGCAGCACACTGCACAGGGTGGGTTATGGAGTGACCTCCAGATCTGACACCCTATTGAGAGGACAGTGAGGAAGGAAGCACTTACGAACCCCCACCCCATCACCCCCCAAAGCTGGGGGCAGAGCACACACAGTAAATTCTGCCCCCCCCCCCCTTTTCAGGGGCAGGAAACCTATCCCCATGGTCTTTCTTCCAGGGGGAGAGGAAGGGGTTAGGATACGGTTGTCATGGCAGCAGGGTGGAACATCACTGTGCCCCCTTGGAACAAGAGGTGACCCCCCCCCCCACCAACCCTGCAGCCTGACCTGCAGCATTCCACAGCTTCCCAGGGCAACTTATGGGATCCACGGGCTCTCTGCCCCCCCACCAGTGACCCACACAGACACAGGACTCCCTTTTCCAAGATGGTTTGACAGCTTTAATCACATGAAGGCACTTGGATCTGGTCCCCCAGCCCCCCCATACCACCCCCGCCCCCTAAGGGTGCCCGGGGTGGGGCTGTGCTCCCCGGGTGCTGCAGCACCCATGGGTGCTCGCTGGGCAGGAGGTTTCGCTGGTGCCGTTTGACTTGTCTAATATAAAGTGCTGAGTTCAACCCTCCCGGAGGGGCAGGATGAGGCCCGGGGGGGGGGGGGTGCAGGGGTGCAGGCAGGCCCAGGGGGCACCCCTGCCTGCCCCCAGCACCCAATGCTGGGAGAAGGGCAATGCCGGCATGAGCCGGATGGACAGCACCGCAGAGCTAAAACCCCTCACATGACATAGTCCGTCCCCCCCCCCCCATGGCACAGCGGTAAAAAGGCACCCATAATTGTCTTGGGAAACCGTTGTTTTTCCCCCTAAAACGATACTTGCCATTGTCCATATTGCAATGCTAAAAACGGCCTGGCCGGGCTTGGCCCCCCATGAACCCTCCCTGAGAGCCCCTCAAGGCTGGGGGCACCCTGGCATGAGCCTGGCCCCATGGGGGTCAGGGTAACACCCAGCCTGCAGGGAAGGGGGTCCTCAGTGCCCCCCACCCTGCCCCAGCTGGGGGGGGCATACTAATGCTGGTAGGGGTTGTTGCTCCCCCCGGGGCTTGCAGCCTTTGGCGCAGCTGCAGATGGATGGGGGTGCTGTGCCCCCCCCCATTGGCGAATGGAGTGGCTCCCATGACACAGTAGAACTGGATGGGGGGGGGGTAAGGCCACCAGGCTCCCCCCCATGGGAAAACCCCAAAGTTGGAAGGGGTGAAATAGGAGGCACAGCCCTTGCAGGGCTGGGAGGGGGGCACAGAGACCGTGGTGTCCCAAGGCACATGGTGGGGGGGGGCATTTGTGGCCAGGGGCTCAGCCCTGAGGCTGGGCTGCCCCCCAGAACACACCCCCTAGGCAGGGAGCAGCAAAAGGCACGAGGGGGGTAAGGACGTGCCCCCCCGAGGTGATGGGCTGCACCCAGGCAGAGTCCAGGGTATGGTGGAAGCCCTATGCACCAAGGCCAAGCAGACTCCCCCACTTCTCAAGGGGGTGGCAAGGGATCAACCCATCCGCACCCCCTGAACATAGGGACTGAGGGCCGCCAGCCCCCCCTCAGTGGGCAGAGCCCAGATGGGGGAGGCCAGTCCCACCCAAAGGCAGTGGAAAGCAGCAGCTGCTGACCCCCCCACCCCCCGATTTGGGGGGACACGGAGGGGAAAAGGACCTGAGAACCATTCTGGGGAGGGAGGACACAGGTTGGGGGGGGACAGTGGGGGAGGACTGGGACCCTCCCCAGCAGGTCCTCAGCACAGCAAGGCAGCGGGGCACCCACAGCCCTCCTCCTCCCTGGGAAGGGGACACCCACCTCCCTGGATGGGGCACCCACGTCTCCCACCACCAGCAGACAGGGAGGGCACCCAAGGATGATGGTGGGGGCACACCGGGGGATACTTTCCCCCCTAACACAAGGCACCCGGCTGCCACAGCACCTGCAGCGGTGGGGGGCACTAGCTATTAGTCCGCTGCTTCTTGAGCACTGCGTACACGTCCTCCACCTTGCTGAGCCTCTCGAAGAAGGGCAGCAGGTCCAGCAGCTCCGTGTCTGCCATGTTATCGAACCAGGAGGCCACCGGCACCTGTGGGAGGGCAGCGGCTGAGGGGGGCCTGCCCCTCATCTCCATTACCCCCCCCCCAGCCTCACCCCGGCAGTACATACGGCGTTATCGGGGTGGAAGATATAGGATGCGGGCGAGTTGTCCACGATGATGATACGGCGCAGGTCACGGCCCAGGCGGCTCAGGTCCTTCACGTAGTTGCCCCGATGGAAGACACAGGATTCCCGGAAAAGCCGTGCCCGGAAAGCCCCCCATTTATCCAGCAGGTCGGCCACGGGGTCCGCATACTGCAGGCGTGGGGCGGGGGTCAGCAGGATGTGCCGTGCCACCATGCCCACCCCATGGTGACGATGGCAGCCTGCTCTCCACTGGCACCAGCTCACCCAGTGCCTCGGTTTCCCTGGGCAGCACCATGGAGGGGCAGGCGGACAGCGCTGCCTGATGCTGGCACTGCCTGCGGTAGGCAGGGGACACAGGGGCAGCACTGCCCATGGGTGTTGTGCCACCTGATGTGTGGCTGGGGAGAGGAGGGCACGCACCTTGGCCAGGCTGGCAGTGAAGAGTACGCACTCGAAGAGCTCACCCATGCGCTGCAGGAACTCATCCACGTGTGGCCGCTTGAGCACATACACCTGTGGGCACAGGGCAGCGGGCATGCGCCACGGGCACCCCTACCCCTACCCCCAGCATCCTCATGCCCACCCCCGGGGATCACCCATGTCCCCACGCGCAGCCAGCGGCTCCATACTGGGGAAGGGGGACAGAGGGCTGCCTGCATGGGGGCTGCTCCTTGTGGGGTGAGGGATGCCACGGCCCCGCTGGTACATCCAGGTGAAGCATCTGGCTGGCTCCAGAGCCAAGTAACCAAGAACAGGCTGACTGCCCAGATCACAGCCTATCCTGGATTACTTGAACCCGGGACCAGCCACTCCCGCAGGGCACCACACCAGGATTCCCCCTCACTTCCCCACCCCGGCACCCTGATGCCCCATCTGCCCTCGGTGCAGTCATCGGGGAAGGGGCAGCAGGTGCTGTGCCCCCCACCCTCCAGGCACCCTGCTTCTCCCGTTACCTGGTGCATGATGCCATCGATTTCCACCGGGATGATGAAGTCGGCGTTGTTCACCGGCTGGGGAGCGCACAGCAGGGTCAGCACTGGGTGGGAACCCCCTGCCCAAGTGCTGCCTGCCCTCCGCCAGACCCTCACGGGGACACCCCAGCCGACCCAGTGGGGCTTTGCCGGCTGCTGGGCACCACTTAGAGGTACAGGGAGGAAAAGGAGGGACAGGGCAGGTGGGGCAAGGAGCAGGAAGGGGGTCGGGGTGTTCCCCACCTTGAAAGAGCTGTGCACCAGTGTCTCATCCAGGTCGATGACCACGCACAGTTTGCTAGCATCCTGCGGCTTGATCTCAGGCAGAAGGTGTTTGGCAGCAGCCTGTGGCATGGGCAGACAGGCAAGCTTTGGGGTCAATGGGGTGGTGAGAAGCACCCCCTACCCTCCTGCCCACCCCGAGTGGGGGAGCCCATTTAGCTCCACATCCCGGCACAGGGGAACCACGAGGACAGCCAGGCTGGGTGAGGGGGGGGTACCTTGGGCAGCGCCCCATTCTCCTCCACCAGCAGCGGGGCACCAGGGGTGCCAGCACAGGGCTCCCCATCATCGCGGCACAGGCAGCAGAAGAGGGACTGGAGAATGCTGCGGCTCCGTGGCTTCTTGGTGGCAAGGGCCTGGGTACCTGTGTGGAGGGGTTGAGGGTGAGGGGCACCCCTGGGGGTCCCCCAAGCCCCAGCACAGTGAGGAGAGGGTGGGTGAGCTGGGCTCAGGACACTGGGGTATGCCCCTCCTCTGCCCGACGCCCCCCGCGCCCGTATCAGCCCCAGCACCCATCCGGACGCTCTTCCTGCCGCACCGAGCACCGGCGCCAGGGCAGTGCCGCGGACACAAGTGTCTGGAGACCACCCGCGGGAGCCTGCCCGGCCGCGATCCCCTGCACGGGAGACCCCCGTGGGCAGCCCCGGCACAGCTGCGGGCTCGGCAGCAGCAGCCCCAGGGTCGGGGCCGCTGTTGGACCCCGGCCGGTCCCGGCCGCCAGGCGCGGGCTCACGCCGGTGGGTGGCCCGGGGGGGGTGGGGGCGAGGGGGCGAGGCATCGCCGCGGGAGGCGGGGCTTACAGCCGCTTTGTTTCCCGCCCCCAGCCTGCCCCCATTCCTCATTGGCCAACTCGAGCGTACCGGACGTGAGAAACCAATCAGGGCGAAGTGCCCGCCCCTGGGCGCCGTTCCCGCGGCCCCCATTGGCGGATCAAGGGGAAACTGAGGCAGAGAGGCAGCTCCTGCCAGCCCTGGGCTCGGCGGGCAGCGCGGCCGCTCCAGCCCCTTCCCTACCGGCCCCGCGGGCTGGATCCTGCCGCCAGCCCGGGCCGGGAGCTGCAGGTCCCCCTGGTTCTGCCCCCTGAGGCCTGTGGGGCGGCCCATAGCAGGGAGCTCTCCGATGGGGTCGGGGCCCGTTCCCCCGCTTTCCCCCCCAGCCCCGGCCCTGCCAGCTCCCCAGGCGGGCGCGCAGCAGGACGGGCAGCGCTCCCCACCAACCACCCTGCGCCGCAAGGAGGGCGCGCAGGGGAAGGGGGGCGCCGATCTGTAGCGTGTGCCCTGCGCTCGGCTCCCTGCCTGCTCCAGTATCCCCACTGGCGCTGCGTGCAACACCCCCCCCCGTCCGTCCGGCTCCGGAGGAAACCGCGCAGAAACACAGAGCGCCGGGGCCTGAGCAGCGCCCCCAGTACCCCGGGGTCACCGACGGGATTCGGGGGGGGGGAAGCGGTACGGATAACCCCGCGCACCAGCCCCCCCCGCGCATCCCCTTCCAGCCCTGTGGCAGCGGGACGCGCAGGGGCCGGCTGAGGCTGCCGGCAGCTCATCACACCCCCCGGGAGCAGGCCCCCCTCCCGGTACCGGAGACCCCGGGGACCTCCCCCCGCCTCCCCGCACCGTGGGGGCAGGGATACCTCCCCCCACCCCCCGCGTTACCTTTCTCCTGCAGCGGGGCGCTCCCCTCCTCCCTGCTAACCTGGGCGATGATGGACTGGTGCTCCATGGGCGCCGGGGAGGGGGGGGGGTGGGAGGGGGTGGCCCCCCCCGGCGCGGCCCCCCGGGGGGGGGGGAGGCGGGGCGGGGTCCGGCGGCGGCGCGGGGCGGCGGGCGCGGGAGCGGCGCCGCGGAGGAAACTTTGTTACAACATGGAGTTTCCTCCGCCCGGGCTGGGGCCGCAAACATGGAACCCGGGCGCGGTTTCAAGGAACCCCTTAAAAGGGCAACGCTGGAGAGGGGGGGGCCGCCTGCCTCCTCCTCCCACCTCCGCCTCCCCGCAGCCGCCCCGCCACCAGGGGACGCGGTTTGGAGGGGAAGGAACCGTCCCTTGCTCTTCGGTGGTCGAACGGGAGTCCCTGACACGCACCCACACTCACGGGTAATGGAGAGGGGGTCATTCCTCCCCCCAGCAGGCAGCCCCCATCCCACTGCAGCCACCCTCCCCCCGGATGCTTGGGTATCCCCTGGAGCACAGACCCCTGGACCCTGCGGCTCCAGACTGGGGGGTCCGCGTCCCCCACCCGCCGGGCTCATTCCCCATTGCCAGGAGAGTGTGAAGGCTGCAGGTGCCGGGGGACCGCAACAGTAACAGTCTTTTTTATTGCAATTCGCCACTTATTCGGTGAATTAATACAGATTTTATCATCGACACAGGTATTTTCTCCTGCAGAGCCTCCCTTCCTGCCTTCGTGGCTCTTTCCAGGTGGTTCCCGATGAGCAGCTTTTAGCGGGAGCTTAAGAACGCAACGATCTTCTCAAGACAACCTTGTGTCGTCCCCTCCCAGTGCCCCATGTGCTGGCATTGCCCAGCCCCTTCCCCCCCAGCCTTGTTCCCCGTTGCCCGCAGGCACCAGGGAGGGAGGTTTCCAGCCGGTCCCTCGGCACCTCGGTGGCAGGAGGTGCTGTTCCCTCGGTCAGCGCTGCCCGTGGGAAGCAAGAGGTGCGGGAGAGCAGTTTGTAAATCCCGCGTCTGAGCTTGTCCGGAGCCTCTCCCCCTCTCCCAGCTGCGGGTTTGGGAACTTCAGGGGCTGAGATCGGCCTTTCTGGTCTGGGGGCGGGATCAGGGTCTCTCCCCGTGCTGTGGGAGCAGCCATTGGGACACAGAACTTGTTCCCCTGACAGCTCGGAGCACAACACGTAACCTATAGGTGACCCCGCTGGAAAATGCTTCTGGCATCAGGAACTGGGATGCTGCAGGACCAGGCGGGCGGTGGAAGCAGAAGGTTCACACCTGTAGCTCCCATGCCCCAGGCTCTGCAGGACCCCCTTTGCATCCCGAGACAACCAGGGAGGGCCCAAGCTGCTGCTGGAAACCGGGACGCCCATCCTGCCGCCTGCTCTAGTGAGAGGCCGGGCCTTGGATTCCCTGCCCCATAAACAGAGCCAGGCAGAGGGGAGCCGGTTTCCCTGCCCAGGCCAGCACTGCGCCCGACCACGCAGGAGGAAGAGAATGGAAGAGGCTGTGCTTCTTCCCCCACTCTCTTCTGGGCTGACCTGGGCAGCTCCTTCGGCCCTGGTGAAGCCAGGCAGGACACGGGCCTCATCCCAGCGGGCTCCCCCGGGTGTCAGGGATGCTGCTCACCATGGGAGCAGCAGCGGACACCACACACTCTCCCCTCCAGGACCCATGTTTTCCTGGCAGAATCCTTTTCTTCCCTGAGCGATCAGCACTGTACAGGCACCAACCCCAGTTCAACCAGTCCCTGCCTGGCCTCTAATTATCGCAATTAGCGAAGTCTCCAGGCCCGACGCCTCCGGCAGCGGTTGGAGCATCGCTCCCCGTTTTGCTGCCTGCGCAGCACATCAGGCAGCTGAGAAGCTTAGGGCGATGTTGTTCTCGTCCAGGGGCTGCAGGGTAACCGAACGGACACGGAGGCTGTGAGCACCGAGGAGGAAAGTACCGGGACTTGCACTGAGGGACCCCGGGTTGGGGGTCCCCCGTGGAGGAAAACGATCTCGCAGGCAACAGCCCTGAGGGCATTTCCAGACCCCAGCCGCGCCGTGGGGCTGGGCCCTGCGCTCCTCCGCTCCCAGTCCCGCGCCCTCCCGGCCCTACAGCCCCGGGCACATGCACCGGGGTCCCCCTGCTCCTGCTCGCCAGGCCCGGGGGCTGCTGTGCTCGATGGCGGGGGGGGCCCGACTCCCGCCTTTCGGTGGGCCCCACCGCTCCGGCTCCTCCTTCAAGCATTGCGAGGCCGGACCAACGCGGAGGCGGGGGAGGCACCGCCCCACCCCGGCCGGCATCGCCCTTTTAAGGAAGGGGAAATTCTTCACATAAACAAGCGCGGCCCCCGGGAGGGTGGGGGGTGTCCCCTTCCCCGAGGGGGGGGCGGGAGAGGTTGGGGGGGGTCCTGCCCTCCCAATTCCCCCATCCACCTCCTGGCCGGGGGGGGGGTTGGGAAGCGAGGATTTTGGGGGACGGGGGTGGCTGGGGAGAGGGGGGAGCCTTGAAACAGCCAGGGAACGTCTCGCAAGTGCGGGCCGCGGCGGGGGGCGAAGCGCGGCAGAACCCCCCCAACCCGGAGCGCGGGGCCGAGGGAAGTGAAGGGGGGGGGACGGACGGATCCCCCCGAGGGGCACCCGAGCGGCCCCGCATCTGCATCCGGCGGTGCCGGCAGGCGGGAAACGGGGCATCCGGGGCGGGAAGGGCACAGAGAAGCGCCCCCACGGGAATGCAGGGAGCTGGGGCTGAGATCCCGCGCCCCGGTCTATCCAACCCCAACCCTGGGCAAAGCACCCGACCAGGGCTATGGGGGGGGGGGGGGCCGTGGTGGTCCCCTCCCCTCTCCGCCCCATGCGCGCAGCAGCAGAGAGGCTGAGTGCAGGTCACAAGAACGCCGTTTATCAGCCGCCCCTCCCGAGTTGAGGACCCCCCCGTGGGGCTCCGGTCGATGCCCGGCAGTGGGACTGGAGGTCTCGGCTCCCCGGGGCTGGCCCTGCCGTCCGCCGGCGGTGAGGGCTGGTTAGCGGTCCCGGGAGGCGATTAGCGGTCCCGGGTGGTAATTAGCGGTCCCAGGCGGTAATTAGCGGTCCCCGGGGGCCGGCGGTTCCCGGCACTAATGAGCCGGGGCGGTTCATTCGCGGAAGCCTCTGTTCCAAGGGCTGGGGGCACTTCCCATCCCGCATCCAGCTTGGACCAGCAAAGCCTGAACTGGGGTGGGAGCAGGGGGAGTCTAAAAACTTGGGGGAAGGGTTGCCCGGCTTCTAATCAGTTCCTTGATGGGTGCACGTCCTGACGGAACATCAGCCCGGGGCTTGGTGTGGCATCAAATCAGTGCGGGGGGACTGTGCTGGGCAGGGACCCTGCGCTGTTACTGGGTCCTTGCCAGTGCCTGTGAGTCGAGGGAGACGCCAAAGCTGAACCGGTCATGATGGCCTCCGGCCAGGAACCGGGCTCCGTGTGCGACGCTGCATGTCCAGATCTGGGGGCGCAAAAAGGGCAGGTCTTTGGGCACCCACGAGGATGCTGTTCCCCACCCCGCTGCCCCTTCCCACCGTTCCAGCCCTACCAGGTAGGTGATGAAGACCACGTAGGCGACCAACAGCAGGCTCAGGGGGATGTAGTAGCCCAGGCCCCGCAGCGTGGGCAGGAAGTCCACCACGAAGTAGACATTGATGGCACAGACCAGCCCAGTGATGAGAGTCATCAGCACCTTCCCTGGGCTGCGGGCAGGGAGCGAGCATCAGCACAGGGGCAGAGCACCCACCCCGTGTGCCACCAGGCACAGTAGTCTGCGAGACCTGGGTTTGTAGGTGAGCAAGATTCCAAATGGGCCATCTCTGCTCTCCACAGCCATACTACATCCCTGCCATGGGGCTCCAGGCATGGGCTTTGTCCACCCTCCAAATGCAGGGCTGCCAGTGCCAGAGGGATGCTAAGCACCCAGGGATGCCCAAGGGGGCTGGACATGGCATTGGGGTGAGGATGGAGAGTTCAGTTATGGGGTCTGTCATAGAATGGTTTAGGTTGGTAGCAACCTTAAAGATCATCTAGTTCTAACCCACATGCCCACACCTTCCACTAGACCAGATTGCTCCAAGCCCAGTCCAAGCTGGCCCTAAACACTGCCAGGGATGGGGCAGCCACAGCTTCTCTGGGCAACCTGTGCCACTCTCTCACTACCCACACAGTGAAGATTTTTTCCTGCTATCTAATTAGGATCTAATTGTCCTAGTATCTGATACCTGCTCTGGCTGCCCCGGGCCGGTGGGAATGAGCATCCTCCCCTAATGCCCATACAGCAGCTGCCCCCATGGCATGGTTTGGGGGGGAAGGATGGGCCAAAGGGGGGGTGCCTGCAGCTGGAACCCCCTACCCTAGCACTCACAGGCCATTGGTGAAGTCCTGCATGAGCGGGCGCAGGCTGGTGAAGGTGAGGACAGGCAGGACAGCAAAGGGCAGCTGGAAGGAGAGAGAGGTGAGGGGGACACAGCCACCAGGCTGGGGTGTTGGGGGGCAGGTAATGCCCCCCCCACCCCGTCCTTACCAGGATGCTCTGCAGGACGTTGAGCAGGTCATTCATGCCCGTGAGGTGGCTGACATCCCTGAAGGCGGCCACAAAGACAGTGGGCAGGATGGCGAAGGAGCGGGTGAAGAGCACCCGGGTGAAGCGGGACCAGCGGAGCTGCAGGAAGCCCTGGGGACACGGCGAAACCCGCGACCTCGCCTCTCACCGTGCCTGGGGCACCAGGCCTGTGCGCCCCCCCCAACCCTTGCTCGCAGGAACGGGGTGACCATCGCTCCCTTACCCGTGCCAGGGCGCCGAGCGGGCCCTTGCAGCGCTGCTGGGCCCCGCTAGATGTCAGCTCCAGCTCATTAAGCGAAAGATCCCATTGAGGCAATGTGTGGGGCACCCACAGGGTGCCTCTGGGGGAGTGCCGCAGGGGCCGGAGGTAGCCATGCCGCGGCAATGGGTGGGCACTGTCCCCATCCCACCTCCTGGGGACCTTGGTGCCAGCAAGCTGCCACCCAGGGGGCGGGCAGCGCTCCATGCTCAGCTCCCTGAAGGAATGGAGGGCAATTCCCTCTGCCAAATAGCCCGTGGTCCCCCCTAGCTGCTCCCCGTGTTCCAAGGGCCAGAATCCAAGCACCCCATCCCTCACCTCCATGACGAACTGCCCCGCATAGGTCCCGGTCATGGTGGAGCTCTGTCCCGCCGCCAGGATCCCGATGGCCCAGATGTACAGCGCCACTGCCCCAAAATAGCAGCCCAGGATGACGCCCTGTATGGGAAAACTCCCATGGGGACCCCAAAGCGTTCCCCACCCCAGGCACCCCCATGGACTCCCAGCCTTCCAGCAGTGTCACTGCAGCCCCCAACCCCAGGGAAGCACTGTGTCACCCAGATGGGTACGGATGCCTGCGGGGTACAGCCTGGAGCCACTCACCCCCTGATAGATATCCACAGAGACCGTCTCGTTGTTGGTGGGGAAGATGCTGGCGTAGTGGCTGACACTGCTGTTGACGCACTTGTTGTGCTGCAATGCACACAGTGGGTACAAGCGGGATGGCCACCTGGTAGCCCCCCCAGACACAGGGCCTCTCGTATACCGTGTCTCAGGGGATGAGGACACCCATTTTTCAAGGGATGCTCACCCTGCCTGTTTACACAGCCTGGCAAAGCAGACACCTCCCTGTGGTGGACACTCACCACATCCTCGTTGCGCTGGTGGTAGAAAGCCTCACCAAAAACAGCCATGACAAAGAGGTTGATGAGAAAGGAGATGAAGAGTGCCAGGCAGGATTCAGTCAGGAAATACATGTTGGCCTCTTGCACTGCCTCCTTCTTGGACCGGTCGATGTCCCGTGTCTGGGTACGGTAGGTGACACGGGTGCCACAGGGTCAGGTGAGCATCCCTGTCCTGAATGGGGATGTCCTGGGCGAGCCAGGATCAGCTGGTCCCCACCAAGTGTCCCCTGAGACACCCCGGGTGGCAGTGCCCATGGCAGCGCCCATGGCAGTGCCTTGGTCTCACCTTGACCAGGGAGGAGTGGAGGAAGATGTTATGGGGCATAATGATGGCACCAACAATGCCCACAGCCTGGAGCAGCTCCTCTCGCCCGCAGCCCGAGCAGTAGGGCAGGAAAATGCCTTTCAGGACCTCCACCTGCCCTGGCCTCACCATCACATACTGGGGACCGGTGGGAAAGAGCACTGTAAGCTGCCCCCTAATACCGCTGCAGGCCAGTGCCAGTGGGGATGCACCACAAGGGTCCCCTGCCAGTGCCCTGCAGGGAAAGGGGTGTCCCCAGCTCCCCCTTTCACCTCGTAGCCAAAAGTCAGGGCCATGATGGTGATGAGGAGGCCAAAGAAAGCCTCCAGTTTGCGGAGCCCTAGAGGGGTTGAGAGATGCGGTGGGGCAGAGCCAGGCACACCAGTGCCACGTGGGCACCAGGGCTGCGCGGGTGAGCATCCCCTCATCCCGCCTGCACGGCACTCACCGTACTTGTCGAGGAAGAGGAAGAAGAGGGTGTCCATGATGGTGATGAGGACCCCACCCCAGAGGGGGATGCTGCGGGAGGGCAAGGGTGGGCTGTTAGACACATGCCCCTCAGCGCAGTGGAACCCCAGGAGAGGCTGGGGGCTCCCCGTGGATCAGCTCACCGGCCGGCCGAGAGCAGGCTGAAGGCGATGGCTGTCCCGATCACCTCCTGCATGTCAGAGCCGATGATGGCGATCTCGATCATGAGCCACAGCAGTACACGGGGCACCTGGAGGGACAGGGGCATTGAGGTGCTTGAACCCACAGCAAGGCTTGGCCCTGGGCAAGCTGGGGCAATGTCCAGGGTGGAGACCCCTGTCCCCAGGCTCTGGCAGGCCACCCAAAGCAGCAACCTCTTCCATGACAATCTTAGTGTGCAAGATGGATCCTCAATCACAGCCTGCACCCCCCTCCCCATCCTTGCCCCAGTGGGAGCTGAGGATTGTCTGGACACCATGTCCAGACAGGGCAGAGGGATGTATCCAGCCCTCCTTTTGGGGACCTGTCACTCAGCCATCACCTCATCACTCCTTTCCCCCCATCAGGATCCTGCCACCTAGATGGGATCCCTAGCTCCCCACCTCCTTTGCCCTATGACACCCGCCCGGGCCCCTCCAACCTCCTGCACCAGCATGCCCAGGCTCGCCCTGCGTCCCTGCTGCGCGTTGCTGCCACAAGAGCAGGGCTCAGCCCCCGGGGGACGCGCTCGTGTGTCCCTACATTGGACCAGGACACCGAGGGAACGGCTTCCCCCTCCGTGTGCCGCCCCGTGCTGCAGGGGTGTGTGGGTGCTAGATAGAGGGCACTGGAGGTGGAAGAGCTTTGGAGAGTTCCTGGGAGAGGTGAGGCCCTCACGGCATCTTCCTGCTCCTCTCCATCCTGCCAGGATCATCACCAGCCCAAGAGCGGGGTCCCCCTCTGCGATGACCCCAGCGGGGCTCCCTGTGGTGCTCACCTTGGGGTAATAGAGGTAGCAGATCTCACCCAGGTCCTTCCCCGTCACCACTCCCAGCCGGATGGCCAGGCGCTGGCACAGCAGCCCCAGGATGGTGGCCCACAGCAGCACCCACAGCAGCTGGGGGGGCAGGAGGGAGGCAGCGAGAGCTGGGCACCGGGGGGGATGTGGCCACCCGGGGCTCTCAGCAAGGACACAGGAGCAGCCAGCCCAGGGACACGGGGAGAGGAGCCCACAGAGGCTGGAGGTGGTCCCCAGGCAGAGGAGTTGCCCTCTCACACCCCTGGGTGCCCTCCACCTGGGCCAAGGCCCCCCCCCACCCTGCCCCGTTCCCACTTCCCATGCAGGGGAAGCCATGGGGCTGGGTGGCCGTTGGCACAGGAAAAGTTGTGAAAGCCCCAACTGCTTCCTGACGCCGGGGCCGGGGAGGCCCAGGGCTCACCTTGAACCCCGCCACAGCCCCGCACTGCAGGTCTGACTCCACGTTGCCCGGGTCCAGGTAGGCGATGCTCATGAGGAAGCCGGGACCGGTGAAAGCCCAGAGCTTCCTAAAGCTGAAACCGGCCTGGGAAGAGGCAGCAGATCAGAGCAAAGAGTTCCTGCTCGAAACCAGCGTTTCCCAATTGCACTCCCGATCCCCTTTAGCGCGGTGCTGGGAAGCGCAGCGCTGCCCGCACGGGTGCATTTCGCACATGGGATGTTTCCCTCTTCTGCTCTGGGGAGGGAACTGCCACCCCCAGCCCCTCTCTGTTAGCAGCAGTGCCAAGGGGACAGCAAGATCGCCGTCCCACCCAGGGGCAGGTTGGACAGTGACGTGCAGGGGGTTTCTGGGCTGTCGGGCAGGGTTTATTGCACCTCATGGGATCCTGCTGCCGAGCCCTGCTTTCACCATCCTTCCCGACAGGGAAAGCCCCGATTCTTCCCCTTCTCCCTTTCATCCCCCAGGACCGGATGGGGATGGGGAGGGCTGGTGTGACACAGCCAGCCTGGGGGATCCTCACTGGGCTGGGCACAGGTGGTGTGTGGGCAATGGGGTGATGCCTACGGCTGGGTAGCACCTCACTCCTTGCCTCAGTTTCCCAACCTGGAAACCTTTAAGTGTGGAAATGTTCACCCTGGGGCTCTGATTTGCCTGAGCACGGTCTGGGGACACTGAGGTCCCTGGGGCACATCCTAGGTATCTCTCCCACTCCCTCTGCCTCCCCACCTCCAGCTCCCTGCAGTCCCAACTCCTTGCTCAGTCTCTGCCTACACTCAGATGGAGGTGCCAGCCTGGCAGCACGTACCCCACCACCCTTGGGGATGCTGATGCGTTCATCCAGGTAGGTCTGGTCCAGGGTGCCAGGGTGCTGTGGGGCCACCAGGCTCCTGCTGGTGCCGTAAGTCTGGGCTTGACCCTGGTTCAGGGACCCCGTGAGGCCTGAGAGGAGAGGTGGGGAGTGAGGAAGAGAAGGAGAGGTAAAGAGTAGCAGCCTACCTGGCTGGCAGCCCCTTGGTCCCACCTGACCCTGCCCAGAGAGCCCCATAAGGGATGAACCCCATTTTTACAGGGCAGCTGTGAGGGTGGCTATAGGGTCAGCAGCTGCCAGATGCTGCCTCCAGCTCATGTGTCCTTAAAAGTTCCTCATCCCAGACCAATCTTCACCAGCGCAAAAGCCAAGTGCATTTCTGGGCAGGAGGGACAGGAGGGGACCCTGTTCTGTGCTCTGCTGCTGGGTGGGCATGGACTGGGGACAAGAGGCTGGTACTGGTACCAGCCCGCCCCGGGCCCCATTTTCAGGGAGTGTGGGTGAATCACAGATGGGTGGAGGAACAGAGGATGGGCAGATGGGGAAGCCAGGACAGGCTTCAAGGAGATGGTGCCCACTGTGGGGTGGGGACAGAACGAGGGGTCCTGGGGCAGAGGGAAGGGGCTGTAGTGGGGGAAAGAAGGCGCAGGGGGACCCAAGTGTCATAGGGCTCACCTGGCTCCAGCGATGCCGTGGCTGGGCCTGATCCGGGCATGATCTCAACACTGGGTGCAGTGCCCGCGCCCAGCTTTTAAAGGCTCCACCAGTTGCCCTCCCTCTCTCTCCCTCCCCGAGGAGGAGGAGCAGGAAGTGTTCCTTCCCACCCGCTGTCCTGGGCTGGGAAAGGGCCCTGCCTGGTGGGGGCTGGGTGCTATGAGTGTGCACGGTCTCAGTTCCCCCACCCTGTGCCAGGAGCAGTGCACCCAGTAACCTCCCTTCCCCTTTGTCGTACATCCCAACACGGGGCACACAGGGGTATGGGAGCGTGCTCAGGTGTCACCATCTCATGCCAGGGGTCCTGCTCCTTGGGTGGCTGTGGGAACAGGGAATCATGTCCCACAGCATGGGGAAGGCTTGACCCGTGGGAGTAGGGGAAAGGCTGGAGGAGTGGGAGAGAGGAGGAAGCAGGCCTGTGTTGCACAAGCATGTGAGGAGGTCAAAAAGCACGCTCAGCTGCAGGCTCTGCAGCACAGGGTGCTCACACCACCCGCAGGTTGGGGACCTTGACCCCAGTGATGGGGGATCAGTACCATTGCAGGTCAGGCTATACCCACAAAAGCAGGGCACCCCATGCCTAGAACCCCTCTTGGCTGTGGAGGTGGGAGGGGAGCACTCTGGGTGCACCCATGGGTGCTTGGGTAGTATCGGCTGCTTCTTCAGGGCACTCCTCTGCCAGCCAGGCTGCGTCCCACGGAGAGGTGGGCACTGGGGTCTGCCCCCATGGAGATGTGGTGATGGGCATGGGGAGGAGAGCCTGGCCCTGCTCCAGGGTCTGCCTCAGGTGCAAGGGCTAGAACAGCCGGGAGAGGGACGGGGTCTTCCAGAGACCGGCATGCACACACCTCAGCACCCCTGCACTCCTCGTGCCTCGGTTTCCCCAAAGCAAACAAGCCTGGACAGGCAGCGCTGGCAGCTTTATTCCCTGTTAGCCGCAGGGTGGGAAGGTGAGGGGCTGGGGTTGGCAGCCCTAGAGGATGTAAAAGGGGTTTCGGGGGGCTCCTTGTGGGCAAAGAATTCTGCGGCAAAGGAGACAGGGTCTTGGGGCTGCTGCAGGAGCAGGGCCACGAGGAAGTCGGACAGGAGTACCTGGAGCTCGGGGTGCTGCTGGATGTAGGCAGTGTGGTACTCTTGAAGCTCCCCCTGCGATGGGGTGGGCAGGGGCACTGATGTCCCCTCTCAGGCACTGCGCCATGGGGGGGGGTGCAGGATGCCTGGGTCCTTTCCCACACTTGAGGAGGTGCTGGGAAGGATGCTGGCCACCCTGCTTTCCCCCTCCCCGACCCCTGGGCACCTCACGGGTGACCCTGCTGGGAGGAGGCACAACCCCATGTCCCCCGGTCTCACCTTTCTGTCCAGGAACCAGGAGAAGAGCTGGATGTCCTCCTCCCAGTCCAGGGGCTGCTTTCGGAAGGGGGGCTGGGACTTGGCTCCACCTGGCAGCAGGAAGGCAGGGCAGGGTACTCGCTATTTGGCTGCCAGACAGCGGGCAAGGGCTGCCCGTGCTGGGGAACCTCTGCCTGTCCTGTACCTGTCTCCGTAGCGGGGACGGGCTCATCCTGCAGACGCATCACCATCGGGCTGCCGACCTGCACCAGCCGAGCCAACCGCCTGCGAGGGGAAGAGCCAGTGATGGGTCCCCGCGGGGCTGGGAGTGCCCCGGCCCGACCTCCCCGGTCCGTACCCGCTAGGGAGGAAGCTGCAGTGCCAGACGGTGGAGGCTCCCGCGCCGAAGTGCACGGCTCGCTCGATCCCAAACACCTCTGCCTCCGCCGAGCCCCCCGCCTGCGGCTGCACACCCAGGGCACGCTGCGGCGGCACAGCCAGGGGTCACCCCCATCCTGGAGTCATCCCGGGGCCCAACCCGTGCCCTCGGGGCTGGCAACCACACTCCCACATCCCACCCTGGCGCCCCCAACCTGACCGCAGCCCCATCCCACGGGCTCCCCCGCACGGCGGCTCACGTAGCTGGCGGTGCAGAGCTGGCCCTCGGTGTTGATGGTCGGGAAGACGAGGCCGGGAGGCACCTCCCGCCGGCATGCCAGCACCCTCAGCAGCAAGAGACTGGCACCCTCTGGCAGCAGCCCCTGCACCTCGGCAAGCTATAGATGCAGCTCCAGCACTGTGGCTCTGCCTGCAGAGGGACCCGGCTACAGATGAAGCTCCAGCACTGTGGCTCTGCCTGCAGAGGGACCCAGCTACCTCATGGGACAGCCACAGCCCCACCGCCCCCAGGCACAGCACCACCAGAGGCTGGAGGGTGCTCCCCCCCCCATATGACCCATCTGGGGGACAGAGGGGAGACACACTCCACCCCTAACCTCACCTCTCCCTCCTGGAGGGTCTTTGTGACACTCATCCCATGCTGGTGGCTCACCATGTGGATCCTCCTCTGTATGGGGTATGGTCTGCGCTGTGGGAGGGGTAGGGTCACAGGGCAGAGGGTAGAGCCAGGGAGCCCCATCTCTGAGGCGGCACACCCCAGCACCCCTTTCAATCAGGGTACCACACCAGATGCATTGTAAGAAGCTTCCTGCCCCAGCTGCCACCCAGAGTAGGGGATGCAGACCATGGTGTTAGAACAGAGATGATGTCTGAGCTGGGGAGGGGACACCACAACGATGCTGTGTGGAGTGAAGCTTCCAAGAGGGCATCGCCGCAGTACTCATCCCAGGACAAGGGGGCAGGACACAGGGAAAGGGGACATGCCACCCCCACCCCAGTCACCTCCAGGCGCTCCTGCTCCTCCTGCTCCAGGGTCTCCATCTCTGGGGTCACATAGGCTGGCAGAGCAGAGCCACACTCAGCCCACCATCCCAGCCCCGAGGGCTGGTTGGATGGGGATGTCCAGCCCTTGGGATGCGGGGAGACACCCCACACTGCACCCCACCTCACCTTCGAGGCTGCTGGAGGCTGGCACCTCATCCTGCCTGTGGCAGCACCCGGCCTGCACCAGGACGCAGCTCCGCACCGGCTCACCCGCCCGCTTGTACGGTGCCCACCGGGCTGACACCCACCACTGGCCCCACGCCGCGTCCCTGGGCTGGGCCTCAGCCGCCACCACGTCCAGCGTTTCGGTGAACAGACATTGCTCCAGCTCCCCCGGCCCTGCCCGGAAGGACTGTCACCCTGCCCGGAAGCACTGTCACCCTGCCTGGAAGGACTGTCACCCTGTCCGGAAGGACTGTCACCCTGCCCGGAAGGACTGTCACCCTGCCCGGGACTGTCACCCTGCCCGGGACTGTCACCCTGCCCGGAAGCACTGTCACCCTGCCTGGAAGGACTGTCACCCTGTCCGGAAGGACTGTCACCCTGCCTGGAAGGACTGTCACCCTGCCCGAAAGGACTGTCACCCTGCCCGAAAGGACTGTCACCCTGCCCGAAAACCACCCCCGAAGGACTGTCACCCTGCCTGGAAGGACTGTCACCCTGCCGGAAGGACTGTCACCCTGCCCGGAAGGACTGTCACCCTGCCTGGAAGGACTGTCACCCTGCCCGAAAGGACTGTCACCCTGCCTGGAAACCACCCCCAACCACCCTGGAAGGACTGTCACCTGCCTGGAAGGACTGTCACCCTGCCCGAAAGGACTGTCACCCTGCCGAAGGACTGTCACCCTGCCTGGAAGGACTGTCACCCTGCCCGGAAGGACTGTCACCCTGCCTGGAAGGACTGTCACCCTGCCTGGAAGGACTGTCACCCTGCCCGGAAGGACTGTCACCCTGCCTGGAAGGACTGTCACCCTGCCTGGAAGGACTGTCACCCTGCCCGGAAGGACTGTCACCCTGCCTGGAAGGACTGTCACCCTGCCCGGAAGGACTGTCACCCTGCCTGGAAGGACTGTCACCCTGCCCGGAAGGACTGTCACCCTGCCCGGAAGGACTGTCACCCTGCCCGGAAGGACTGTCACCCTGCCCGGAAGGACTGTCACCCTGCCCGGAAGGACTGTCACCCTGCCTGGAAGGACTGTCACCCTGCCCGGAAGGACTGTCACCCTGCCCGGAAGGACTGTCACCCTGCCCGGAAGGACTGTCACCCTGCCTGAAAGGACTGTCACCCTGCCCAAAAGGACTGTCACCCTGCCTGGAAGGACTGTCACCCTGCCCAAAAGGACTGTCACCCTGCCCAGAAGGACTGTCACCCTGCCTGAAAGGACTGTCACCCTGCCCAAAAGGACTGTCACCCTGCCCGGAAGGACTGTCACCCTGCCCAAAAGGACTGTCACCCTGCCTGGAAGGACTGTCACCCTGCCCGGAAGGACTGTCACCCTGCCCGGAAGGACTGTCACCCTGCCCGGAAGGACTGTCACCCTGCCTGGAAGGACTGTCACCCTGCCCGGAAGGACTGTCACCCTGCCTGGAAGGACTGTCACCCTGCCCGGAAGGACTGTCACCCTGCCCAAGGGGAGCCTGCCCAGGAACCTCCCGCCTCAGTCTCCCCTTCCCCTCCGAGCAGGCTGGGCCCAGCCCCTCACCACTTGCCCAGTCCAAGCCCCCTCAAGCCATCCCGCTCCCAATGAACCCGGCCCCATATGCGTGTGTGTGTCCATCCACCCTGCCCCGAGGACCCCCGGGCACCGGCTGCGGGGTGTGGGCACCCACCGATGCGGTTCAGGAACTTGGCAGTCTCCTCTGCGAGGGCTGGGGTCTTCTGCGGGCAGTCAGGGGGGGGCTCCATCTCTCGCCGCGGGGCTCCTGCTACCGGACCGCGGCACACCTCAGTGCCTACATGTGACCCCCCCCGGGCTCCTGGAACCCACATCCTCCCCCGGGCCCCATAGGAGCCCCCAACACCCGCCCCAGCCCCAGCCCCAGCCCCAGACCTGCCGCGCCGGACCCAGGTGCCCTCCCCAGCGACGCCTCAGCGGTCCCTATAGCAACGGCCTGGCCCCGCCTCTTAAAGGAGCCGCGGAGGGATAAGGCCAAACAGGTATAACTCTACCAAATAGTCCTTTATTTGGGGGGCGGGATGGGACGGGACGACACACTCTAGTCCCCAGTACAGCAGTAATCCCCGCTCCCACCCAGTGTGGCCCCATGGCCCCAAACATGGGGTGCTGGAGAAGAGCCCCTTGCCTGGAGGTAGTACTGGGCTGCTCACCTTGCTGGCTCCATCCCAGACTCCCCAGAGGAGATCCACAGCAGTGGGAGCTGCCAGGGGGAGGAATTGGGGGCTCCCAAAAAGTTAGGGCAGGGTTACAAAAAGCCCTTGGTGCCATTGCTACAGCCCCAAACAGTGGGGCGAGGGGGGGGGGGGCTACAGACCCCCAGAAAGGGGATCAAGGAGCTTCTGTGTAACAGCTGGTGACCCCCAAGTCTGGGGGAACAAAGGCAGCGATCACTTATGGGGTGGCCAGTCTTCCCCCACCCCCCTGAAAACACTGCACCCGAGGAGGGAGATTCACAGCAAAACAAACCACACGGTCCTGGGCTCCTGCCTGTGCCAGGGCAGCACCCAGCCCATGGGAATGGGGCCCGGGCAGGGGGTGATTAGGGGGCTTTGTAGAGGTCCTTGCGCCGCCGCACCTCCTTGAGGACGCGGGCACGGAAGGCATTGGGGTGCTCCCCTGCGCCTTGCCGCAGCCCCAGCGCTGCGTGCAGCTCCGGCCGATGGGTCCGCAGGAAGGGGTTGTAGGTCTGCTCCTCCCCCAGCGTGGAGGGGCACTGCAGGGCAAAGAGGAGGGGGGCAGTGTCTCAGCACCCCCATCAGGGAGCCAGGACATCTCCCCCAGCACCCCCATCCCCTATGGCACCTGCCATGTAAGAGGGGTGATGGGGAACCCTGTGAGGGGCTTAGGCGGTGGTGGTGGGGTTTAGTCAGGGCCCCCCAGTCTCACCGTGATCCTCTTCTCTTGGCGCTGCTGTATCACCCACTGCCACTTCTGGTCCAGTGCAGGGTTGTCCAGCTCCAGGAGACTGGCGAAGGTCAGGCACTCCAGTGCATACTCGTGGCCTGTGGACCCCCATGCCCCCCAGCATTACCCCCCACCAGCTCCCCAGCGGGAGCTAGGGGAACACCAATGGCTCTGCCACACTGTTGGGGACACTCACCTGGCCACAGCAGTGTGTCCTCACCCAAGCCCATGGCCAAGTCCAGGGAGGCGAGCATGGTCTCAGCGGAGCCCTCAAACAGCCTGCCTGGACCCCCATGCAACCGCCTGTCATGGGGGGGAAGGACTGGGGGGTCCCCCCACGCTCTTCCCAGGGTGGGAACCTGCTATCAACCCGGAATGGGGTCAGGCACACTCACCACAGCCAGAGAGGAAGAGGAGGTCCCCGGAGAAGAGGCAGGGGGGGCCGCCGAAGGGCTCCCCATCCAGCACGTACACCATGTGGCCCACGGTGTGGCCAGGCGTGGCAAGCGCCTGGAAGGTCAGGCAGCCCACGCTCACCTTCTCCTTGTCTGGAAGTGGGCTGCTCCGGGCACAGGGATGCACGGTCAGGGTATTGTGTCTCCACCCCAGCACCTCAAACCCGCCACCTCCCAGTGCAACCCTTCTCTGGCGCACCGGTGTTGTGAGTGTGCCAGGTCTCAGCCACAAAGGGGGCGATGTGGTGTTTGGGGGATGGACTGGTGGGTGGAGCAGATAGTGATGGGGGTGAAGCCCACCCCAAATTTACAGGGGTGCTGGGAGGGGTACAGGGTACGGGACTTACTTGGTGAGGTCTGGGATGGAATCAAGGGCGCTGCCGTACACCTTGCAGGAGCTGTGCTGCTGGCAGAGCTCCGCGTTCCCCCCGCTGTGGTCCCTGCAGACAGGGAGGTCAGTGCCCCTGAATGTGTCCCCCCATATCCCTCCCCAACCAGGGCCGGGCTGGGGTTCACCTCAGCTGGGGCACCTTCCACAGCAGCCACTGACTCAGTGTCCCCTCTTTGCCTCTTACCAGTGTTTGTGGGTGCAGAATATGGCCTCCAGCATCACCCCCTCTTTTTCAATGGCAGCCTGGGAATAGGGGGGACAGAGGGATTAGGGAGGGACACAAAACCCCAAGTACCAGTCTCTCCCTAAATCTCCCCAAGCTCCTCAGCTGAGAATGGGCCCTGCCACCCTCCAGCCTTGCATCAGGAACCAAGGACTGCAGATGAGAAGCACATTTGAACCCTTTGCCCCCCGAAAAGCCAGAGACACCCCACCCCCCTCAAGCAGGGACACCCAAGCAGCAGGTTGGGGGGGCTGCAGGGACCTCACCTGCACAGCCAGCGGGTCAGAGGGGTCGATGGCAGCCGCACGGCCAGAGCTGGTGTCGATGACCAGGTAGCTGTAGTTGTTGGAAAGCACGGGAATGGGCAGGATTTTCACCCCTGTGGGGCACAGACAGGCACACATCCAGGCATGACCCCCATGCGGGAAAGACTGCGTGGGCAGGGCAAATTGCCCATGTCTTAAATCCAGTTTTCAGTTAAACACGCTTCGGGTGATGTGGCAATGGAAATCCCTCCTCTCCCCACAGCGCCAGTGCTGGGGGACATGATGGGGCCCCGCGGGGTGTCTCAGGACTCACCAGGGAAGCAGCATGGCTGGGACACGGAGTGGCCGTCTGGGTACCGCTCCCGGGCCTTCCTCACCTGCCGCTGGTAGAAGAGGTAGCCCAGCCGCGTGCGGGTGTACAGGCTGTACCTGGGGAAGGGGGGGCAGACACCCCTGGCATCAACCCACAGCACCCCCAAGGGGCTCATTCAGTGAGGGGGCTGCTGCCTGGGCCGGGACCCCCACGGGAGACATGTACAAGGTCACGTTCACACCTTAGGGGATGGAAGTGGTGTTCTTCCCACTTTACTGCCCTGCATCTGCAGAGAGCAGAGTTGGTTTCCCTGCAGTTGCTACCGGCAGCAAGGACGGGGAAGGAGGGTGGGAAGGCATCACAGCAAGGGTGTCCATCTGCCCATCCGTCTGTCCAGGATGGCTCTGCTCACCACGAAGGGATGGAGCCCCACGGCTTTGCCTGCAGCCAGAGTACCCCTACCTGCCCTCCCCTTCCCTCAGCACTGGGGGGGGGCCGTGCCCAGGGCTGACCCCACTCCGAGGACCTCCTCTGGGTGCCACGGCCCTGGGGAAGAGGGAAGAAGGAGAAAAACAGGCGGAGGAAAAGGGAAGCAAGAAACGCTCCCTCAGCATTTCTACACAGGGGTGCAACAGACGCAGAGTGGGGGCTCAGGGGAACGCCCCATTTATACAGCAGCATTTTGGGGCTGGGGACAGGGACCATGAAGGCCATGCAAAGACCAGGGTTGCAAAGCCCTTTCCGGGGCGAAGGGCACGTCCCTGATGGCCACATCCTCCACGCTGGCAGCGGCAGGTACACCGGGGAGGGATCCTGGCAGGAGCCGGGCCTCTCTGCAGCCGTGGGGGTTGGGAACCCGAAGCGGGGGACTCCTGCCAGCAAGGCCACGGCGGGGGCAGCGGGTGGGTTAATGATTAGACCCGAGGGCAGGAGCACCGGGATGGGGTGCCACGTCCGAGGGGGATCATCACCGTGCTGGGGAGCCAAGGGCTGACTCCCGGCCCTGCGGAGCATCCCCGTAAGCGGGCTGACACCGCCTGCCCTCATCCCCATCAGCCGGGCGGGCTGAACACCCGAGCGGTGCTGGAGCGCACCGGGCTGGCCCTGGTGCAATCCAGAGGAGGACGCCGCGCAAGCAGGGCCGGACGGGCCGCAGAACAAAGGCGGGCGGCGGCAGCTCCCTCCCGGCGGGGGGTACAGGAGCGGCGGGCACTCACCCCACGCGGAACAGCAGCGGGCCAGCGAGGGCCATGAATGAGGCGGCGGCGCGGCAGGCGAGGCGGCGGAGGGGCAGGCAGCGGCGCAAGCAGGCGGCCGCGAACCCACGCACACCGGCTGCCAGAGCCCGCAGCGCAGCCCAGCCATGGCCCCGCTGCCGCCCGCCCCGCCCCGCGGCCATGCCGCCACGGACACGCCCCCCCGTGTGCGTCACGCTGCCGCCATCCCGGCCACGCCCATTCGTCGCCGCCGCGCCCCCTGCTGGTCACGGCGCGTCACTGCCGCGTGGAACCGGGGCGGGGGGACGATGAAGATCGTTCCCCCGCCCCGTAAGCGTCAGCGGCGGCGAGGAGAGGATTCCCCACCCTCCCGGCGCCGAAAGGGGTGTCCTCCAGATGACGTCACAGCATAGAAAAGGGGGGTCCTGACGTGACGTCAGAGATCCCGGGGGTGCGGCTGGGGTCCCGTTCGGGGCGAGAGGGGGGGGGGTTTGGCGGGGTCCGTCCCAGGCAGCGCCCCCCTATCTCCCCGCTTTATCGGCCCCTGGGGCGCAGCAGCGCGGAGCTGCCGCGGGGGGGCGCGGCAGGCGGGAGGGCGGGCGGTGCCTTCCCCCGCCCCGTCCGCCCCGTCTGCCCCGTCCCGGCTGGTAGCGGCCGCCGCCCGGCGGAGCAGTGCGCAGCAGGTAGGCTGACCCGGTTCCGCTCCCGGTTCCCGCGTAGGGCCGCTGACACGGGTGAGACACGGGGGACCACCCCCCATCCTGGTGGTTCCTCTCCCCTTTCTCCAACTGCCCCCCGCGGGTTCCCCCCGCTCGGGTCCTCTCTCACTCCCCCTATCCCGCCGCCTTCCGGCGCCACAGGCAGCGGGCGGTGTCCCAGAGGGGACTGAGTGAGGGTGGGAGGCCGGGTCCTGAACCTCGGGGCCGTGCTGCCACCCCCCGCACCCCCATCCCTGGGGTGGGGGACATTTCGGGTCGCGGTTCGGCGCGTCGGGGGAGCTGGGCCGGAGCGGGGTCCCGCGGGAGGGACGGAGGGCAGGACCCCACGGACAGGACCCCGCTGTGGGGCTGGTTCTGATTTCCCGACCCCACGGGGGAAACCGAGGCGCAGTGTGGGGTGGTCGGGAGGGAGCACCGTCCTTTGTGCTGTGGAGGGTGAACCCGCGGACCGGTGGGGTGTCTCAGGAGGTGAGGGCACGGCGGGGTATGGCGTGGCACCGTGGGGTACCCGCCCGCAGTGAGGGGCAGTGGTGATGCTGAACTCGTGCCCTGTGTGAGCGGCACGGGGGCAGGCAGCAGGGATCCCGGCTGAGGTGGCGGTGGAACCCTCTCGCTCAGCAGGGCTGGGCTGAGCCAGGCTGAGTTGAGTTGTGCTGTACGAGGCCGTGCTGTGCTGTACCAGTACCAAGCCGTGCCATGCTGTACCACGGGGTCCTCCCTGTCTCACCCTTGTCAGCAGCTCCGTGCCGTACCAAGCTGTACCATCCTGGTGGGAGCTTCCAGGCTCGCCTAGGAAGTCAGCAGCTTTTCCAGGCAGCCTCAACATGGGAAGCCATGGGAAAAGCAGGAAGCCCTGGCCCCCACCTCAAACCTTGGTGACCCCCCAAGGTGGCCTTTGGCACCCAGGCTCCCTGTGGAGCTGGTGATGGTGGAGACTGAGCCTAGCCAAAACACTGGGGTTTCTGCTGGGGACACTGCCCGGTCCATCTGGGGGCTGTGCTGGGGGTGACAGCCGCCTGTGCCCTGGGTCCTGCCACATGTGCCTTATCTGTGCTGAGTCATGGTGCTGTGCTGAGCAGCACCCTGTCCCCGGGGGCGGCACGTCACGGCGGGGCCACCGAGCCAGCCCTGGTGGCCCTCTGGCTGGCAACCTGTGGTTGCAGAGCCCTGCAGTGCCGCGGCTGGGGGGGCGCAGGGTGCTGCCTGCCTGCCTGGGTGCGGCGGCCGCAGGGACCCGTCAGGCTGGTTCCTGCCCCATCCCCGAGGCCACCCCGCTGGGGCGGGACAGGGGGGGCTGGGGCAGGCAGCAGGCCCTGCCATGGGGTGCTTGGCGTGCGCACAGGGTGAGATGCCCTGATGGCCGTGTCCTGGCTGCATACAGCCCCCTTTCCCCTGGGGTCCCTCCTGGGCACTCCGGTCCTACCTAACCAGGTGCCGGTCATGGGGGTTTTCCTGGGGTCAGGCCCCTGTTTCAGGCCCTCATTGTCCTCAGAGAGGAGGTGGTGCCAAGGGGCACCGTGTGCTTTTTGGGACTCCGCAGAGCAGGGAAAGTGAAACTTCCCAACTGGTCACTGCCGCGGTGGTTATTTTTGGTATCCCTGTCATGGCGATGGCGAAAGATGGCGTGGCTGGGACAGACAGAAGGTGGGAGGGACGGAGGGGCAGGCACTGAACCCCGGCACTGTGGCCCACCCAGCCTGGCTGTGGGAAGAGCTGGCGTCACACTGGAGGAAGTGCCCATTCCCACCCAGCCTATTCCCGTCTGGGGTTGGGTCCTTGTCCCTTCCCAGGGACTGTCCTGGGATCACATCCCTGCTGTGTGAGGGGCTCAGTGTGGGCATCCCCAGTTGCCAGCACTGGGGGGTGGCAGGCCTGGCACTGGCTCCTGGCAGTGCTGTTGTTTTCCAGGGTTTGGAGATCCTGCCTCCTTCCTCCTCCTGCTCCTCCTGCTCCTCCTCCCGGCACCCAGCCCAGCCGCTGGCTCTGGGCCTGGGCTGGCTGCTCTCGGCTGCTGGGGGCTCTGCACGGGGGCTGGCGCAGCCAGGGAGGGACCGACAGCCCTGGGGTAGGGGGTTCTGGCTCTGCAGGGACACATCCACCTCCCTCTGAGGCGATGCGGGTGGCACTTGGGGGGCTCTGTCATTCCGGAGCTGCTGTGTGACCCACTGGGTGATGGGTGGGTGCACCCTGGGATGGAAGCGCGGCAGTGGGGTCTGCACGGGTGTGATCAGGGCGATGCTGTTTGTCCCCAGCACGTTGCCACCAGGAGCCAGAACCAGCCGGGGCATGGTGCGTGGTGTATGTGCTCTGTACCCCCGGCTATGGCAGCGTGGGGTCCAGTGGCCACAGAGGTCACGTCCCCCCCTTGCTGCGGCGTCTTGAGTCACCGCGTGGCCGTGCCCTGCCCGTGGCTGCCACTGACGCAGGCGCTGGGGACTCAGGACACAGGAATGGGGTGGCCCTGGTTGGAGGACTGGGGCTGTCCTACATGTCTCACTGACCCACTGCTCTTGAGGTCAGCTCACCCTCATTAATTACAAGTCTCTATTAAAGTGGGAGGGGGAGGTTTTGGGGCTCCACTGTCCCTTGTGTCCCTGCAGCTCCACTCGCCAGGGATACGTCTTGCCTGGGGAGGGGGACCTGCGGTAAGACCCCCCCCATCTTCTCTTCCTTCCCTCCAGGTGCCTGTGGGACACGCAGGGAGCCGGCATGGCGCAGCCCAGCGCACCCCCTGCCTATGATGACAAGAACCCTCTGTACCCCCCACCCCCGGCCGGGTACCCCCAGCCCCCCCACTATGGGGGGTACCCCCAGCCCGGGGGTTACCACCCGCAGCCTGGGGGATACCCCACAGCAGGGGGATACTCACAACCAGGGGGGTACCCCCAGCCAGGGATGGCCATGCCCACCATGCCTATGCGGTTTGGTAAGTGGGGGCATCTTGGGGTTCTTTGGGGGGGGGAAGGGGGGCACTAGAAACAGGGGTGCTATGGGGGGGTCGCTGAATGGCTGACCCTGGTGCTGATGGTGTCCTTCACCGCAGGTGACAATGGCATGGGGGATGGCTCCCCATTCCAATCGGCCGACTGGGATGACAGGAAAGTCCGGCACACCTTCATCCGCAAGGCAAGTCCTGCAGGGCTGGGGGCACCTGTTGTGGGGGGCACCTGTTAGGGTGTGGGCCAGGTGCTGACACCCCCCCCCCCCTCCCTTGCAGGTCTATGCCATCATCTCCCTGCAGCTCCTGGTGACGGTGGGGATCATCGCCGTGTTCACCTTTGTGTGAGTGGAGGGTCCCTCCTTAGCCTTGACCTGAAGAGGGAGGGGTCCTGGCCCTTTGTCCTCTGGGGGGTCCTGAGGAGACAGTAGTTCCTGCCCCCCCTTCCCTGACACTCGTCCCTCCTATCCCACAGCCACCCTGTCCGCTCCTTCGTCCAGAGGAACGTCGCCATCTACTATGCCTCATAGTGAGTAGGGGTCTGCTGCCTCATGCCCCCCATCCTGGGGTGCTCTGCAGCAGCTGGCACCCCACAGTCACAGTCTCCAGCCCTGGGGGTCCTGGTGGGGGGGATCGCAGGACTGACACCCCTCATCTGTCTCTGCAGTGCTGTGTTCCTGGTGACCTACCTGGTGCTCGCCTGCTGCCAGGGTCCCCGGTGAGTTGATGGTGGCTGGGACCACTGCGCTGACAGGGTGCGGATGTAGGGGGAGGTCTCCAGGGCATCAGGAGCAGGGTGTTTGCCTAGGGGATGGGGAGCAGGGGGACACAACATGGTCCCTGTCACCACCTGACCTCCCTACCCTGGTTTCACCCACAGGAGACGCTTTCCCTGGAACATCATCCTGCTGAGCATCTTTGTGAGTGGGATAGGGTTGGGGTTGGGGGGGGGGGAGCTGGCGGTGCCTCCATGGCAACCCAGCTCCCCATGCCGACTGGGAGGGATAGGGGAATAGGCGGGAGCAGCCAGGAACTGCTGCACTCCATGGGGCTGCTCCCCCACTGAGCCCACCCTTCTCCTCTCCTGCAGACGCTGGCCATGGGGCTGATGACGGGGACAATTGCCAGGTATGCCCTGTGGTAACAGGAGCTGGGCTCCCTCTCGTCCTGCACGATGCAGCTGGCTCAAATGAGAGGCTGCTGGAAGCCAGGGGACACCTTGATCCCCTGGGGTTAGGGACAGCAGGGTACCTGTCCAGGATCAGGGCTGGGAGGGTCACCGAAACCCCCCGGGAAGGGGACACCAAAGCTTGGGGTGACTCTGGTTGTCCCCTCCATTTGCAGCATGTACCGGACCAACGCTGTCCTGATCGCCATGCTCATCACTGCCATCGTGGCCATCATTGTCACCATCTTCTGCTTCCAGACCAAGGCAAGGAGGGGGATGTGCCCTGCCCTGGTGGGGGTCAGGCACAGGGAGCCAGGTGGTGGGGACACGCTGGGCTCTCCCTTGACGTGTGTGTGTGTGTTCCCTTCCCTGTAAGGTTGATTTTACATCGTGTCCGGGTCTCTTCTGTGTGCTGGGCATCGTGGTCATGGTGACCGGCATCGTCACCGCCATCGTCCTCTCCTTCAAATACGTGAGTGGGGGGGCAGAGGGGCTGTGGGTGCCGCTGGTGGGGTGTCCGCAGGGCTGGCAGGGGGGTTCGGGTGCCCCCCTTTGAGGGAAGCAGGGTGTGGTGCTGGCCACAGCACAGGCAGCTTGCCCGCAGGGAGAGGGTGGGTTGGCGTCAGCAGCAGCTCCTTGGATCCGGGTGCAGGCAGGACATGCCCTGCCTTGCCCACTGCCTGCCAGGCTCACCCTGCCCCTGTCCTCCTCCCCACGCAGGTCCCCTGGCTCCACATGCTGTACGCAGCCATCGGCGCCATCGCCTTCACCCTGGTGAGTTGATGGCTGGGGTGGGCAGAGGGTGTCAGGCAGGGACTTGGGGGGAACCCTGCCTTGGAGCTTGCCTGACGCTCTCTGCCCCTCCTCAGTTCCTTGCCTATGACACCCAACTTGTGCTGGGGAACAGGAAGAACACATTAAGCCCTGAGGAGTACATCTACGGTGCCCTCACCATCTACACCGACATCATCTACATCTTCACCTTCATCCTGCAGATCGTGGGCCGCGATTAGCGTGGGACCCCTCCTGTCCCCACCCTGCTGCCCCTCACCCCTTTCTCTGGCCTCTGTACAGGATATGGCCACTTACCAGACTCCTAACGCTTTGGCATCCCTACCCATAGACTGCCAAGGAAAGGGCTTCCCTTGACCCACCCCCACAAGCCTCCAAGGGTAGCGTGGGGGAACCGGCTGCCTGTGTTTAGGCAGTGCCCAGCCTCAGCACTGCTTGCTGAGGCCATGCCAGCGGTGCCGGGCTGGTAGCAGAGTGCCACAGTCCTGTCTGGGCTCAGGGAGCTTGCAGCAGCACTGGGATTGTGTTGGGGGATTTCTGGGAGAGCCCGGTAGGTGTCATTCACTCAGTGCCTTAAATGCGGCTCAGGCCATGCCCCGTTCCCGTGCTGCGGCAGTGTGAGCAGGGGGGGAACCCTGTGATGGGACTCGTGGCAGAGCTGTGTTCCCAAGGCCCTGCAGCCGCGGCCATGGACGAAGTTGCACTTGCTAAATAAAACACTTTAATTTTGCAGTCTGTTCCAGTCTCACTGGGGAGGTGACTGCCCTGGAACCCTGCGGGCAGGCTCTATGGGGGCTGCGGCCCCGGGCAGCGCAAACCCTGCTTTGGGATGGACAAACCAAGGTCAAGCTGCCCAGGGCTGGCCTCCCTCCCTGGCCTCTACTCCTCCACCTGGCTGCAGAGCAGCTGGGTTCCTCCCCCCGAGCAGGGGAGCAGGCAGGGCTGGGGCTGCGCACTGAGGCAGTGACTGCAGTGGCACTGAGCTGTTCCACACACGAGGGATGATGTTTATTTGTCTCTATCCAGCCCCGCACCCACCCCATGGGCTGCACAGGGAGTGCAGGTGCCCGTGCTGTGTGCCCTGTGGGGCTGGTGTCCCCTTGGCCAGCCCCTTTGGGGTGCCAGGCTCGGGGTGGGGGCAGCCTGGCTATGCCCCCCTGGCCACCCTCTTGTATCGCTCCGACTCGTACTCGCCCCGGGTGGCTTCTGCCATCTTTTGGCGGATTTTGAGCTGCTCCAGGCGGTTTTTGTCCACTTCCCGCTTCACCAGGAGGAAGAGGATGATGCCGGAGGGCAATCCGATGGCCCTGCAGGACAGACGGGGCAGAAGATGCAGAGAGCTGGTGGGAAACAAATGCCCTGTGCCACTCTGGGGTGCACGGACACCCCCCAGCTCAGCGCTGCAGCCCCCCATGACCCCTTGTGTCCCCCCCCAGGCCTTGCAGAGCAGCAGTCTCCTGGTGTCGAGCTTCTCCCGCCACCCAAGCCACTCACCAGGCCACCCCCACCGGCTTCATCGGGTTCTTGCCCTTCTTGCGGGTGGGAATGTACTCCACCCCCTCGGGGAGCCCCCCACGGCCAGGCTCCGGGCCGGACTGTGGCCCCGCTGGCCGGTGGCAGCTCTGCCTGAGGAGCCGTGTGCCAGGAGGGGACAGGCAGCACCGGGGCCGGGCACTACGCGCTGCTGGTCCTGCTGCCAACAGCAGCCCTGCGGGGAGAGAGGGGTTAGGGACAGGCGACCATGGGGCAGCGTGGGGCGCCCAGCCTGAGCCCTACCCCTGCCCTGCCCCACCCCGGCGGCAGGGGGCGCTAGAGGACGGGACCTAGACAGAGGGGCGCGGCTCTACGACCTCCGCCTGGCGGAGCGGGCCGGCTCTCGGGTCGCCCCGGTGGTTGTGTGGGAAGCCGCGGGGGGTCCCTCCCTCCCCGGGGTCGCGTCTCTCCACCCGCCGTTACCGCGCAGCCCTCGGAGCGCCGCCGCCATGGCGATCCGTGCAGGTGCGCGGCAGCCCCGCGGCATGCCGGGAGCTGTAGTCCGCCGAGCGGGGGTGCCGGGGACAGGCGCTGACAGGACGGTGCGCGCAAAACTACATCTCCCAGAGGGCACCCCGCGGGGCGGGCTCTGCCCAGCGCTGCTGGCGGAAGGGGCGGGATCCGATTGAGGACGCTGTCGGGTTGGCTGAGGCGGCGGGGCGGCGGGCGGGGATTGGCCAGGGTGAGTCTAGCGGCGGAAGCGGCGGCGGCGGGGCGGGGCGCGCGGGCAGGCCGGCATGGAGCCCGCCGAGGGGCCGGGCGTGGTGGACTTCCACGGCGATGAGGAGATCATCGAGGTGGTGGAGCTGGGCCCGCCCGGCCCGGGTGAGACGGGGATTCCGCGCCGCGTACCGGGCAGCGGCTCCAGCCGGGGCAGCGAGCCCGCTCCGGCCCCGCAACAGTGTCAGGCCAGGCCCGGCCTGGCCGTGGCGTCCGGCCTGTTCCGTTCCCCCTCCGATCCCCCTGGCCCTTCGGCCTTTCCCCGCTTCGCGCCCCGCTGCTGTGCGGCTCTTTCGCTCCGGGTCTCCTGGCCGCGGTGGCGTCGTGGCCCCCAGGGACCCCCCAGCACACCCCCTGCCCTGCAGTGGCCGATGCGGGCAGGCCGCGAGCCGAGCCCTGACTTCTGCCCCCTACAGATGACCTGGCCGACGAGATGGAGGACGTGGATTTTGACGAGGGGGGAGAAGAGCCCGATGCCGAGGCGTGGGAGACTGAGGACGAGGAGGGCGGGGGAGACGGCATGGAGCCGCAGGATGACAGCGAGGTCACGTTCTCCCTGCACTCGGGTGAGTGCGGGGCACGGGCAGTGGCCGCCGGGGTCTCCTTCGGGACCAGCTCCCACTGCCTGACGTTCACTGGGTTGAGGGGGTGCAAAGTAAGGTCCTTGCACACCGCTGGCTCCTGGCTGTGCCTAGGATGGCCATCAGAACTCGGGTTTATACCTTACACTCTGGTAGAGAAGCCCTTTGAGCCCCTTACACCCTGAGGCACCCTGAGCTCTGCAGACAGCACATGGGAAGCAATTCCCACTGGTTTGGTTGGGAGTTCAGCTGGCTGTGGGGTTTGGACCCCCTGGAATGCTGAGTGGGGTGTGAGCAGTGTCTGAGCTGTGTGGCCTCTCTTTACTCTTCTGTGAAGCTTCTGTTTTCTGCGTGAGCCTTGACCCTAAGACCAACACGCTGGCAGTGACGGGTGGGGAGGACGACAAGGCCTTTGTGTGGCGCGTGAGTGATGGAGAGCTCCTGTTCGAATGCACAGGTGAGGTGCTCGAGGGTTGCTCAAGCCCTGTCCCTCCCTGGCCATGCTCATCCCCAGCCAATGCTCTGCTGGAGCCAGGCTCCTGACTGTTCTCCGTGGCTCTGCCTGAGCAGTCTCTGACCCCCAATGCCTCTAGGGCACAAGGACTCGGTCACCTGTGCTGGCTTCAGTCATGACTCCGTGTTTGTTGCCACCGGTGACATGTCTGGGCTTATCAAAGTATGGCGAGTGGATGCCAAGGAAGAAGTGTGGTCCTTTGAAGTGGGGGACTTGGAGGTGAGTGGTAGGATTCCTGGTGCTATGGGAAGCCCATGAGCCAGCATGGGTGGTGGTGGGGACACGCAACTCTCATGACGCTGCCTGTTCTCTCTGCCCAGTGGATGGAGTGGCACCCTCAAGCCCACATCCTTCTGGCAGGCACAGCTGATGGCAACTCCTGGATGTGGAAAATCCCCAGTGGAGACTGCAAAACCTTCCAGGGCCCTGCGTGCCCAGCCACGTGTGGCAGGATCCTGCCTGACGGTGAGGCATGGGCGCTGTCCAGGGTGGGGAAATGTCACCAGCACTGTGACAGATCCTGCTGCCACCTCTGTCCTCCTGTGTCTGCCACTCTGTGCTGAGGGATGAGTGGGGCTCTGGTTCTATCTTCTTGTCTTGTCTCACCCAGGGAAGCGAGCAGTGGTGGGATACGAGGATGGGACCATGCGCATCTGGGACCTGAAGCAGGGAACCTCACTGCATGTGCTGAAAGGTACAGAAGAGCTCCATCACCTGGGGTGCTCCCTAACTGGGGAATATCCCCTTCCAGTGGGCTCTGAGCTCTGCACAGGTGGGGAGATGGCACATTCCAGGGCCGGGGAGGGAGACTGGTACTGGGTTTCCCTCTCCTTGCGGGTGCTGGCAGAGCTGGAGCAAGCAGAGGCTGCAGGAAGGGTGGGTTTTGAGGCCCACCCAATCTCCATGGGGAGGACGTGCGGAGCTCATGGCTGCCCTGCTCACCCTCAGGCCAAGACGGCCACCAGGACCCCTTGACGTGCTTGGCCAGCAATCAGGATGGCAGCTTGATCCTGACGGGCTCCGTGGACTGCAACGCCAAGCTGGTCAACTGCACCACGGGCAAGGTGGGTGCCCGCCAGGCGGATCCAGGAGCCGCCGGGGACCAGCCTGGCTGTGCGGGGGGTTCACAGCTCTGCCGGCCCCGAGCGGCCCGTGGTGGCCTCCGGCAGCCAGCAGGAGGCGACCGCGGCCAACACAGCCGCGGTGGGGCTCGGGGCCGGTCCCGCGGGGCTCGGAGCGGGAGCCGGTATCCCCTTTGTTTGCTCCGAGGAGCTGAGGTTTTGGGCTGGATCCCGAAGGGAACCTCGATGCTGTGGGGGTCCCTTCCCCTCCCTCGGCCACTCTCCAGCCTCCCTCCACGCAGGTGGTGTGCGTGTTCAAGATGGAAAGCACGGCCCCCAAGGCCCCTGGTGGTGAGAGCGAAGAGGTGGAGTCCAACTCGGTGGAGTCCCTGGGCTTCTGTAATGTGTGAGTGTGGGGACAGCCCCTCTTCAGCGTGGGATCTTACAGGGGGTGTTTCCATCCCTCGCACTTCCTCTGTTGCGTTTCTCATCTCCATCCTCCCCAGCTGGCTGTGGAGAGCCTGGGTCACTTGGGGGTGACACGGAGGACAGGGGACACCCCATGATCAGTCCTTCCTCCAACCCGCTGGGTTTCTGAGGTAGCCTGATGGGCCACTGTTGGGCCAGGATAGACTCCAGACTTGGCTGCTCGGGATCTTTCCTACTAGGAAGTGTCTTCTCTCTTGTGAACTTCAGGCTGGTTACCGACTCTGTCTTGTTGCGTTTCCTGACCAGGTTGTCCCTCACCTTCTTGATACGCGAGGGTTTGCCTTCAACCGTGACGTGCTTCCATCTCTGCTTCCCCCAGGCCCATGTAATGCCTGTTCCCCTTTCTA